CGTAGATTAGGTGGGGAGAAGAAGAGAGATTCGGAAACACAAGTCAGACTTACATTGTTGTCCTGATACAAAAAAGGCACTACTTCAGGGGCCGGAACTGGGGTCCTGGGTCTTGATGATGCAGGCGAGGCATCCCTGGTATGATCGGTGGCATTAGAGTAGTTGCGATCGCGATGCGTTGGGCGAGTGTGACTGTAAGAGCGCGATCGTTGGTCTTTCCCCATATATGATGTCGGGAGGCTACTCTCGGAACTATCGCGGCCAGGAAACTCTTCGCCAAAGAAGCCCTGCAGCTTGCGCATATTGCCACGGTGCCCACTAGCCTTGGATCCAGTGCTGCTAGCCGTGGTGGTGACACTAGCTTCAGAAGGCCGTCTGTCGTTTGGAGAATACAAGTGCTCCGGTGAGTCTTGGAGGCCCAGCGACGAGCTTGCGCCGGTGCGCGATCCCAGGCCATGCAGCCCGGCGGAGTACTGCGAGAACAGCGACATGGTGTCGGCCGATTCATCGACGAGGCTCGCGGGATAGTTGGAGGGGTTGGAGTGGCCACGCAGAGGATCGAGGACGGCCAGATCGCGGCGATAGTTTGTGAGATCGCTTAGGCGGCGGCCACTTTCCCTCGACGTCGTTGGCGACATGGCGCCGCGGGTGGTGGCGGTGGACGTGGTAGGCGAGATCTGGAGATCATCGTCTCGTGAGAGGCTTCTACGGCAACGCAAGGGCCCGCGTTAGACATGGTGCGCAGAAAAAGAAGCGATACAAGGCAACGGCAAGGGCGGACGGCTCGAGATGGCGAGCGACGGCACCCGTGTGTCCGCCGAAGCAGAGGCGGAAGCTGGAGGAAAGAAGCCGGACAAGATACTCACCTGTAGTGCTGGGGCGTGGAGGCTTCCGTGTCGATGTGCGCAGGTGGCGCTGTTCGCGACGAGGATTCAGCTGTCGCCGTCGTCGGGGTCGAAGGCTTCGCAGTCAGAGAGGAGCGAGTGCTGTCGGTGCTTGCGCTCGTGCCGGAGCTGATGCGGAAGGCAGCCTCATTGTCGGCCATTGTCGCCCAGCGGAGAGCTCCAGGCCACTACCATGCGATGCGAACAGGTGCTGGGAGAGTCGTCGAGGCGCAATCACGTCATGCTTGACGGTCTGCGGGCAGCTGGCAGAGGTCCGTCGGAATGGCTGGCTGGCTCTTTAATAGCCTCTGGGTGCCGGTAATGGATGTTTGTCGAATGCGTTTCGCTCGTCGACGCCGTAAAAGCTACGTTGGACGAGGAGCTGGAGAGCTGGGCATCTGTCGGCTGCGGCGCGGGATTATACAAAAGACAAAAACTCGACCGTGTGGTCACAAGCAGAGGTCGGGATCGTTCCAGCCCCAGAGCCGGTTTGGCAGGGCTGAACGCCTTTGCTACAACTGCTAGTAGCTCTCGGAGAGGGGTGGGAAGTGAGGGGGTGGGTGGAGGGTCACTGGCTTGATCGCACAAGTAGCATCGCAAAATCGAGGCGGAGGCGGCTCGGTGGGAGAAAGCGGACAGACAGGCACACGCAGCAATGTCTCGCGCTTGGTACCGGTACCTGCGAGTACGTGTTGCGCGGCGGTAGCAATACAAGTCGTCGGTTTGTACGTGCCAGTTTTCGGGCCAACATTCTTTGCTCTCTACTCTACTTGGTACCACACACACGGATGCAATTCCAAGAACATACAATCATCCGTAAAGCATTACTACGGGTACGAGCACATGGACGTACCAGGTACTGCTACTCGAGAAGTACATACCACTACAGCATGGCACTTTCGCGCCCTGAGCCTCGCTGGAAGCGCTCGCTGGGCCAAGCTCACAACTCACAATCACATTTGCCTACGCGTACGACTTCTTGTGTTAGCAGTTAGCTAGCATTCGCCTATAGGCCGTTTTACAGGGGGTGCATTGGCTCTGCATTTTCCAAGGCGACAATTCTCATCACCAGTGCCCCGGCGCCAAGCCACAGGACAGGATCTTGTTGGGGGACCCTGGGTGGACTGACTAAAATATCTCAGCAGCTGTTTCTTATGCAGGTTAACGGCATGACGTTGCCCAATGGATTAGCGTTCTGACGGCCCATCCAGCACAGCACAGCATATGTACATACATGCATCCAATGCATGTACTTACATCCTTTGGCTTGGTGCGTACTATGTACAGACGCGCTTGTGCCTGTAAGCGGCATGGCCACTCCGTCGAAAGTGAGACTTTGGGATTACAGTAGCAGCAGACGCAATCTGCGCGATGCGGAGTGCGGCGCATTGAGCAAAGCCGCCCTGTCAGCTACCGCGAGTCTTCGGCCTAGCGACTGTGCGAGGGTGCCAAGGCCTGCTCGTCGATGAATCAGATGCCGACAAAATACTGCTGCCTGCCAACTTCGCATGTTGGTCTTGGCCTGGCGTTGACCGGTGCACAGGGAAAACTGCGCACCAAACGGGAGGAGTACGAGGTGCTGCAACAAATCCACGCCTTGGATTTTTGGATTTTTTTTTTTTTTTCTTCTTAACTGTGGATATGCATGTATGTAGTGATCAAAGCAGGTCACACGCATGGGCGCAAACGACAAACGAAGCGTAAGATTACAGTCGTTTTCCGGAGAAGCATGCATGTATAGGCCGTCTCAGTAGTTTCATCGTCTCATTTGCGACGCCCTCGCAGGCTTGCCTCTTGTTTCTTTCTTTCCTTTTTGCTACCGCCTCGTACTGTAATCACGCCCATTCAAAATGGTCCTCGGCAGCCGGGATGTGGACTCGAGCTATGCAGTACTAGTAGTATGGCACTTGCATGGGCGCCAATCAAACGGGATCGCCCAACCCGAATTGTTGGCCTCTAGCACGATACGGTGCACAATAATCCGGCGGGCTGCTCTGCCCATGCACTAGCCCTTGTAAGTACATCCGGATGCTCCTGTCCAGCAGCCAATCGATCAGTCAATCAATTAATCAATCAGGCAGCCCAATCAATCACAGCGGCCAAGACGAGCGCGCGCAGGCTGATGTGATTGTGATGCTGCTGCCAAATATGGGACAAATGACGTTCTCCCCGCCCGGGGCTGCGGATCACGACACCCGCAGATAGGTGCGGCTAGTGGGCATGATTCCGCGGCTACGGCACTTCAGGCGTGCTCTAGTACTCTAGTACCTGCCAATACACACCCAGCAGACGCCGCTACGGAGCGCTGTCAGGTATTAGTACTGGTAGCAGTACCAGCTGCCAGTTAGCCGCAACGGAGCCCGCTGCATTGGTACGAGGTACCGTCCAAATATATCAGCTCAATCAAATCAAATGGCACCTGTCAGAGCTGCTCATTCATTTAATCTCTCTGGCCCCAGCTGCCCCTCTCTCTCATCTCATCTCATTGAGTTGGTGATGCACCAGGCCACAGCTCGCCGTATTCCATGTGGATACGTAGTACCCAGAAGTAGCTGTGGTAACAAATAAATAGGCGCTCTCTTGTGAAGCTGCTCTAAAACAGAAAGTCGCCCAAACCTCGCTGCTCTCTCGATACTTTCTTCGCGAGTTTCGCATCTCTGGAGGACCCCTCCCCTGCTGCCCGTGAATTATTAGACCGCGTACTCCGTACTTTGTAACCGTCCATGCTGACGGTCTCACATCCACTTCGCATCTCGCCGTCGCCGGCACCTGCACCGCCTAACCCACTTTAGCCCGGGGCTCTGCATCCAGCACGTTTACCAGTAGCCGCGTACGGGCCAGGACCCTGTCGACTTCGGCGGCCTCATAAAGTTTGATCACGACCGCGGGACCTGTGTTTGGGCCTCTTGTCTCACCAACCAAAAGAAGCTTGATGGCCAAGCATGTACGCAAAAGCCCACATCGAGGGGGGCTTGATATAGACTCTGTGCGTATGTGGATAGAGATATCCCCTTATCCTGCGTTTGCTTAAAATGCGAAACGGAATGGGATACGAAATGGAATAGAGCAGAGTAGAACCAAGGCGCTGATTCGATGAGATTCTCCCGGTTCAGCTGGTCCGAAGCACCCTGGCACATATAATCTCGCTCATGAGGTTTTCTCACGTAGCCGAGGCACTAACGCCGTATTTATCCCCTCCTTGTACCAAAGTGAATGTTGAAGCTGGTCAGCTCAGCGCCAAGCAAGATGGGAGGCTTCATTTTGGATCAAGGTTCCTTGCTGTACGTGACACCAATGGAAGCACATGTCAGTCGTCTGACTCCTGTGTCACAACAGTGGTGAGATAAGCGGGATGGAGGGCACGTACAGAAGTGCCATTGCGCGCGACTGTACAGCCATAGAGAGCCCATAGTTACATACGGATGCCGGCCAACTTTGCTAACCTTTACCGGCACCCAGTAGACGATGCTATGTAGACCTGTGTCTTGGATCTCTTGGGGGACACCAAATATGAATACATGCATGTAGTCTGTTGGTCGCAAATACAAATCGTTTGTCAGGCGGCCGCTAGCCTCGATTTATCCCCCTGTGCGACCTGAAACCCGCGTGCAATGTCCGTTACGCCAAATTCATCCAGCAGCACCGCCAGGCTGGTAACGCCAGGCATGCTGAAATGCAGGTAGCAGCTACACTCGTGATGTATTTATTACTGCTAACCTACATGTACTAAAGATAGCAGTACGTGTAATTACCTGGTAATAGACAAATGGTCGTTGAGCCGAATTGTTCTCCCCAAAATACTACTAGGTAGGCAGACAGGTGCATAAACACATACACATATCTTTATAGAGCCAAATTTGTACTTGGATGGTGCAACCACCGCTGCCCGAAAACTCGGCGCAAGACGCGGAGAGAAATCCGGCGCCTCCTCATCAGCCCCAAACAACGCCTCGCGGCTGAAACTCCAGATGTGCCTCAATGAGCCGGCCGGCTGTTCCACATGCCTGAGCTGCAGCCTTAGGCCACCTCTCCCTCCATAGTAATATGTACACGTAGCCATGAATATCTCGAGCGGTCTGGTGTTTAAACGGGCCTACAATGATGAAATAGCCTCCACTATATGGGGGGTAGCCAATGTCATAGTGCACTTGCGCAGTGGGCTCAGTGCCCCGCGACCCCCGCATGCTGCTACAGTTCCATTGATAGCTAAAAGGATTCGTATCTCCATGTGCATGTATCTATATTCTCTCAAGAGCTGATACTTCTTAGATGTATTGCTGAGGGGTTGAAACTTTTGCCGTTTAATCCAGTTGCTTCATCGAAATCTATAAATAAAAAATCAGCTTGTTAAAGAAAGTATCCATCATGGGCTCAGCTTCACAACAACTCCGTACTTGGTGGAAGGAAAGCTCAGTTTACCAAATATATCCGGCATCCTTCCAAGACACCACAGGGTCAGGAACCGGTGATCTCAAAGGCATCATTTCACGTATAGACTATCTCAATGGCCTCGGCGTTGATATTGTGTGGCTGTCGCCCATCTTCGCGAGCCCCCAGAAAGACATGGTTGGTTTGAAACTCTCGTCTTTAAGCGGCTACCCTATATTGCCTAACATATTCTGATCAGCAAAATGCACTCAGGGATATGACATCAGCGACTACAAGACTATAGACCCCGTTTATGGAAACATTGGCGATGTCGACGAGCTGAAGGATAAGCTCCATGAGCGTGGCATGAAGCTGGTCTTGGACCTGGTTGTGAACCACACAAGCGACCAGCATGAGTGGTTTAGAGAATCAAGAAAGTCAAAAACCAATCCATTCAGAGACTGGTACATCTGGCGCCCGCCCAAGTATGATGCTCAGGGCAACCGACAGCCTCCAAACAACTGGGAAAGCCACTTCCAGGGTATGTGACATGTTTTGCCATGAAAACCTTGCGGTAGGGTAGGAGAGTGCCGCAAGTGGAATGAGATAAGATACACAGTTGGATGCTGATTTGCTACAACTTCAGGCAGCGCTTGGGAGTATGATGAAGCAACGGATGAGTACTACCTGCGCCTCTTCTGTAAAGAGCAGCCGGATCTCAACTGGGAAAACCCGGCAGTGCGTGAAGCAGTCCACGATATCATGCGCTTCTGGCTCGGTCGAGGGATAGACGGTTTCCGTATGGACGTTATCAACTTCATCAGCAAAGATCAACAGTTCCCAGACTCGGACAAGGTGATTAATCGGGGCCATGAATATTACGCATGCGGACCGAGATGCCACGAGTTTCTGAGAGAGCTCGGCGCCATTCTAAAGGAGTACGACGCATTCAATGTGGGCGAAATGCCCTGCGTGCAAGACGAGAGCGAAGTCATCAAGGCTGTTGGTGCTGACCGCGGAGAGCTCAACATGATTTTCTACTTTGAGCAGTAAGTTAACAGAAAAGCTCCTCACGATAAAGAATCATCAGTCTTTTCCAGCCACGAGTGTAATTATCATGAAAGCTAACTCTAGGAAAAAAAAACTTAGCATGGATCTCGACTATGGCCCCAAGGGCAAGTTTTCCCCCGGCACATGGACCCTCGCAAAGCTAAAGACCGTGGTCAACAAATGGCAGAGGTTCATGTACGACAACAACGGCTGGAACGCCCTCTACCTAGAAAATCATGACCAGCCACGAGTAATCAGCCGCTTCGCATACGATGATCCTGGGCATCGCGTGGCCAGCGCCAAGCTCATTGCTGTATTCCATGCTTTTCAAGCTGGCACGCCGTTTATATACCAGGGACAAGAGATTGGCATGACCAACGTTCCTAAAGAATGGCCCATTGAGGAGTATAAGGATGTTGATTGCGTCAACCACTGGAAGTAAGCTGAGCAAACCCCAAACATACGTACATGTATCTCGGATGGACAATTAGTATACCGACGATGTGCTAATACCTTTCTTCACATGCAGCTTATACAAAGACAGCCCTGATGAAGATATCAAACGGCTAGTCAAAGCAGAATACCAAAAGAAATCTCGTGACAACGCCCGCACGCCCATGCAGTGGGACACCACCCCCCAAGCCGGCTTCACCTCCAGCGACAAGCCCTGGATGCGCGTCAACGACAACTACAAAGAGGTCAACGCCGCCTCTCAAACAGACAAGCCTCTGTCCGTGTATCACACCTATCGACTGGTCCTAGAGAAACGCAAACAGTACAAGGACATCTTCGTCTACGGCAGCTTCGAGCTCATCGATGAGCCAAACGAGAAGATATTTGCATATAAGAGAAGGGCCACCAACGGGGAGGCTGCGCTGATTGTCTGCAACTTTTCTTTGGATGCGGTGACGTGGAAGATGGACGATAAGCCGAAAGAGGTGCTGTTTACCACTAGTGACAGAAACTTGAGCCAAGTGAGCGGTGGTGAACTTTCGTTGGCTCCGTGCGAGGCAATCGCTTTGCTTCTCTGAGTGTGGGACTTATCGAGAAGACTTTATCATAGAATACATGTAGACTGGAGCGTTTGTTGTTATGATACAAGGAGGATGGTTGATTAAGTGTTCATAGAACATAGGAGAACATGAATAGCTGATAGACGCTGTGCTCTGTAAGATGGTATCTCATTGTTGAAATACTGGTATGAGGTTCAAAACGTGGCTGATGGTGCTGCTGGGCTGGGCCATCGCGGCTCACCTGTTCCCCGCACCATCTTCCGAATCCGGGAAACGCTGCATACATGTAGCCTCTGGAAACCCAAAGCTTATAATGATACGAGTTGCGTTCTAAATTCTCCAAGCGATACTTTCAAGTATTCCAACCATGCCAGGCCTTGGCCTAGCTACCAGTAACGCATATTAAGACTGGGTTTCTTCACTCCCTGATTGCCATCACAATGAGTAATTATGATTCACGTCACAGGGCTTTCGAAGCTTTCAATATGAATTACTCTCCCGCTAACTCTATGGACGAACATTTCCAACGATGTTGGGCTCAGCAGTCTTGTGGAGGATGTCTGGACCGCCTCGACTGCAGTTGGTGCCCTTATGTGAGCCTCGTCTTTGCAAAACCCTGAGTCCCCTTTATGAACCACCTCGCTCGCCACGATGCTCGTTTCAGTGCCGTGAGCGCAATTGACTTTTTTTTCGAAGAGGTGTATTGACGTTTGCTTGCGTAGACATGGTCATGCGTGCCAAATGAACATACGATTCCATTTCTCGCACCAGCCTTTGACGCCGAAATTTGCCCGCACCCTGATGAAAGATGGGAGGTGAGGACGAGGCCTCTCGGATGCCACGTTTCATCTAGGATGGGGCTCACGGTTGCTGTGACTATTGTGGCTACGTTGGCAGCTGTCCTGGTTGTCGCGGCGTCGGTGGTCTTGGTGCGGAAGATATGGAAATCAGGAAAGATGGGCTGGGGATGGATATATCGATGGAAGTCGCCATTCCAGCGGCAGGCCGATAGAGGTGATCCAGAGCGGGACCCATTGCTATCGACGGAGCAAGAGGATCCAGCTGCGAATATCTGACATTGGCGACATTCTACTCAGAAAGTGTCCACCTCTCTTTAAACAAACGGACAAATCCGCAGCCACCAAGAGAACGCAAAGCTTGTCACAAATACGAATGCACTGCCAGATAATCAGCCAGAGCTAACTGGTGGAATTATGGCAACCTCGTCTCCCTCTTGGATCACCAGGCCTTCTTCGCCCTCCGTGGGAATGTCTACATAATCCAGGTTGACCGTTACCAAACACGAGTCGAGTATCTTAGCCTGCATTCCGGGATATCGCGACTCCAGTTCGGAAAAGAGCTTTCCAATAGATATAGGCGCAGACAGGCTCTCGTAATCTTTGCCTGTAAAAGAGCTGGCGCTGGCAAAATAGAGCAAGCTGAAGTGGCCGGGCGGTGACTTTGGTGCGGATGATGTCATGATAGAAAGTGTGTACCGAAATGAATTTATGCGTTGAAAAGAAGCGTCAAAAATTTCAAATGTTGCCAGATTGTGTGAAAATCAAGTAAAGCTGCCTATCCTAAGAATATCTTCATCAAGTCTGTTAGCGTAGACGCTTCCTATAATGGAGGGCGGCATTTATGAAACTATGAGTCAAAGAGTCTAGGATCAGAGATCTTGGTGATAAAACGTGGCATCATAACAATCAGGTAATACATGCTAATAATTTGAAACATCATACTAGACTAGGATTCTGCGAGATGCAAAAAGGTATAAAGAACAAATTTACACTTACAGCACCCTAGATGGCGAACAATTTGTATCTTGTTCTGGAAGAGAATCGTGGTTTGACAACGATGAGGGTTAGTAAACAGACGCACGCGGCTGGAGAGGCTTTTATGTACATCGTCGCTTGCGGCCTCCACGTGATAGGCCTAAGCCATTTCAAAGCTTCCCCGATAAAACTGGAGTATTGGTGAGGAGGGGTGGTGGTGAAGTCTAGGTTGCTTTTATTTGAACTTTATCTCAATTGGGTATCAATACAGCATCAGTCCTACTGGCTCTGTGTCAGCGTCTCTAATCGCTGCTCCAAGCCCTTTACCCAGCTTTCCAAGACCTCTGCATTTTGCTTCATGACTTCGTCGCTTCTGGTCACAGTGTTTTCCAGCTTCTCAATGCCTTCTTTCCATTGTTTGATTTCTGTTGCCATTTCCGCCTGCTGCTTCTCAATCTGGTCGAGGGTCTGGCTGGCGGTTGCGGCGTCGGCGTGAATGGCTCTAAGTGACCGTAAACGGTCGAGGAGAGGGGGCAGTATAGGCGTAAGGTTTTCAATTGTAGGGAGGATTGCATATAAGGCGTTGATCTTAGCCTCTTGCTCAGAGGTGTCAGCTGGCGAGGACCCTGCGTGCTTGCCGAGCTCTTCCCGCAGAGCCTTAGCTTTTTCGCGTGATTCATTTAGCTTGTCCTGCTCAGAGGCCAGTGCTCGTACTCGGCGGCTGATTGTGTCCAGGTTGGCAGTTGATGCCTGCGACAGGGCCGAAACTTGCTTCTCTAGAGAGTCGAGGGTAGGTAGGATTGCTCGAGGGAGCCCGCCTTCTCCAGCTTCTGGCATGAACGACGAGCTGATGCCGAGGCTCCTCTCTAAAACTAACAGCCTGCGATCGAAATCCGCAGCTTTGGCAAGTGCATGCGTTTGTTCGTAAGTGGGTGCGTAGGTTATGGTGTACGTTGGTCCGACATCAAGTGATTCCGTGGCAGGTTCATCTGCATTGGAGGCTGTCAGATCGAACTTCTTGACGCTGGTGATGCCAGAGCGTCTAGATAGGTCATCCAAGGTTTGGCTTAGAGATTCTAGTCGTATGTCGCCCGGGGAGGCATCGTCGTCGCCGGCTGCAGCTGCCTTCCGCTTGGCATATTCGTCTTTGGTCTCTTCTACTTCTCGCTTCAGGCGAGCAATCTTCCGTTCCAAGCTTTCCGCATCGTCATCATCAGAAAGGTCTCCTAGCTCCTCTGTCCCGTCTTGTAGTATCCGTTGGCGGCGGCTGGAGGCTTTGTACGATCGCCGCTTTCCGTCAACACGGTCTGAGAAGTCTGCTCCGCTGATATCAATAGTGGCGGGGGAAAACCGAGAGCGCGCTTCATTAATGCGCAATCTCGACCGCGAGATGTTCTGGGAGTCGTCGTCTACACCGAATTCATCGTCGGAAAGGGTTCGACCTGCAGTCGTCTGATTTGATCGTTAACCAAGATTCGTAGACATTAGTATGAAAAAAATGTAGAAGTGCGCAGTTCTTACCGGAACTATAGAGTTGTCATCGGTCAACTCTGGAGTCTCGTAGATATCTGGGGCACAATCCTGGAGGAGTTAGAAGCTGAGCTGCTGCGTGCTTGACACAGGAGCTTACTAGGTCTGGCAGTGCCGCATATTTTCTATTAAGCGCCATAGTGAGTGCTACCGCTCGATCTCGTCGCAAGCCAGCTGCGTCCTGGGAGAAGATATAAAAGTGCCTCTGCAGCCAAGCCTTGTTTGCTTGCTTGTGGCCTGTAGTTGGTGGTGAAGAGTTTCGGAGCTTGCATCTATCAAAGCCCTGGGCCTTCCTTCCAGGGGTCGACTCGCCCTGCAGAGTGGCTTGCAGCGGGCGCCACCAATTAGAGGTGGCGCTGTAGCAATTGGCTGGCCACTCGACGTTGGCCTCTACACAAGAGCTGCTACAATAGCGTCATAAATCCTGCTATATCACGTTTGTATGGCTTTTGATTTGCAAGCTGAGAAGGTCTGATCGATTTTATAGTTGCATCGGCATTGCAGAGATTGTCCAGTACAGGGATCGGCTGGATTCACTGTGACAACGCAGACCCCGCCAATTCGATATCCAAGCTTTAGCGATGTTCTGCCTAAAGACACCGTCTTACTTAGTCTACCGCAGTGCCAACACATCAACGAACTAAGCAGCAAAACTCCCTACTTTAGTAGGAAGACCTCACGCGTCGAAACTGGACGCGCGGTGTAACGTCTGAAAACCAAGGCCCCAACCGAAAGACAACGCAATTGGCCAAGGGGTTTCATTTTTGCAGACTTTTCATCCTTGTCCAGAGCAGCTGCCGCAATTAATCTGGTGGCAGAACCGTTGGTTGTGTGGCCACACCCCGTTTGGAGCTCGGAGCTTCTTCCGAGGGGCATTGGCTTTGGAGGTTTCTTTTTTAACTAGGAGAAGGTATCATGACTACGCCTCCTGCAAGAAGGCTTGGCCTAAGCATTCGCCACTCGCCTGGCCATCTGCTTAAATCGTTAAATCCCAACAACGGAACGACAACCGTGGCGGCGGCGACGACGACGACAACGACAACAACGACAGCAGCAGCATCATCATCAGCAGCAATAACAACAACCACCGCGAAGACGACGACTGCTGCACACAAATCAGACTCTAAGCCCCGAGGGGGACGCTCTCAGCTCAAAATCCCCGAGCCCATTCCTGAAGATATATTTGCACCCCCTCTTGCGTCAAGCGATGTGGACGATGACGACGATGACGACGACAACAACGACGACAAAACCGCTGAAGCTAACTTAGAATCTAACGAGCAAGCGCGTCTCTACGCAGACAGCTCGGACTCAGAAGCCCTTCCCCGAGGAGCAATTTCGGCTACCAATTTCACATCGTCAAATCAAAACGGCAGGCGACAAAGTCTTCGAACAAGATCTCAAGAGACAAAAGCAGCATCTCAGCTCCCAAGAGAATCTGCTGAGGTAGAGCCCGGTACCAGGAAGAGGAAACGACAGTCTGGCACTTCCATTGACAAGGGAAGCTCAAAGAAAAATGCGCTCGACGAGCCGGACACATCTGCGTTACCCTCGAGCTCTGCTAGTCATTTTACGAATAGCCAGGGTTTCGTAAAGAAACCCAAAGTGAAAAACACTTTTGGGAGGAGGAGCCTCAATTCTCAGGAAAGCCGAAAGTCCAGAGGTCTGTATAATAGTATATATGAGTACCATGCGCAATGATTAACTCTTCCTAGTCTCAGAAGAACCTTCATTGCCCAAACTTCGACGCTTCCCAATCTCAGAAGAGCCCACATTGCCCGTACTTCGACCTCCCGAATTCAGTGCTATCAAGTCGGTTCGAAAGAGCTCCCAGTTCATCGTACCAGATTCTGACGACTTTTCGTCTCCCATCAAACGACGCCAGCCTCGTCAACGATTGCTGCACATTCATTATGGTAACGACAGCGACACTGACGAGGACAACAACAATGACAACAATGGGGATAACAACGGTGACAGCAACGGTGACACTGCGGTTCTTAGTCAGCCAAAGTCTACCATTGACGATATCGAGCTTGAAAAAACCAAGCCAAAGGAAAAGCGAAGAGAAAATCCCTTGCTACGTTTGGCGAAGAAAAATGCTGCTGTTAAAATTCAGAAGGCGAGGGAAGCATCGCCAGGGTCGCCCTCGCCACCACCGGCGAGATTCGTAATGCCGGCACAGCTCTCGGATTTCAAAATGCGTAAAAGACTAAGCGGCGGCGGCGTCAACGACATCGACAATGGCGATTTGTCCGATGCGGGCAGCAGTAGCAGCGATCTCAGCTCCCTCGGGGATATTTTCCCAGACAAGGAAGCTCCAAAAGACGGGCAGGCGCTGTGTCCCTGGTGCGGCGCCTCAGTCGATATGCAACAGCTCAAGGAGTTCTCAGAGGGCAGACAGCGACTAAGCGTCAAGATGCAGACCAAATTCTGCGAGTCGCACAGGAAAACATCAGCACAGGAGACGTACGAATTGAAATCTTACCCCGAGGTCCAGTGGGAGAGCCTGACAGAGCGCTTCGAGAGCCACCGGGGCCGTCTCCTCGGCATCATCAATGGCGAAGAAGAATCACACTACCGCACCGCCTTGGCAGACAAGATCTCGCTGGGCAAAGGCCGGTCCATGAACAAGGAAGAGAACCTCAACCCGGGTTACTACGGCCCGCGAGGCTTCAACATGATGTGCGACTACCTCGTCGGGGAGTTTAGCGACATGCTCAAGAAGAAGGCCATCCACGACAAGGTCATTGCAGGAAGGGGCCCGCCGGCTTTTATCCAGTCGGTGTTGGTGCCGGAGCTGGGCGTGCAGCTGATCATGGAGGACATGCAGGTCTCACTGGAAGAAGCAAGGGGCATATTGGAAGAGAGTAAAGCCCTGGGTGAGCTGGTGCATGGAGAGATTTGATTGCCTCTCAAGCGAGCATGGCAAGGTGAGCTTTGGTGTACGTTTGCTCTCTTTTAATGCACAAGAGAGGAACAAGAAAGGGAGAGAAAAGAAAAAAAAAAGAAAAGAAAAAAAAAAGAAGAAGAAACAAGAGAGAGAGAGAGAGAGAGAGAGAGAGAAGAGAGAGAGAAAGGAACCCCCCTGTCAGTCGTGGCTAAAAGGGCAAATGATTGTACGAATTTCGTTGTAATGGCCCTTTCATTTATTGCCAGTCTCGTTGTTTTTCTAGAGATTAATGGCGAGTTTTATGTATATGTGCTCCCCCAACTTAGGATACCTACCTACCCTTTTCTTTTTCTTCAACTACCTAGTTAGCGCAACCTTAGAAAGAAATGAGATGGTGTTTTGTGACGCTCAACTAAAATGGGATTTAAACTATATTGTCTTGGTACCTACATGCGCTGTGCTGTTTGTGCTAGGAGCAAATCGTGATAGACATGCTTATCACAAGAGGTCCATCTACCTTGGATCTATACAAGTAGAACATACCGATGCGCACGAGGAGATATTATTCGAAACGAAAAAAGGCAAAAAAAAAAAAAAAAAAAAGGCAAAAAAAATTAAATAAGCTATTGAACGGAATCTAATTATGACATGTTACCTCGAGACGAAGAGCACTATATATATGCAGGATTCTTCTGTTATATCCATATTGCTTTAGACCAACAATCCAGCACCATAGACCCAATCAATAAACTCATCATTCCCATATCAATTTAAAATTATCGATACCAGTGTCATCGGGGCCGTCCATAATTCCATCAAGCTGCCATTCCAAGCTCTCGAATCTCTCGAGATCGACGAACCTGCTGCTTCAGCTTTCTCAGAGTTGATCTTCTCCGTCTCGCACCTTGACCCTCGCCTTCTTCGGGTCGAACATCACGTAAAGTCTCAAGAACCATCAGGTCTGCAAGAAATCGCCGAAGCCGTAAGCCAGTTTTGTTGCGTACAAACGTGTCTACTTCTTCATCACAAGCCGCCGAGGCCGCAATATGCAAGCCTCGAAGAACATCTCGGTCCATGACACCTGAGTCTCCTTCACGATCATCTTCCGCGGTTGAGAAACTCTCTGGGATTGATGAAGTCCTCACGGGAACATTGGGTGGCGCATTGGCCTGAGAAGGGATATCGCGAGTGCTCCTGCAGCATACTCCAATATGGTCAGGGTCAAAACTTGGACGAGGCTGGTCTGGCCTTGAAACAGTCCTGTACCGGCTCCCTCCTGATAACCCCCTATTTAACCGCTGGGTTGAGAGGCTTTTGTATTGTCTTTTGTAGGAGCCCTGAGCTCTTTGCAGACCTGGTTGATGAGTAGGTAGATTTTGAGTTGTATGTGCTCTATAGCCACGAGGGCGCGAGCAACCATGTCCTCTAGAATTTGGCTTACCATCGTAGTGGCCGCAATGGCAGGCCTCGGCATGAGTGTTGAATGCCCTCCTATCAGCATCTTCAGCTACAAAACTTTTGTAGCGGGGACTGCGTGGGCTTGAGTCAGCCCTTGGACGGTTGCTATTCCCTTGACCATTTCGCTGCGAAAGTATAAGTGGTGTGGGTTTTGGGGGAGGCGTTGGAGGCCTGTCTTTTGGCATCGCCGAAACGGCATTTCCAGATATCTGTCGGAAGTGCGCCTATTCTCCATCCGCAACAGACTCTTCGTCCTTGGGAAAGCAAGAAAACCAATGCCGTTTTGATTTCTTCTTCTCTTTGATGGGCTGCCGCTTCTGCTTTCGGACGGGCGCTTCGTCAATCAGCGCATATCGCCATTCATCCAAGTCTTGTGACGCGGCAAATGATATTTCACTCAGTGAGCTCGGGCTGGAATCTCCTTCGTCGAAGCCATCGAATCTTGACACCTTTGGCCGTTTGCTATGGGGGCGTTTATTGGTTTTCCGAGATGATTTGGACGAAATCAGCTTTGCAATATAGGCGGGAAAGTTGCGCTTCTGATCTTTTGATGTTACTGCTAATCCTGCCGCTCTGAACTCTGGGCGAAAGGGCAGCAGTGGAGATACTGTATGTAGTGATATACCGGATTTTGTAGGTGTTGCCGGCGGATTCTTGCGTTGCTTTGGGACCCTGGCACCTTTTGGTTGGCCGTGTCGTCTTCCTGTGAATCTTTCCAACGAATTTGACCTGTTGGGTATCCGTGAATGATTCTTGTGTTGACTTGTAGCGAGGCCTCTAGATGTACGGGAAAGCCTCTTATCTTGATTATTTCTTGATATTGCATTAAAGAGTCGGAGATGCTGGCACACGCTCCGTGATATAGCTTCCACGAGAGCAGAGTCGATAGAAGTGTGCTTGGAAGCGCTCGCAAAGTCGGCCGTACCATCAAGAAGCCAATTCTGCGGAGAACGCGGGCTCCTTTGCATGTACACGTGGGATTTCTTCCGGGCTTGAGGAGATGAAAACCCCGTCTTTGGAAGGCATGCCGATGTCATGGGATTTGACATTGCTGTGGCATGGATGCGTGGTGGATTCGCAGGCGCAGCTGAAGCACTGCCAGCAAAGGCAGGTTGGCGAGGAGGATCTTTCAACGGAGGCATCGGAAAAGCATCCAAGTCAAGTGACAGTTCGGATAGCTCCCAAGAATCATCAACAGAGGATGCTGCATCAAGAGACCTCATGCTAGAGCCACGGAAGGGGGCTTCCGCACCACAAGCCGTTCGACTGTCAGCTTGAGCGGGATAAGAAGGATTTGGTGGACTGTGATGTGCGCTATGGGAGCGGCCGTCGGCATAATGCTGCTCAGGAGCTTGCCTCGACTCGCTACTATACACTGAGCCAGGAGACTCAGGGGCAGGAGATTGTTTGCGAATCGGAGTGCACACTCGGCCTGAGCGCTTAGAGAGAATAACAACTCGAGATTTCGGACGCGGCCGATGGAATGATGCCGTTGGAAGGCTGTCGCGATAACGAATGTTTCTATCAAGCAGATGAGAGGCAGCCTCGGGGATGGCTGCCAAGGTAGCCATTGAGGAACGAGAGCCCAGGATGGAAAATAACGAGAGCTTTACGAGATGAAGCTATTGGAAAGAAAGCTGAGAAGTGGTGGAGACGATGATACTTTATTACAATGGAATGGTCTAGATGTTGCTGAACTAAGGCAGGCCTGCAAAAGAGACTGTAAAACGCGTTGTTGTCATATCGACTGAGAGACGACTGAGGGGAGAGCAACCACCAATCCAGGGGCAACTGCGCTTGGCGGAGAAGTCCAAGGATGAAATGCTGCTTCGACTTCAAATACATGAACGGCAGGGGCAGTGGTAGAAGCCGAAGTCATGGAAGGCATTACTAACGATCCATGGCATAAAAGGCTCTGCCCAAGTGAACGCCGCAGACCAGACCGCCCTGCTTGACTACCTGATATCCTTGATCCCAGGCGAAGAGTAGACGTCCAGCTGCCGATGGCCTTTGCGAAGCAGAAACTCGACAGCCGCGAAATCGCGCTTATCAATGGCCAGATTCCGTGAGAATTCATCTCTGCGAGAAGATTATGAGCTTCTAAGAAATTGCGATAGCCGCAGAGTGGGCGTAGATCTGCCGTCTCACCTCACAAACTTCTCAAAGTGCGCTCGCGTGCTCTGTTCAACCAAAGTCAGCCAAATTACAAATTCAATGGGATTGACTAAATTGTATCTTTTTTTATCCACAACAATTTGAACACTCACCTGCGGCTTCTTCCTACACTCGCGCAGGCACTGGCGATATAGCGCCAGCACCTCCTTCTGCAGGCCTGAGAGACGCATCGTTTCCCGGCACAATTTGCGATGTCGTTGCTAACCCAGGCTATTGCAGCCAACTAGTTGGTGGAATATTTTTGCCGCCTCTTGTCCCACCACTGAGAACCGGCGTCTGCGGCCAAAGCTGGGGGTCGGCGCCAGAGCGGAGACCGACCTGCGAATAATGCGGAGGGTAAATAATCAGCCGTATAAAGTATATCCATCGGTGGTATTTTGTAATAAAGAATGACGATATCGGAAGAAACTGCTTCTTACACATATTTAAACATTATGCAGTGAATTTGATTCTTCTTGCACTGCAATCACCACATCCTTGTCTTCAACAGGCGCCTTGTATACTAATTAGTACATAGCAGCAATGTCTGGCAGATTTACAGTAAGCAAGCCTACGATGCCCTCTCCAAAGCCAGTCCACCAGTCTAACAGGGACAGCGTCTCATTCGCTTTCTGGCCAAAGACGGCCGCACATACTACGGCGATGCCATCCTTCCCCAGGGAGTGAGCGACATCGCCAAAGCCCAGCGCGCGCGCATTATTGAAGGAGACATCTTTGGCAGGTATCACGTTACAGACCAAGAAGTTGGCGTGCGTCTGTTGCTATCTCCATTGGCCCAGTCTCAGGTGAAGACGGTGCGATGTTTGGGGCTCAACTACGCCAAACATGCCAAAGAGTCGAACATGCCGGAGCCAAAATATCCCGTCCTGTTCTACAAGCCCATCACAGCTCTGTCCGGCCCAGCTGACCCGATTCCTGTCCACTCAATGGCGCAAGAAGGAACTGGGCTGGACTACGAATGTGAGCTCGTCGTGGTGATTGGCAGGCGGTGCTCGGATGTGTCTGAGGCCGATGCGCTCAATTACGTTCTTGGATATTCCGTGGGCAACGATGTGTCCCACCGAGACTGGCAGATCAAGCATGGAGGAAGCCAATGGTCTCTTGGTAAGGCCTTTGACGGCTGGGCACCTTTTGGCCCGGCCATCGTGACCGGCGATGTTATCAAGGATCCGCAGACTCTGAATATCTGGACCAAGGTTAACGGGGAAACCGTTCAGGTTTGTGGTTCATATATCCACCACACATCTTTTGTGAAGAGAAGCTTGCCAAACTGACCAACCGCAACGCATAGGATGGAAACACCTCGGACATGATATTCGGCGTACGACAGATGATTTCTTTCCTGAGCCGCGGCGTGACTCTCATGCCCGGCGATGTCATCTTTACGGGCACTCCCGAGGGCGTAGGCATGGGTCGGAAGCCACAGGTATGGCTCAAGGATGGAGACGTCGTGGAAGTTGGACTCGACAGTGTCGGCACGTGGTACGTTGATGATGCCTGAAACGAGTTACGTTGACCACGGCAAGGCTATAAGCTAACCCTGCGCGCCGTTTAGTACCAACAGAGTGGAATTCGAAGCTCCCAAAGCCAAGATATAGTCGGGATATGGGAGGAGGAAGCAAAGACTCTGATTACAAGCACTGGCAGAGTGGCTCGTAGGATGGGATGCGACATGCCTTGCTGCTAGGCAACAATTTGGGAGCCTATAGTAAGAATCTGCATTTCGGAAGAGATGCCGTTTGGCCTCACGGGCATTGAACATGATGGTAGCAACAGCAAATACGACTATTAATAGACTCGCTGTTGGCAAAGCTGTCCTGCCCCATGCAGCCTCACCTCACCGGGCTAATGCATGCTTGACCACCGACTGAAACCGTTACCGCTGATAAACGTCCGGTAAAATGTCTTTGTATGTGCCTTTTAATTTGGCCAAGATGAATGAGGAGGCTCATCATCGTACTCCTGCTACCAGCTACATGCACTTACAGGCATCAAGGAATGCTGGTCGCCTGTCAAAAGCGCAGCAGATAGCGCGACTAGGGCGTCCACGTGGAGGCGTTCAGTGGCCAGCAGCCAACCACGCGTGCGGCTGATGTGCATATCCAAATCCTACTAAGCTGCCATCCCGCAGAGAGGAACCATCAATCATGCTTATCCGATCGTAGTTCCTGCTTCTCAGTGAAACATGGTCAACGGGGGGCGCCTTGCTGATTCGGGGTTCCAGGGGGGTCGTGAAGCTGCCGCACGGTTGCCAAAGTGGCCAAAGTGCAAGCAACCAGAGGTGTCAACCAAGACTTGACGATGCTACAGCAGAGTAGATTACCCAAGTATTGCTGGCAAAATCCTCATGGAATGAGTACAAGCGCCCACTTCCGCCCTGTATTCTCGCACCTTGAACTCTACCGAGAAGATGCTGAGAACGTGTGCTCTCTTGGCCAGTGGCTGAAGCCAGCGCTAATAGCCCAGCTACAACACTTACACGCCTCGCAGCAGAGAGCTTTATCCACTTCTCGCCTCACACCACCAACGGCATGAGGTATAGCTAGGCAAGCTCCGATCCTTGTTTTCCTGAAGCACGGCAAACTTGCCTTGGGTGGAGGGACGTGCTCACGCCTCACTGGCTTACCCAGGGCGAGTAGTGGCAGAACTTGTACCCCCTGGGCCGTGCCGTTCGACGGACAAAATAGACAATACACGGAAAACGGTATCTCGTAAATGCTTGTCTTGTTATACGGACAACTCTTACTAGCTCTCTTGCCTATCCAACTACCTGTAATGTCCCGTTTATTTTGTCCATCCCTTATGCACCTAGCTGGAATACTATCCGAAGGATGAGCCAGGCCATCCGTGAGGAGGCTGATTTGCCCAGGTCGGGGTGCCTTGCTCGATGGATGAGCCTAGCCAGACTGCGGCTCCTGGCCAAGAGGCTTTGCTGGCCAGCTAGATTGGCGTCAGATGCAGGCAGCACGAGCCCATATCGTAGTGTCATATCGTAGTTGCGTCAGTCTAGAGGCCGGGGAATCCGTTTCGTTTCGTTTGTTTATTAACTTGACATTCCTAGTTTAGTGCCCAAGAGAGAGAGCGGGTTTGGCTTCCAACGTTACAGTTCTGCGACGTATATTCACTGATCGTCGTCTACTTCCTGCAAAGAGACTTACACTATGACTACATCAACGGTGGAGCTGCACGCGCTCACATCTGCATCGCTCGGGCCAGATGACTCCATCACCCTTTACGAAAATCCCTATACGGCGCTCGACAAGCTACAAGATGCCAGTAAAGACAAGGAAATCGAGTCGTCCGGCGATGTCAATGGCGTCGACTGGCGTAAATACGAACCTCCGGCCGCCCTTAGAAAAGCACCGACTGTCAAATCCCAAATCCTCCTAGATATCATCTTCAGTTCGATTGAAAACGTCAAGACAAGAGTCGAAGAAGAAGAACGGTTGCAGAAAGAGGCTTCTGAAGAAGCTGAGCGACGGACAGCCGAAGAGAAGCACAGGGCAAAAGGCAAAGAGCCTTATTTGCCCGTCATCATTCCCATGGAGGACTCACCAGCCGAATCATCATCAAATATCAATGCTAAACGCACAGTCACACCAAGGGCAGCATCCGACTTCAAGATGTCAGGAGGCAGCGGCCTTCCGTCAAAAGGAGAGAAGCGTCGAAAATTTGGACTACGCAATATATTTCAGCGGAGCCCAGAAGGAGGAGAAACAAGTGCTGCTGGACGGTCCCGGGAAGCTCTACGACACAAGCTAGAGGCGAAGATTCTATCCTTTGATGCGAAATCAGCCGATCCGAAAACACAGGAAGCTATCGAGGCTCTGCGAAAGTCCAAGTTGTTCAAGACGGTAGATCCTGATCAACTAGTGTAAGTTTTCATACTCTTAGACCCTATAGAAATTGCCCATTAGCTGACTTGATTTTTCCTCTTTTAGAGAATGCGTCTCTTGTTTGGACGATATCCCCGGAAAGGACACGGTTAAAGTCCCGTGCCACAGCTACTGCCGTGACTGCTTCGCTCGCCTTATATCAGCAGCAGTTCAAAATGAACAGCAGTGGCCACCTAAATGCTGCTTGAACCAGATTCCCTTCAAGACGGTCCTCAAGAATATTCCCGATGATCTCAAGAAGATGTTTCACGAAAGGTCATCGGAGTGGGAAATCCCCATCAGCGAGCGAGTGTACTGCCATGCCCCTGACTGTGGTGTTTGGATCAAGCCCGGCAAAATCAGCCTTGCGAAGCGTCAAGCCCGCTGTGAACGCAATCACGTCACCTGCACTATTTGCCGAGGCCAAGCGCACGGGAACAACGACTGCTCCCAGGATCATGACTTGAATTTGACCAACTTGCTGGCGGAAGAGGAAGGCTGGAAACACTGCATCTCTTGCCATGCGTTAGTGGAACACAAAGAGGCATGCCAACACATGACGTGCAGGTGTGGCGCTGAGTTTTGTTACGTGTGCGGATTGCGGTGGCGAACATGCGGGTGTACAATGGAACAGCTACATGCCATCAAAGAGGCGGCTGAGGCGCGGAGGGAACAGCGACTGTTGAACGAACAGGCGGATGCGGAAGAGTTGCGAGACATTTTGGCTCAGATTGAGGAATTCGAGCGCCAGGAGGCTTTGAGGCTTGAGGCGGAAAGACTGGAGCACGAAAGGTTGGAGCAGGAACGTTGGCGAGCTGTGGTCGAGGAAAGGCTTAGGGTGGAAAATATCCGCCGTCAAGATGTCGAGATCAAGTACGGACAGTTGCGAGACATACTGGATGACCTTCATGAGCTTCAGCATATCATGGCTGATTCCAAACAGGAAGACGATGCCAGGGACCTGGCCACTGAAGCCGAACTGCAAAAGAAGCAGCTTAAGGAGAGGCATCAGGCCAAGCGCGAGGACCTTGACTCGTCGATGCAGGCCAAGCTCAGAGCCAGGGAAGATCAATATGAGAAAGAATATGCTGCTCGAGCGGCCTTGGAACGTCAACTAGAAAACGATTACCTGCAACAGCTTCGCGAGTTTTGGAGTGACAAGGATGGAGGAGAAGAGAGGATCGAAGCAAGCATGCAGCCGTTGCGCCAGCGGATGGATTCCGCATACCAGGCGTGGCAGAGGTGGAGAGACGACCAACTGGCCCATTATCGAGACCGGCTCGAAGATGAGCGGACTGTGAAAGAAGAGTTCATGTACAGCTCGAGTAAAAGGATGGATGCAGCCTACTTGGACAAAGAGGCGGAGTTAGCGAGACGAATCGTTGCCGAGAAGGAGTGGATTCAGGAGGTGATGCAGGAGCGTGAGCGATTGCTCAGCGTAATGGAAGCTCAAGAGACGGAAGAAGATGCAGACAGTCTGTATGGCCTCGAGTTGGACGGTTAAAGCGAGTGCTGGAATGTGTGGTCAAACTCGCCGGTGCGTAGAGAGGCTGTGGGCATTCGAAATGTAGATTGGTACATGTATATTTGATGAAGCCGAGAAATGGAGATCGATATCTGTATGAGTAGGATAGACGCATTAGACTTCGTTTACGATCGAGAGATGAAACTCTTGGTGGTTGACAGCTTTTCAGTTGCTCGCCCTGCTGTTCCGTACACAAATCAGAAGGGAGTTTCCAGTGGAAAGTCGCAAAACAAGGCAGTCAGATGTCGAAACGCTACCTACCGGACTTTTCATCCACCCCCTTTTCTGTTGTAGCCATCAATTCGGTGTATGGCTCAAGATACAACACGCGATACCTGGCAGTAACGTGGATTACCTTCCTACCTGAAGTTCAAACCTAGGCAAGGAGGCCCGTAACAAAGCTGCAGATCGTCAGCCGGCTCTAGCTTTATCCAACCCGTCCTCACAACGATGCCATCATTTGTAGTGGAGCTGATGGGCTGGAGAGGCTAATGCTCTCTTTTCAAGCTTGTTTTGTAATGCTTATCTGGATGGCTGTGCCCCGTATACGAGACAGAAAGCTGTTTTCAAGCTCGGGAAGATGCCGAAGCCAATTGCTTCATCATCCAGTCTGCTAAGCTACAAAACTACAGCGTATCCAACACTATAGCATACAAAAGCCATCTTGTTGGTGGCCTTGACATCTACATACTACTACTACATCATACTTATTAGCTTCTAGTAATTTAGAATTGGAACTGCTTACTATTTTGCTGCCTAACCATCATTTCGTTGACCAGAGATACTTGGCTTGAGCAGAAGATGACTCAAAAGGATCTCCAGCAGCCGAAGCCGCCAGCCGGTACTCGGCACCGAGTTGGAGGCGCCAGGAGGTGGTAATGGAAATGTTGAGGTTTCATGAGGTTTGATTGGAAATGGACATCGCGCTGGATGAAGCAGTTCCAATTTGGCAATCGAGGTGGGTAGGCCTATAGCTAGGCAACTTACCAGGCAATGACAATTACAACATCTTCACAGAGCCAGATACTACATACATCCTATTTGATACTATGCACATAGTAAAATTACTTCATTGATGCAAATATAACCGCAATTAATCAGCACTTCCGAGGGCGCTTTCAGGCATGACGAAGCCCCTTTCACCCTTCCACGGCGCCAAAACAGTCTAAAACGCACTGCTAGCGTCTCACCCAGCGCTGTAAAACAGCGCGCTAAAACGATTTATGGGGAGTTCGACCGCTGGCTCGGCCACTCACAGGCGCGCCCACGTCTATTCTCCTCCACCTCCAGACTTCTTCAGTCGTCGAGCCCATCACCCTGGCTTGTCAGACTATTTTAGGCCGCGATTGCTCGAAACCGCCCCCCTGGCGGGAAATGCTGGCGCCTGATAGGCCTGGCCAAGCCTTTCATTGTTCCAGGGCCGCACGGGCCAGTGCTTGCAGCCGACCTGGGCTATGTCCGGCTCTTCATGCTTCCGGGCCGGGGCAATATTCGAAGCACGGTGTGTATCACCAGCTGGGCGGCGTCGCGCTACGCCTGTGGCCTGTTTCTAATGGAAACAATGGAAACAATGGGAAACGGTACGTGAAACAGAAGAGGGTTCGAAATAGGAGGAGGCTGCTTCCGAGGACATCTTGGGGCCAGCCGTGAAGAAACGTGGTGAGAAGGTAGGGAGACTGGTTATCAGCATCATCAGTACTAGGTAGCTAATGCTCCTGAGCAGTAGCAGCGCTTCCAACTCAGACGGATCCGGTCAGATCAACACAAAGCACAGGGCAAGCAAAAAAAAAAAAAAAAAAAAAAACGCCTATGAAATGAAGCCACGAGCATGAAGCGCATAATATCCAGGCTGTAAGCCAATCTCAATGAACGGCAAACGATGAATCAAGATAGACGCTAGCCAAGTGGCTGTGTTAGCGATGGCCGCCAGTCTGCTTTCAATAGAAACAAGCTTTCTCGGCATCCGCAATGCTGCAGCCCCTTGGCCCCGTTTGTGCCTGATATAGCCAAAGGCAGGCTTCCGACCTAATCCAATTCGAGATCCTAACCGTCTCAGCTTATGGTAAGAGACGCTACGACGTTGGTCCGGAACAATCTATGGCCAATACTGCATTCAATCTGCCACGCAGTCTACGGTAGCGCCGCCCCATGGGACATGAAGGCTCTGTCCTTTTGGCTCCATATAGGAGGCTATTCTCACATTTGGATAGTATTGGGCCACATACTGCCCTGTCTTTACGGCCGCTGTCAGCAATAGTATAGAGTGCTAGCACAAATACGGACTTATACGGGGCTTATTAATGATACGCAAAACGGGAAACGCTCTGCATCTAGTTTTATAAACAGATCTTGAAGCGTCAGAGCCTTGCCAGGGCCAATGACATTCTTCACATTCAGCCCACGCCCCCTCTATGTCTGCATGGGGCTGTGTGGTTGTAATGAGGCTTCTGCATGTCCGGGGGTGTGGAACAGCCAGGGGTACTCCGACCTGGTTTATTCCCAGGCAAACGTTTTGAGGGGCTCGAACTTGGCTTCGTTTGGCGGCATGTCTATGCTTCAGACCCATCATGGCTGCCTCGTGGGAGACGGCGGCTAGTCGACAGTCCATGAAGGGACAGAAGCATATAAGACCAGCACACCCTCAGGTTCTCGTTATTTTCCTAGCCAGACAATCTCATCTTCTTCAAGTGATACCCCCAAGCCTGCAAACAAACTTCATTGTTTCTTTTCTATTCTTCTTTTAATATCAACCAAATAAAACAAAACACAACCGCCAAAATGCTCTTCTCAACTCTTGCCGTTACTGCTCTCTCCGCTGTCGCCAGCGCCAAGACCATCCGCATCGACGTCGGTAAGGGTGGTCTCACTTTCTCTCCCAACGACATCACTGCCGCCGTTGGTGACATCCTGGAGTTCCACTACCACCCCAAGAACCACTCCGTTGTGGCCGCCGATTTTGCTACTCCCTGCAAGCCCAAGGCTGAGGGTGGTTTCTACTCCGGCTTCTTCCCTACCAGTGGCACTGAGAACGTAAGTTAACCAATAGCACCACAATGACCATGCCAGATGTGCTAACAGTAATCTTCCAGTCCAAAGTCTTCCAGGTCGAGGTCAACAGCACCACTCCTATCTGGTTCTACTGCTCTCAATCAACTGGCAACCACTGCGCTGCTGGTATGGTTGGTGCTGTCAACGCCAACGCCAACAAGACCCTCGCCGAGTTCAAGGCTGCTGCTGAGAAGGCCACCTCCAACGAGTCTCCCAAGTCCGGAGTATTCGGTGGTATGGTCATGGCTGCCTCTTCCACCACCAGCGGCTCCAGCTCCACCACCAGCAAGGCTCCTGCTGCCACCACCAACGCTGCCGCTGGTCTCGGTGTCAGCGGCATGGCTGCTGCCGTTGTTGGCGCTGCCGTTGCTTTCGCTCTCTAAGCGCTGGACGCATTCAGATTGGGAAAAAAAAAACTGAACGGATTTTTATTTAATGGTAAACTGTGAATATACATGTCGGCATGTACGATGAGTCAAAGATTTTTTTCTCTCTTTTTGGGGCAGCGTGCGGAAAAGTAGCCAATAATCCATAATCCCTGCGGGAATGGCTTCTCAATTTCTTCTATCTTCTATATCTATTATGGTCAAGGCAATTTACATAGACGCCTTCGGGCAAGTCTTGGAGTTCAATATACAATGATTATACCTCCAACCTGAAATGTTTGCAGTAAACTTTAAATATTCTTATTTTCTGTTTGTTTGTTCAATCTAGGATCCCTCTTCTTTCTACTCTACAGGAGATAATTCATTGCTTTTGGTTCACACCGATACTGGGTCGTCTAAGAACAATGAAATCTCTAACCGGCCGGTCAAAGAAGTCGTTGAATTGGATATTCCCAACTAAGCTGCCAAGACTTTTAGTACCAAAACTTAGTGCCTGCGTTTAATAGTTCGCACGGTAAGGATGTCCGATCTGAGGGGAGAAAAAAAAAAAAAAAAAGAGCGGCTTACCTACTGATTCACACACTAGCCAAAGGGGGTCTTTGTCAGCGTCGATGCCGAATCTCTCATAAACTTTCCTACGCAATCTCATAAAAAAAATTAATATTTAATTGAACCTTTGGCTGGCAGTTCGCCATGGGGTCCATCACTAGGGATGCAGCAGTGGCCTCCTCGCAGTAAGTCTCCGTCCTCTGGCTAGCAGGGCTAGATCTTTCCAAGAAGCCCCTGTAGGGTAAGATTTGCATCAACGAACTAACTGGAGATGTGATAGTCCGCTCAAGATCTTTGATGCTGCGAAGAGGCAGGACAGGTTTTTGTATGCCTGTGCGCCGATGGTGCGCTACAGCAAGGTGAGTCTTGGCTCATGTTGGCTGTGTTAAGATTTATTGTATTTTTTCTTTATTTTTTATCAGAGCATAGAGCTGACTGCTTTGAAGCTTGCCTTTCGCCAAACTGTTCACAAATATGGCGTCGACTTATGCTGGACGCCTATGATTCTGGCCAAGGAGTTCAACAGAAATCAGTTTGCCAGGGACAGCGGTACGTCTCATCGCCCATTATGTCATTCAATATACAGTGAATGAAGGAGAGGGGAAAAAAAAAAAAAAGAGAGAGACGAGTATTGAGAGAGTGAAAACACAGACTTTACAATCAACACCTCGGGCGTCCAGCCACCCACCATCGTCCAGTTCGGCGCCAACGACCCCCAGGAACTCGCCCGCGCATCCTCCCTCATCGCGCCCTTCGTCTCGGGCGTCGATCTCAACTGCGGATGTCCTCAGTCCTGGGCCTGCGCCGAAACTCTCGGCGCGGCGCTGATGAACGAGAGGGAGCGGGTGCGCGACATGGTCGTTGAGACGAGGCAGTATCTGGAGAGGGACGGATGGGGCGTCAAGATGGAGGAGGACATGCACAGCCCAAAGGGGCGCAGCGTGAGCGTTAAAATACGAGTTCACGATGATTTGAGGTAAGGGAGCCAACTCTTATGCACATATTCCAACTTCTCTAGAGGCGGGTGAAGAACAAACTCATACTCATGATTCAAACTCAAAACTCAGGAGAACAATGGACTTTCTCGATACAGTCATTGGACACCCCCAAAACCGCCTTGTCGACTGGGTCACCATCCATCCTCGAACACGCCACACCCCCTCCACCACTCCCATCCGCACCGAAGCCCTGGAGATCCTCACAGAAAAGTACTCTCGCACACTCCCCATCCTCCTCTCCGGCGACGTCTTCGATCTCGCAACCCTCCCCATCAGATCCACCATCCCCGACCTCGCAACCCTCACCGTCAAAGAAGACCCCCAGGACACTCCCGCCACAAAACAGCAACCGAAACCTAGCAACACAAATCTCTCGGGCTTCATGTCTGCCCGCGGCCTCCTCGCCAACCCAGCCCTCTTCGCCGGCCACTCCTCCTGCCCCTGGGAAACTCTCGAGACCTTCATGTGCAACGTCGCGCGGTGTCCGCTGCCCCTGAAGCTGGTGGTACATCACGTACAAGAGATGTGTGCTCCTGGGATGGGCGGCGACAAGTCTGCGCTGCTGAACAAGAAGGAGAGGGCGAAGCTGGTGGAATTTACGAACATGGCGGATTTGATAGACTTCTTGGATGAGAAGATTGAGGAATACACGGGACAGAAAGGAGGAATGAGAAGAGACTTATAGAACACCAACACAAGGAGGGCCGTATCACTTATAAATGGGATCAATGAATGAAACATGAATAAAATAAAAAAAAAAAATATTGTCCGTCTCTCCTTGGTATTCGTTTGATTCAAACATACGCTTCTTCGACTCTCATCAAACATGTACAGAGCAAGATACAAAAACTAAAAAAAAAAAAAAAAAGACACCCACTCTTTTTAAGTCAATCATAAGCCGGTCAATATACCCTGTATGCCCAAAGACCCCGAATCGTCTCGCTTCTGCACAAACGCCTTGAAATCCGCCTTGGACAGCTTCCCTCTCACCGAGCTCGACCCCGGCGCCAGCGTCCTCACCTTCTCCCTCAGTGCCTCTGGCCCGACGATGAACAGCGATCCAATCTCCGTAAGCATCTCTATCGCCGTCTCGACGTCCTTGGCCAGCGGCCACGCCCGCAGCGTCGCGACGTACTTTGCAATGTCCTGCGTGACCATCAGACCACCCGTGGCGTTGACCTGGAACCTCTTGAAGTGGTCAAACAGGTGAGAGTGGAGCACGAGACCGAGCTCACTGAAGAATTTCTCTGCGTTGTGCCCATCGATGGCCTGGCCTGCAAGCTGGCTCGCCCGTGCGAGGAACTGGCAGATGTGCAGACATGTAGCGGTCTGGAGCGATTCTAGCTCGCCATCCTTGGGTCTAAAGTCCTGTTTCTTCTGTGTGCCCAGCGACTTGATGACCCAATTGACAATGACGTCGATGGATACCTTCATAATGGCGTTGGTCTTCTTCTCGATGGCATCAATGGCCATTTTCTTCTGGGCTTCCATGCTCTTCCTTACAGTCGTGTTGGATTCAGCGAGTCGAATGAGCACGGTGCTGATGAATCGTTCCATGAGAGCAGAGATTGTCACGCCAGGCCGAATAGGTGGTAGATAGGACATGTCTGGCTCTGTTTTCGTGTTCTCTAGAACGGTGGCCTGGAAGTGTGCTGCGTCCAGCGCAGTGTCGATATAAACCTGGCCCATATTTGTGAGCAGCAAGTTTAGCAAGATGTTGACGTCTTTCGGTGTGTCGAGTTGCGATCCTAGCTCGAGTACTCTCTGGACGCTCTCCGCCATCCATTTTAACATCCTCTTGGCGTTTGCCACACTAAGTATTCCATCCTCGTCTGATACTTCGATTTCGTTTTTGTCCTCCCTGTCACCCTTGTCCTGCAGGCCAGCAACTCGCAGCATCATCGCTTTTTGTGTATCCGACAGCTCGGACGACTCAAGCCGCTCGAGATAAGCGTCCTTGGCAGATTGTATAAGCTGCGTGCCTTGTTGGGCCAATGAAGCCATAAACCCAGATGGTGCCTTCTTTCTCCTTGAGTGGAATATGCTGAACTTGAAAAGCAAAGAGCCGTAGAGTTCTTCCAAGCTCTTCCGTTCTCGGTCAATGTAGACACTACCCACAAGGAAGGGGACAAAGAGTTCGTCTAATTGCTGGTCTAGAGCTTGTGCAATTTGTGCCGAGCAAGGCTCTGGGTGCTCAGTCAGGCCGTGCATCTTCAAATCTTCCACCAGAGAGCCGATATAACTCCTAGATGAGTGTAAGGACCTCAAAAACGCTAGGGTTGAGACCGATTCGGCTTTATCTAGAACCTTCTCCAACCGCTGCTGTATAGACTGTTGAAAGACTCGCTGAATAAACTTGACAAGTACCGTTTCATAGTAAGGAAACGCTCGTTTAATGATGAATGATTCTTCCTGCATGACGATCTTGACTTCATCAATTAGTGATTGCAAGCTTGGCTCGATACCTGGGGGCTCCGTGTCCGGATCTGCCAAAGCTTCCCACATTTCGCCGTCAGCTGCCATTTCGTCACTCATCAGTTGATCTCGGTCAATGAAGAATTGATGCTGGTTTACAAAAACTGCAATGACGCTAGCTCCTCCGTTGAAATCGTACAGCACCTTTGCGCATTCCATCATGTCATTGAAGTTCTGCCGCTTGTAGCTGTTGTTGAACTGCTGCAGCAAGTCTTGTTCTAACGTCTCGCAAAACTTTTCGAGAATTTCACGGGTATTGCGTGCTCGCATTGTTAATGTAGCAAAGCTGGCTATGCTGGCTCTGTTGCCATTCCGCGTTCCCCATGCTAGCGGATCGAGTTGCTGGCTGATTCTCATTAATTGGCGAGCAATGACGGCACATCGCACTTTGTTCTCAGCACCGCCTTGCCGCCTGATATCTTCAAGGGATGACAATAATCCAGTTTCGCTTAGTTCCGTCCAGCAGTTTATTAAGAAGATTGTGTCCTGCGCTCTCCTTCTCTTCTTATCTAAGTCGTCTAACTTCTCTCCGATCTGAACGGCGATGTTCCCCCCATTATCAGGCTTCCCGTTCACATCTTTGCCATTTGTGCTGCCGGGATTTAGTGAGATGTCAAGGGCTTCGAAGGATTCCATGGTTTCGTCGAGCTTGCGGCCGAGGGTATCGAGTGTCTGGTCGTGTTGGATTTCGGCCCGGCGCACCTGGGAGAGGAGCTCGGATTCCCTCTCCTGGAGCTCATCTCCAAGGACGGCAAGCTGAGATAAGGCATCTGGAGAGAATTTCGTCAGCATGATTGCCCCCTTTCTCCTCATCTCTTCTTAGGTGCATCTCGTACTCTCAAAGCTTCTGATCAGCGGCTTCGGATCAAATGTTGTGGATTGTGTTGGCCCTGAACGACGGCTAGAGGGCATAGCACTCTCCGCAAGACTATCCACAAAGTCTCTGACTATGAAATCCTTGTTGGAGAAGTCATCGAGGCTGAAGTTCGGGCCCTTGGGGAAGATGCTCTTGGGCCCGCTGGACCGATCCATGGTTGGTGAGCGTCAGGCGAAGGCGCATCAGCGAGCTATGTGTAAGTTGCAATTGACGACCATTTGCTACACCCACTCATGTGTGCGATGTTCGACGATCTGCCTAGTCAGTTTGTCGCGTTGCGTCGTCGCGAAGCGCCGGCCTCGTGCGATTCGTGGATTGCTTGATAGCTCTGCCTCCTTGGAATACGTGACCCTGTTAGCAAGCAGTGGAACGCTATGATGCCTGCCGAGCCCCGCTACGCCACGTTTACATCGGCCTCGGAGCTGCGCCACACCCTCCCGTGGCTCGTCGGGCCACGCCACTCAGGAGAGAGGACACATGCAAATCACCAGGTACAATTTTACAGGTACCCAATTTGGCGAAAGACAGCAGCTCATTTGCATCGCCTCTCGCCCCAACTCTTTTCTCCCCAGCAATTTGCTGGATGGACACGTCTTCGATCCTCCTCATTCATTTGCCATAAGGGCAGCCGCCACAACCGCAAGGGCGCGCACTCGGCTTCGTTTCCCTGAGATCGAGCTTCAACCAACAACAAAACACCTAATACGACCGATCTCGAAACTTTAGATCCTTGTACACCTACTGGCCTCGACTACGAATCACTTCGCCGTTAGTGAGACAGTCTTCCGAGACTGCAAATATTCAACATGCCCATGAACTTTGAGAATACCAAGGCATATAGAGCCGACGAGCGACTGGGCCATAGCCTTCTATCAGAGGCACAGAGACAAGCTATCTTCAAGGTATGGACAGTTTGCGACATTCGAGATTATACACACCTCTGACTTTTTTTTTTTTTTTTTTTTTTTGGCAGGCCTCGCTTCCCTCGCCGAATGATGGATCGACCATAGTAAACAAGCCTGGACAAGCACAGCGTAGATCTCGACTCGGAGTCAGACGATTTATAAAGAATCAAATCTTTGTCTTCGTATTCGCCCTTATGCATGGCATCTTTTCTCTATATATCAAATCGCGACAGACATGGCACGGCGTGTCCTATCGGATATCTTCTATTCTCTATTACCACCATGCCACGCCGCAGTACATTCGGCGAGACATCATGGGACTGACCAAGAAGCCCAAGCATCTCAGCGCAATCTTGAAGACCGAGGGGAATCATAGGGCGAAAAACGACCTCGACCGGTTGATTGAGGAGACGGCTGAGCTTGCCACATGGTGTGCTTGTGCAGAGATCCCCATGCTCTCAATATATGAGAAGTCAGGTGAGCTCGTAACCAATCCTTTTTTTACCTTGTATGCTAGCAAAGCTAACCTTACATCAAAGGTGTCTTGAAGAAGCATATGCCTCGAGTCTATGAGGCAGTTGTCCAGAAATTCACATTCTACTTTGGCGCCGAGCATCCGACGCTCTCTGTGACTTCTCCCCACCAGGATGATTTCCCCACCCGCATGCTGGAGGAGAGCAGACATGGACACTTGCAGCTCCATCTGATTTCCTACCAAGATGGAAGAGAGTCTATCGTGGACCTTACCAGAACTCTTGCGGACATGTCGCAACGGGGCAAGATCTCCCCACGAGATATTTCCCAAGAGCTCATTGACGCCGAGCTGTCAGAAGGCATCCTCCCTGAACCCGACTTGCTAATTCTCTTCACTCCTCACGTTGAGCTGTCGGGCTACCCACCGTGGCAAATCAGACTGACTGAGATTTTCTGCCTGCAAGACAACGAGACATTCGGCTACCAAGTGTTCCTCAAGGCTCTGAGAAATTTTGCTTCTGCGCAGTTCCGACGTGGTAAATAAACCACGCGGAAGCAATTTCTTTTTTCTCTCCTACAGATATCCATTCTCGTATAGATAATGTATATTTTCTCTACCATCATGAGGGCTTCCACAACACCATGGCTCGACTTGTCTTGTCCCAACGATAAACGGGACCATTTCCGACATTATAATTATAATAGTTTTCTGTCCCCTCTTTGATCTTGGCTCTTCTGAAAGTTATGTTGATTCTTCCTCCATCTTCCTCATTCTTCCCTGTGCGTTTCGGTATAGAATGGAGCCAGTTAGATTGTGTTTTCCCTTTCATTAAGATCATATCCCCGCTATTTAATGGAAATTTAATCACTTTTGATTTGATAGGTGGGTTTGCTTCCTGGCTTGGAGGTGCTGGTTTGGGCTTCATCAGGAAGTCTCGTCGCGCGCCTAGCGAAAAGGAGGCAATGGCAGGCTCTTGGCCCAGAAATTTCTCGTCATCGCTGTGAAACGCAATGCTATCTGCACCAGAGGCATAATAGTTGACCAGGCAGAAATTGAACTTGCAGTCTGTAGCTGCCTCCGTGGATTGTCGAATCTTATCGAGACATTGTGGTAGAGGCCGAGGCGGGCATTTCTCATAGCGTCTATCTGACAGCACTTTCATTTCTGTATTTGCATCTACCACTGCTCCTGTCTCGTCAAACTTGGAAGTTTCGTCAAGTCCGAATACTGTGGTCCATCTTTTTCATTCATTTGTATTAGTTGCACTTCGTCTCTTTTGTCATATAGATTGAGCTATTGTATAGACTTTACCTTGGTGTGCGCACCTGTGTCTCAATGCCCCCTCGTTTGATTTGATACTCTACCTTGTAAAAGGGCAGTTCTGCCCGTAAATGCTGAAAAATCTGACGCGTAAGGTATTCGGGGATATAAGGCTCGTAATACAATAGATCCAGATCTGGCTCATTGTTGATAGCTCGAGCAGGGCGAGCTGGTAAAGATGACAGCTCTTTGCTTATTGACGCAGGAAAATCAGTAATTGGAAACGGATACTCTATATGTTGCGTTTTGGTAGTCTATATAATCGTAAGTAAGTAAGGAAGTTCACATGCTAGTTTTATGTATTTAGACCTACAATCTCATCCGGCCCGTCTGAAATGCTTCTTTCCTCGTTGATGTCTTTGCGGGGCCGCTTTGGAGCAGAGCTGAAGAAGGCATCAATAGTTCGTTTCTGTGACATTCTATCGCATTCAAATCTAGTAGTTAATTATGTGTTCTCGAAGCAAGCGCGATGCATCTTCATGTAACCAACAACACGCGTTCATATACCCGGGGAGCCGTGACATCACAAGCTCAGCCTTGCCCTCACCCATGAGCTCGCGCCACAGCTTCCCTTCGACCCACTTCACAGCTACGATCGATTCCAGTGCTGTGGCGGTGCAAGTACCGCAAGATGTACTCCGCACGCAAAATTTCACACTCTCAGCCTTGGAACCCTGGTCTCAGTGAGTAATAGACGACATTTCATCAGCCATATTCGACATGGAGGTGAGTTTATGAGGCGCTTTCTGTCCTTACAAATTATATATGCACATTACTAACTATGAAAATTTTAATCTTTGGAATAAAAGGAGTCAGATAAACAATACCTAATGAATCTCTTTCGAGCTCCTGCTGCTGCCAGAGCAGCCAAAACCCTGGATAGATCGCTCTTCTCAAGAACGTTGCCCACAGCCGCAGCCTCTTTAAGAGATAACAAGCTCATTTCAAAGTATCGCAAGCAACTCGAAAAGACAAAGGAGATCTTTGCGTTGGATAGATTTGATGTTTGTGCTGCGGATCCAGATGCGACTCTTGCCGCTCAAGGGAAGAAATGCCTTGTGTTGAAGCCGCATATTAAGCCAGATGGTATGTTGATAAGTCACGGGAGTGGAATGAGCATTTTACAGTCCAGAAGATTTGATACACTAACTTTGTATATCAAGTACCGGAGACATGGAGTCCGATTCTACAGGAGGCTTCCAAGTTGGGAGAGCTGAAGATTGTCCCTTATGAGGTTCATATTGGATATGATCTTTGGAGTTACCGTACGAGACATTCAAAAGATTTCAAGCTTACTCTTATTGGTTGGAAACCTAAACTAACTCTGAGAAACAGTTGATGTAATGAGGTCTATTCTACCAGAAGACCTACACGGAGAAATCCCCGTTGGGTTCAACACTGCAGGCCATGTCGGTGAGATGAACTTCTTGCTCTTAGTTGCTGCGTTTATCTCAAGTTTTAAAAATGAATAAGCACTAATTGCCGATACAATATAGCTCATCTCAACATAAGAGGCCAGTACCTCCCCTACAAGTCCATAATCGCGCAAGTCATCATGGACAAGAATCCAACCATCCGCACCGTCATCAACAAAGTCGACAACGTCGGCACTGAGAGTGAGTACCGAACTTTCAGCTACGAGGTCCTGGCCGGGCCCGACGACATGCTCGTCGAGGTCAGCGAGGCCGGCTGCTTGTTCAAGTTTGATTACTCAAAAGTCTACTGGAACACGAAGCTTGGCACCGAGCACCAGCGCATCGTCAGCTTATTCAAGCCTGGCGAGGTGGCCGTCGACCTGATGGCCGGCATTGGGCCATTTGCCGCTCCCGCTGGAAAGAAGGGAGTGTTTGTCTGGGCGAATGACAAAAACCCCGAGAGCTACAAGTATCTTACAGAAATTATTAAGCGGAACAAGGTGAGTACTGCTTTTGTCCTCTCATTCCCCCATCCCCCGCCTATCATTGAATCTCACTCGACTAATACCCCACGGACAGGTCTCTGAGTTTGTCAAACCTTTCAACTACGACGGACACGAGTTCATCAGAAAATCCGCCGACCTAGTGCTAGAAGCATCTCAGCGCGGAGATTGTGCCCTCATTCCCCAGAAAGTGTCAAGGAGCGCGCCAGGCCCCCGGCCTGAACCCATCCGGATCCCCGTGCCCCCAACGGTATCCCACTTTGTCATGAACCTTCCCGCCTCAGCTATAGAGTTCCTTCACAACTTCCGGGGCCTTTACGAGGGCCACGAGAAGCTCTTCGCTCCCCACACCGAGACGAAGCTGCCCGTGGTTCACGTCCACTGCTTCGCCGTCAAGGCAGATGATTCAACGCCCCTGGACGACATTTGCCAGCGCATCGAGAAGGAGATTGGCGTACTCTTGACGCCTGGCGATGTAGAAAAGGACGGCCAGGTACTCATCCACGAAGTCCGAGATGTTGCCCCCGCAAAGCGGATGTTTTGTGCAAGTTTCCGCCTGCCGTCCGAAGTTGCTTTTGCTCCGCGATCCTAGGCCGATGCTAAGCCGATCCAATCGCCATTGTTCTCGATATCGCCAACCCTACAGTACGGGAGGGCGTACGCCTCATACCCCGTTAGCCCAAGATGGGGGGTTAAAGATAATTAAAAAAAAGCCATTGTGCTCGATTCAAGAGTCGGTACCCACACGGAGTAATAGATCAGCGGCTGGCTGATAAGGGGAGACAAAAGGGTCCTGGGCATGAAAACCTTATCTTCAAAGAGCCCAGGCTCTTAGAAAGCGCCGCCATGACGACAGATCAGTCAAATCAAATCACCGTTCTAGGTCGACTCCCAGCGCCTCTTCGTTCTCTCTAACACTTTTCATATTAGATGATAGCGCAAGACCTGTCTAGCCTTGCATGCTCAGCACGGCGTGACGAAAGAGATAAAGCCACAGCTCATAAAGCTAATAAAAGTTGTCAGTTTTTTTTTTTCCTCTTCTCTTTCTTTCCAAATCTGCCATTGAGCATGGAAAAGACGGAAAGCATAAATCTCACTCATAATGCAAGACTTCCTACATGAGCGAGAATTTTTTTTTTTAAACTCCACGCCAGGGGATTACAGAGATGGCAGACAGGTCACCTCCATTACCTTCTCCCCTCCACATAGACAAGTTGTTATATGATATGCCACACTGTACTCCGTACTATTAGCTTAGCTAGCTACCTTGACTGGTCCTCTTTTAAATTCCACTTAACGAGGCTATGCGTGCGGCGCCGTGTCATCTATTTTTGGTAAAGGGAGTGCTTACGGCTGTGCTTAACGCAAGCTTTAGCCAGCTATCTGTCGAGTTGTTTTAGGTTATAGTTATCACAGGGCAAGGAACAAGCTGAGCTGTCGATGCAAAAGCAAATAAATTTTCTTTTTCTTTTCCTCGGAAACAAAATTAGATCACCGTGATTCTACAATTCGTCATATTTTCATTGCCCGCTTATTCGGAGAAGCTCACCTCGTACAGAACAGCAATTGACTTCCCCTTCCCCCTCATCTCACCACTTTAAGCTCAAAACACTATTCACTGCCTCCATGAACCGAGGAAATATGTTGATGATATGAAATTGAAAAAAATCTGAACCATCTGCATGGTGCAACATGCCACTCTCTCTCGTAGCAACAAGCCACTATGCTTCCTGCAAGCCACTCAGCCATACGGTTATCTTTCTATCACTTTCCCCCTCCACTCAGGACGTTATTAGAACAAAGCGGCATTTCTTTAGCCCATCCTTTTTTCGCCACCGGTCTATTAAATTGTAGCTTCTTGAGCCAAGGACAAATGCCAGGGACCACGTTGCGCGATATATTGCTGCTACTCGCAGGGCAAGGGAAGGGACAAAGCCACTTGTCTTGGCTTTTCCCGGGCATAACGCCACGTGAACCAGATTCGTTGGATGCAAGGACTAGCTATAGGGAAAAAACCGGGGATGTGACTATGATGCTAATAAAGAGTAAGAAAAGGTCCGGTTCCTTATCAAATTCGCTTATGTAGCAAGTCTCTTGGCCTGTTTAATGTGAACACACAAGAGGTGCATCTAATGAGCCTTGCACCAAAGAGCATTTTTCTCTGACCTCCGCCTATTTGACTGTCAGCAAAAACAAAGACAAAAAGCTTGGTTCAGACTCTTGACGGGATTGGTCCTTTCTGCCCTGGCAGCCCCTCGGCGCCTACATGGTAATTTGTACAGCTTCCTGTTTGTGGGACATATCTTTCCCCTTGGAGATAAGAGTCTCGTGCCAGAGAAAACAAAAGATCAACTAGGAAGTTTTGACTGCATTCTCCTGTTTTGGATGTAAAACGACGCATGGATCAATCAGAGGAGATAACAAAGATGCCCCAGATGAATGATTTGTTTGAGTAATACCTCCTCTCCTAGTGGGTTATCTACGGAGCCCAATGTGTTCTGTATGTTGCGCAGAATGCGGCCGGCAGGGTGGGAGATAAGGTGCCGAGCCTAGCTTGCAGTCGTGCGGGATAGGCAGCAAACACCCCGGATTTGCATGTAGCAATGCTGTAGTAGCACAAGAAGTAATTTATTCTCTCACCGGCTGCACAATGCAAGGGCTAATGCAATTATGTAGCCCGCCATTTGAATTGACAGTCGTCGGTTACAGCCACGTCTCGTGGCCGGATGCAGGGCAGGAAAAGTATCCTATCGTCCCTTGAGCTTTCCAATATAAAAGTGATTTATTACCAGACCACTCGGTAATGAATGGAGCCAACGCAGGCCCAAGGGGGGGAAACTCTATCCACCGAGCCAGTCAATATTAAAATTCTGTGCTGTTCTAGGAGCAGTATATGAGATTGAGATACGGCCGAGGCGACGGCACACGTTACAAGTGTTCCTGTTGCGCTGTGAGAAAGGCAGATTCATAGTGACATGTCTGAATGGTATTATTGGCCAAATGCAGCTGATATCACTTGTTAACCTTGGCCAGCTCTGTTGCTCCCCTGCGAAACAGGGATCCGGAATCGAGAGCCAAATTATGAGAGGTTATTTTGAGAAATCTTGTATTCGGCACGTAGTTCCCTGCCTCTATCCCGTTCCGAGCCGAGGTCGAAACGAATGGCCTCCACGCATGATGACGGAGCAGAGCCAGGAGCCAAAATGTAGGCAGACATGCATCGCAGCTAGTAATATTCCGCGTATTGGTCTCTCTCTCCATCGATGAGGGAATACTTCCAGGCTCAGATGAGCTTTGTATAGCGCATCGCTTATGTGTGCGTGACACAACGAAGAGATGACGCCCCAGTACCTGCTATACCGAGATGTGTTAGGTAACTTTGCTTTGCAGGCGAAGTAGCTTCCAGCTCAGAGCAGTGCTAGTACGTATTATGCATGCCCCTCTAGCTCAACGATGTTGGTGGGAGCTGGTAACGTACTCATGCTACCAAGCAGGGAAGATGCGGGTCTAACAAGTAGACCGTGGCTCAGTGGTGATGCGGCAGGCATATAGCTGCATAATATAGTAGAGCTGCGCGTTATAAGAGTGGAGAGCGTATCGGCGGCCTCGTAACTGCACGGTGATTTCCAATGTCTCTTCCGTTTTAATGTTCCGGCGGAGGGGCGTGATAATTACTTTCTTGCATCTCCGGATGCCTAGCTCTCACACTTATACGCCCCCTCCGTATCATAATAGAGTGCCATCTTGCGGGGCGCAGAATTGCTTATTGTTCAACTGCCCCTCCTCTAATACCTAGCGGATATCGGCTCATATATTCCGCTGAGCCTTTTTCCTCTCAGGGTGTAGAGGCACTGATAGGAAATCCGAGTGGAAAGTAATTTTGCAAGTTGTTTTGACATTCTTGCGAATTGAGATCTGATACTCATCAGATCTCAGTGTCGGCAATACCGGAGCTCATAGGTACTGAGACAATCGCAATATGGGTCCCTCAAAACACCCTTCGGAATTTTTCTGAGTGAGGTGCAGAGTCGTATCAAGGGCCTCATCTGGCGGGGTCTCTTGGGTAAAACGGCCATGTTCGACTGAGACTTGAACGCCTCTCAATGGCGCAGTTGTGCCGGATATCGCACCACTTGATATTCGCCACCACGCTATGTCTGCAGCTCAGCGGTCCAGTATTCTTGTTAGGCGCAGGAGATATATTAGAAGATATTCGGGTTGAATTACGTACTCCGGCGTGAATCGTCGATTGTGGACAGTGCAGTGCCCAGGAAAGAACCAGGGCGCGATGAATTGTGGGGGAAACAGGCTCCAAGCGCCGCATCCACAGGAGGTTGTGGCTAGCCATCACTCCACGATGCAGCTTGATAGGCCACTGACGACTGAAATACTGAGTTGGCCGTCAAAGCTTGACCCAAGCAAGGAAGCTAGCTCTCTGCGGTTTTTCGGTGCCGTAAGATCCTGTCTGTGCGAAGGGCGGATGTGGTTGGTCAGTGGAAGTTTGTAGGATTAGTCTGCAGTGCCAGTCAAAACGGGGAAATCATCATGATGCTAGCAGGTAGGTACTTCATGCACGTCGCTTGCATCACAATTTGCTTGTAGTACGTATTGGGATTCTGTTGGAGGGGGAACTTTGTGCTAGAGCCATATCCGCCTTGCCGGCCGAGATAGCTAGGACTAAAGAAGACCACCTATCGATAGATGGTGAAGATTTTCAAGGGCTAATAGAGGGGGAATGCTGAGGACAATGGTGGTGCCATGGATGAGCGAATGGCCGTGCTTGGCTGCAGCCCTTGTAAAGTATAATATACGAAGGAGAAACTGCGCTTTACCTCAACTGTAGGGGACAAGAAGGATATGATGGTGCGGAAGAGAAGGGGGTTCATTTCCAGGTTTTCATCAAGATGGGCGCCTGAAGTTTGAGGCAAAGTGCATATTCTCTTAAGACCTGGGCAGTAACGACTGTAATGCTCATTGCTTCAGCGAGTGAATAGGACTTGGTCATTGAGCATCTATAGGTGTACTTTGCAATAGGCAATGGCGATTCCATTTGTTTTTAGCGAGTTTATCTTTGAATACCCCCAATACTCGAAGGCCAGGAAAGCATTGCATCTCATGAGGTCATCCATTCTGACCTTCTACTATCTCAATTGACTGTTCTACGAGTGCGTCTGTCAAAACGCTGGTGCTTGAACTACGTTCGGTATCCGAGACATGCAGCCAACGCATGTGCGGAACACTGACAAGATGACTATAGCTTCAGGGGATTGGGTCTATCGGGACAGGGGTCTATCTACCCAAAATACTAGTATTTATAGACGCGGTTCATCAGCCACAAAGTGCGAAGATCAGATCCTCCACACAATGTCGATCATGGATATCCAGCGCCAAACAGCTGCAACTAGCGTCTAAGATGGCTAACCGCGAGCATCAATGGATCCAAATACACGGCCAGAACAGATACGAATCTGCTGATACTACTGCAATGCACCACCCGTCGCAGATCTTTACTGGATAGACAAAATAGACAACATAATGATCGGACCCGGATGGAAATCCGAACTGGCAAACATTATGCTGTAACGCGATGAGCCCGCGCACGAATTATATGCCCTAGCAACTACCATCCTTTCTTGTACTACTAGGTAGATATGTACATATCCAATGTCGATACGTTTTCAACGCTGCCAATTTTGCTCCGTATCCAACGTTGAACGGCAAAATATTTCAATAAAACCGAGGCAATACCGCAGTTCTTCACGGAGGCATTCTGTAAACAAGATAGTTTCGGGAACGGGATAACTCGGGAGGCTTCAACGGACGGCGCAATGTTGGTGGCGAAATGGTTACTCGGTGGCTGCAGCCATTAGAAGCGGCTAATCTTTCCAGAACAGCCTGTACAAAGGACCGTGCCAATTACGACAATTTTTCTGTGGCTATTGATTTTCCAAGTGCTGATAAAACTTCATCCAGGTGCATGTATGGTGTACGTAAGCTGGGGGAAGATCAAAAAAGCGTGATTTCATGGAGTTTGTGGGTTGAAGCTCCCCCTCGAGCGGCATTCGATATACTTTGCGCCATCTTCTCTCCTGCATAAGGGCCTCCTGTAAGCCAGTCTCAGGTTCAGTTGGCAAACACGGGGAATTACTTAGTCTTCCAGACTCTTTTTGCTCATTCTCCCCTAAAAATCTTGCGATTTTAGCGTACTCCAGCTTTTCTCTTTCATGCCAGTAAAACCACTTATCACTCCGGAGGAGATTCGCTAGGGGAATCTGGAGTTTAGTCCTGATAATGGAGCTTAAAGATGGATCTGCATAAGCGTGGGAAATTCTGCGACCGATAGGCCTCCGTTACCCGCTATCGTCAACGGCGCTCTGCTACCGACTGCCCAGGGCTCGGGTAGCTCAGCCTCCCTTCCCCGAGTGTTCTCTTATGATGTTCTAGAGGTTTGACGAGAATATGCAAATCTATTCTATTGCTACCTGACAAACGGGCTCTGGTGAGAACCTCGGCCGTATAGCAAAGCCAGCCGCCACCACCGAGCAGGCGGCGAAGTGCTACTCAGGTCCCAATAATGCCTGGCCAACCATGGCTTCCACTCTTAGTCATTTTCAGGTCCGGCCCGCTTGTTATTCGCCCCCTCCTTGCGCATCAAGGGGGATGCTAGTAAGATCCAGCCAGATGTTTGAAAAAAAAAAGTATAAAGGATTAACAGGAAGAAAGAGTAATTTTCGACTCCCCTGTCACGAAAGTAGAGGCCCGTATTGTATCCTCCTTGGAGCCTAGTGGACGAGCATCAATTGTATTACTTGAGTAAATGTATGACAGCATCTTGACCAAACCGGGTGCGGAAAGGGTGGCACCTTGATGAATTAGCATTTCTCTATGCATACTCTGGCGTCCAAGACAGCGAACTTTGTCTTTTGTTCCTAGCCACACTCTGTCCCGTCCCGTCATCTCTGTTTTTCCCTCTAAGCTCTGGGTGTAGACAGAGAGAGCAGGGATATGAGAAGAAATTTTTTCTCTTCCTCCCAAAGGTCCCACCACGGAGCCGTCCTCCTAAGCTGCCGCGGTGTCCAAGAGGAGTTGGCTGGAGCTGAAAAAAAGTAAAGACGGATGAGGAAAAAAAAAAAGCATTTTGTGACAGGAAGGTTGGCAGGGTACTGGCTAGAGTCTCGACTCTTTGATCAGCGCTGTCGACCTCCACCCGCATCCAATGTCCATGTGGCAGTCAATCGAAAGCCCCCTCAGACAGTCTAGAGGAGAATCAAGTCCGGGGCCGAGCGTCCAAGACACGATTTGATCGAACCAAGTTGTTACCGGACCGATCTTAGAGTCGGTGTCTTCAGATTTAACTTTGTGTCTCTTGTTTTCATCTAGCGGTGTACTCTGTGCGCTGTGCCATCTCCAGAATGTGACATGTTCTCCCACTGCTTTCTTGCGCGATGAGCTTGTACAGCACGGACTGACAATGCTAGCCGCTGCCTCTTATCTGCGACATCAGGGCTTACTGGTACGTTGGCATCATGCTGTTGCGTCCGTCGGCAAGGGCTGGTTGGTGCAGCTGACTCCATTCCTGGGCGAGCACGAAAAGGCGGCGAAAAATTAGGCATGGCATGGGATAGCAAAGTTCATTAAATGAGCTTAGATTTTAGGGCGCTCTGACCGAGGCCCTGGGCCCTAGGCCGAAGATATTGATGCCGCTGGGTAATTGGTTGAATAGATGCAGTGCATTCTTGAGACTCGCTCGCTCTGTAGGCTTCGGTTTTCCCTCTGGCCTCATTCTCGTCTTGCTCTTTTTCTTTCCTTCTTTCTTTTTTTATCTCCATCTCTCGGCTATCAGGCAGGGAGGCGGACATTCTTGTCCAGCGGTGAAACTGCAGATCGCCAATCGCACTCGCAGCAAACAAGCGAGCCGAAGCTGGCTTGCATGGCCATAGGTAGCAGTTCTAGATAACAGCGTTAGCCAGAACAGATTGCTCGAGTCAATGGCCCTTGTATGTATGAGTGGGCGGCCTTGGACGCACTCCACAATCGCTATGCTAGGGCCATCCATGCGACTATCTAGCAGCAGTAGCATACATGCTAGCAGCAGTATCAGCAGTAGTTGCTGTAGTTAGCAGTACTTGCATAGAAGCTTTGAGGTACATGAGTGATAAGTATATGCCTTGCTCTTGGGCTGGATTGTGGCCCTGGAAGACAAAAATATGATTACCTTGTTTAGATATACAGGTAATGCTCTGTACATGCCTCTGGCGAGACATGAAAACAAACAGCCGTCTTCGTCTTCCTCTGCGCCGACGCTGGGCCAACGTGGAGCGACGTGTTCTGGTTGCATCGACCGATGGCTTCAAGCCATACTCGCGCCTCGCTGCATGCTTGGGTGTGCAACCCAAGAGCAGGTGGTGGTTGCACCGTGCCTTGCCAATCTCTCGAACAGGAAATGGCTCCAGAGGCCACCAAACAAAGTACGGTGCACAGTCTAGATTAATGGTAGGTGTCGATATCCATATTCTCCATACTCATGGAGACCCGCGGCCGAGCAGGCACCAGGAACGGGGCAGACAAAGAGTGCTCCAAGGCAACAGACATGGTGGCATCGATGGCTGCTCGGACGATATCATCTCGTTGTTTCGTCCATGCAGCGGCAGCAGCAGCAGCAGCATCTGGTGATTGGGCTTGCAGCTAAGTGCTGTATAATGCAGCCGCAATTAAGGAGCAGGTCATATGGCCATCAGATTCAATATACTGCCAGTTGTACATCCATGCAGGCCTCGCACATACAAGAACACCATCTATACTTGCTTGCGCTGCACCTCCTCATAGCGGCATGTGCTGTGATGCCTCCATAATAAATAGCAGAGCCGAGCCGAGAAAGCGGGCGACCTACGGGTACAAGGAAGCACGGTATCTCGTAACATCGCGAGTAGTACACCCTCCCGCAGTGCCGCTGCAGTTAGCTGCGTTCGAGTCTGGTCTGCTCCGTAAATCGATACAACATGCCGATGAGCGACGCAAGGCCATAGGTACACCCACACCGGTACAGCGCTAGTACCATGCCATACCATGCCATTCCCTGCCTGGCACGATTCCCAGCATGGACTTTGAGAGCTCGGATGCCTTTCGAGCCTGTCGTCAGAGTTCCGTGCCCTGACGAATCCCTCTCGCGTACTTCCCTTGCCCTTCAGCACCTCAAGTTGCATGCCTTAGCTCGCGCCAGCAGTGCTCCGTCCAGCTATCTGCAGGCCAAGGGCAAAGGGCAGTCTCTAGCCTCCACCGCCCTCGTCGCCCTTCATCAACGGCGCCTCTGAAACCTGAGGCTACAGGATGCTAATAAACTCTGGTATGGCGTCTTGATGGCTTGGGGTTGTGGAGGCTGGCTCTTCTGGAACTCGTGCTAGTGGCCCGCGCAAGAGCCATCCGGATTCCGTGAACAGCGCAAACCCAAACAGGCACAGTGCCGCCCCAAGGTCCTGTACTCCACCGCCGCAATGCAGTCGTAGCGGCGAAACCGCAGAGAGGCAAAATAAGAGAAAATTCAAAAGTCTAGCGAGACCAGGGTTGATAACTGTGCGCCTCTGGGTCACTGCTGCCCTGCCGTCCGGCTCTTCCACTGGCTGACCGGGCCCTCCAATAGCCCAACGGAGGGGGTCAATGTGTGCTGCTAGTCGCATCGCAGGCGTCCAGGATCAGTTGCTCAAGCACCATCCGGCCGGGCCTCCATTCTCTGCGGTTCCCGGGGCCTCGTCAACCACTTATTACGCCTCTGGATCCGCTTTGCTCGAGCGTCGTTGTTGTCTGGGTTTTGTTTGCACCGGCTCGCTGCTAGGAGAGAAGGCTTCTGACTCTGCCCCTCTTCTTACTTATCCTCTTCTTATCCTCTCCTCTCCTCCCTTCCTCCACAGCTTGCAGTGTTTGATATCTCCTCCTCCTTCTTCTCCCCTCCTCCTCCTCCTCCTCCTCCTCTTCTTCATCTTGCGGCCTCGCCGTTTGTGCTGGCTGGGTTGTTCCTCTCGTTTCACCATTGCGGCTGCTACCCTCGCTCCACCCCAGGCTCTTAGTCACCTTCAATTTCGAGAGAGATCCAGAACGCCTGCGCCGGAACCCACAGCCACGGACCTCGTCTTTCGGCATCTCCTGTCATCAATCAGTCACCTGGCCGCCGAATAATTTGCCTCGGTCCTTGTCGATCTGCGGCATCGCCTGTTCTGGTTCTGGTTCTTGTTCTTTTCGTCTTCCGCAATTGCTTCTGCTAGGCCCCGGCAAAATTCGCCCGATTCCTAATTCTACTTGGCCAGGCACGGAACCGGCTGTGTGTTTTGCGTGTTTTGTGTGGGTGCGCAGGTGACCTGAAAATCGGCTGCCACGACCGACCGAACCTGCAGCGCTGACAGCCTCATCCACGGCCTCTCATTCGTCCACACTTACACCATCTGGTCCGCCCCCCAACAAACAATTGTCTGCATCAATGCTAAAACTGGCGCCTTGCTCTCTTCTCATGGTTTTCTGATCCAACGCAGAAGAGTTTTGGAGCCGCCGCCGACTGCGTCAGTCGAGCCGCGCACGCATTTCGAACCCTGAAAATCCAGCATGGCAGCTGCAGTCTACTCCAACCAAGACTCAGACTACTTCAACTCTGCTCCAATGCGGCGCTCACATTCTCACTCCAACCTGGGCAGCGCCTCGCTGGCGGGCTATCACCACATGGCCGCAGACCTGTCCAATCCCTATGCCCACCCGCCAACCAAATCCTTCTCCGATTCCGACCACTCGTCAGCGCCCTCCTCGCCTCGCACCGCACATATCGAATCAGCAGATGCGTCCTACACATCCACGCCTTCTAGCAATCTCTCAATAGCCTCCGATTACGAGGAGGCCTTGTCCATAGACGAATCTCCCGAGGGCCACTTCAGCCTACCACCATTTACTGCCGATAAGCTTTATCTGCATCCGCAGATTCGACCAGATGACAATCTAGAGCCTCCGCCAAGTCCTCGCACTGGTGACTCTTACACCGTCTCGCCCGCCGAGCAGGATAGTTCCGTCAGCACCTCAAGGCCTGATAGCCCTGAGCTCAGCGACCATGCCGAGGATGACACAGCAGTTGTGAGCAGGCCGTCTCGGCAAGTGGACTATCTATCCCATGAGTGGAGAGAAGAAGATATCTGGTCATCATGGAGATACATAATATCTAAAAGAGGAGAATTTCCCAACAGTGCCAGACTGGAGAATGCCTCATGGAGAACATGGATGAAGGCTAAGAACAATCTGAAAACCATTTCCCCGGAAACCCTCAACTGGTAGGTCTTACAATGACGGATTGCCATGACTGCGACTATGTGTGTGCTCATATTTTCTTAGGCTTAAAGATTACGACGTCACTTGGCTCTATGGGCCTCTTCAATCCGGAAAGCATAACGCTGCTAACAAGACTGGACCCCCCAGCGTCTCATTATCGAAATCAAGTTCTCTTGTCAACTTGGATAAGATGAAGGATAAGATGAACAGCAATAAGAAGCCCATCCTGAAGAAGAGGAGCATGTCGGAGATTATGCTCCAGAGGTCATTATCGACTGCCTCCCTTGTCAAGCAGGCTGCTGCTGCCGTACATGCTCAGGAATATCGCAGTGCGATGCGACGACCTAATGTAAACCGGGCGAACACGGATTACATTTCGCTCTCGTTTTCTTCCAGGCGAATGAGTCACGAAACCAGCAGTGTTGTTGCCTCGTCTACAGATTCATCGAGCATTACATCCCCCAACCCCGAACGCAGGCATATTCACTTTAACGAGCAGGTGGAGCAGTGTATTGCTGTCGACGTCAAAGGCGATGATGCTGATGACTTGGACATGGACATGGACCTGTATGGCGATGAAAGCGATTCAGACGATGGTGTCATGATGAAGCGGGTCAGGTCAAAGCGACGCCCATCAACAAAGAAACGCACTCAAAAGAAGGTCAATATCGAAGGCAAGATTATCGCCATGCTTCCGTCTACAACTCTCAAGTACCAAGGGGAAGATAGCCCTGATTCTCAAGATTCAGCTATGAAGCACAGCACACGCGTCTCCCGCAGCCCTGTTCTATCTCCTTCATCATCACAGGAGACTCTCCGCCCTTCCAAGTCATCTACTGGGTTTTTCTTCGACGAAGATGAAGACGAAGACGATCTGGCTCCGGAAATTCAGATGCCTACTCTAGGCTGGCTATCTCCACCATCAGATAGTGGTGCCAGTGGGTTGCACAGATCGACATCTTCAAACAGTCTTCTTGACGAGCCAGCAGGCATGCGTCGGACGCCTTCGGGGATGTTTATGCCATGCGAAGAAACCGAGACGTCATCAGGGGAAGGCATCTTTGGCCGAGTAATTGACACTGTCAATACTGCCCGCGACATTGCCCATGTCATCTGGAACGTCGGGTGGCGAAAATAATCGCTGGAACCAGATAATTGCCTGCGCCCCAGCAGCATTATTCAATTGGGCCAGTTGGCCGATCTTTCAGACTCCCACGATACCACGAGCAGCAGAATGATCCAAGCGCGCTTGATAGGACTCTCAACGCTTCGACCAGCCAGGGCCCCGAAATCCGGGGTCCAGCGTTGCATTACGCATTACCCGCTGATTTGCGCCTAACCAGCAAACTCGGCCAGCTTCCATTAATACATTACATAATAATTCTTCCTTCGTTCACCTACTGAGCTTCAAGTGGAACTTCGACTTTCCCTCTCAATTTTTGTTGGGCCCGGCACTACGACTAAGCCTAGGCGTCATCAGGAGGCGAAAGCACGACGAAACTGAAATGGTTTTGTTCTCGATGTGGACACGGAGATGTCACGAGATGCCGTTTCGGTGGTCGGGTGACTTCATTTCGGCCACCTAATTTCCTTCACTAACTTAAGTTTTTTTTTCTTGCTTGGCTCAAACAGCGCTAGGGGTATCATCCCGGCTATACGACGGCTCATGACAAAACATGTCTCTGTACCCATTCCCTTTTCTTTGTTGATCTTTCTAATACGACAAGACAAAAAGAAGCATTTATTTATTTTTCTGGAATACCACTGTCAAAAGGCGGCTCAAAGGATTTCAACCTTGTTTCATATACATATATATATCCTCATATTTGAGAAGAGGCGTGTTTTGCCTACTTGTTCGAAAATTGGTTTCTTTTTTTTCATCGCATTTTTTTTTTTTAAAAAAAAAAAAAACTTTTATTTCTGCTTTTGGACAGTACAAAAGGGAGTGTTGAGGGGGGAATAATGGGTTAAAGTTTTTTTTTGGGTTTATATGGCATTGGTTGGAATTGGGGGCTCGAAAAAAATAGCATGGAAATCTGGATTGAAGTAGACAGACCGTTTGTACATAGGAATATACAGCACAAGCAAACGAAATAAAAGAGAGGAAATTCACAATAAGTCTTTGGGCTCTCTGCTCGATGCGTATATACAGTGAGTGAGTTACAATTGAGGTACTTATTGGGAGCTTCTACTATTACTACCAGTGTAGTATTAGGCCGAGTGCCTAATATATGTATATCTTGATAGCATGTGTGTGTTACATACAAGCTGTTCAATCCTGAGGTCAAAATCCTTACACTTCTTGTAAAGACCCTTTTTCTACACACCCGTCTAACTCAGTAAACGACCAATCTACTTACCGGAAAAAACAAGACACTGCCAGACAAAAAGAGACCAAGTTTGGATTCTAATGCGGAGAAACTTGGCTTTCTTTTCTTTCATCCTTGCTTTGATATGACAGGATACATGTACATGGATGCATGAAACCCAAGGAGGGGGTACAGCAGGCAAAATAAGAAGAAAACCGTCATTACGGACGAAAGAAGAAAAGATGCAAAGGGATTGAAGGATTGTGGTCACGGCAAAGAGCGATTGGATATTAAACCCTCGGGGATTATATTCTTCTCTTCTTCTGTGAATGGGAGGCCGCGTCATCTATACGCCATAATATGTATGCAGCGAAAAAAAAAAAAAAAAAAAAAAAAAAAAAAAAAAAAAAAAGTTCTGTCTGTCCAATGGCTATTCGTACAAATTAATGAAAAGGGGGGAGAGAGAAGTGGTATATGATACATGGTCGAGGTGGTCGCAGCAGGGCCTGAAACGGCGTGCATAATTCAGCGCCCGTATACGTATATGAAAACGATGTTACTGGCCAGTCCCAGTGTAGCAGTGCATGACAATAAAAGATGTCGGGGAGTGGCAAATTTGGAGGCAGAAGGTAAATGATAAAAGGGATAGTCTGTTCCCAGTTGCATAATTGTACAAGTACTTCGTACTCCAAACAAAGACAAAAGTATATGTACAGGCTGTCAGAGTTAGGCGTCCTCCAAGTTTGCTCCCAACAAAAGGCCCCTGGAGAGTGGGGCCCCGTCAGATGCAGCAAAGTCTGGGGTAATTCATACATATGCGGGGAGAAAGGAGTCTAGGGGGTGGAGTGCACGAGGCCAACCACAGACTGCCAGCCAGCGTCTGTAAGGCCAGAGAGAGGGAAGGTTGAAGAGCAAAAAGGGGGGGGGGGTTGCATATGCGGCTGTGCGGTGCATTGGGTTGAAGGAAACCTTCGCGGGGCCCGTGAATGCCTGCTTAGTTAGGCGTGCGTGCTGCAGACTTGCATGATATGGCTGCAATGCTTTGCCCGAAAGCACATACTGCTGGGTGTGCACCATCTTCTTATCATTTGGTATTCAACACGTTCGAGATGCCTCTAGGCCGAATGACTCCCTCCAAATCCGGATTGAATAGGTGTGGCATCCAGCACACCATATCGACCACATATTCACCGGTTTTGACCTGGGGAGATAGGAGCAGCTTGTGCATGTCCGCCAGCCACTGATTGCTCTAGTGTGACGGATCTTGGCGAGTGCGCTGCTCATATTAGAGCCCATGTTGAGGAAGCCTATATGCCATCATTGGGTTCACGGCCGAGATACTTGAGGGCTTTGACGAGGATGCGCCGCGAATGAACGTTCACATCTGCAAGCTCAACTTCGAATTGATCTCCAACCCGGACGTCCTTGACGAGGGCCTTATGATTCAAGCCCTCGATATCCATTATAGCATTTAGACCGAAGAAATCCACTCTGCCGATGCAGCCCTGCCGCCAGCGCGAACTAACAGTAAATCGGAGCCTGCGAGGTGCCGTCTTCTCGAAGCGCCATGCACGGACAAGGGCAATGAGGATCCACTCGAGGATGCCGCGAGAGACTGTGCGCGCCATCTTCTCGCGGACCTCCAGCAACGGTAGGGTAGTCGCAAGCTGAGTAGAGGAAAAGGGAAGAATGTCATCCAAATTATCGGTCTCCGGGCTAATGGTTCGCTGAGTAGTTCGTTCGTGCTGTAAAGCTGCATGAATTTGCCAGTGGACAAGCAAATCAGAGAAACGACGTAGCGGCGATGTGGCTTTGGCATACATGTCCAATCCAAGGAGGAAATATGAGCCTGGCTGACTCGATATCTCGATTCCACCCGTAAGTCGAGTTAATTCTTGTCGCTGGCTGCCACTTGGCTCAATGCCCTTTCTGATGAGAGGGTAAATCTCCTTTGTAGCGTAGTCGAATGCTTTATTAATACCATATCTGAATTTGACGTTTCTTCGGTAGGGGATCGGGATGCTGCGAGATGAACACCATCGTGCCGCAATTTCACCAGCTAGAACCATGGTATTAGAAACGACAGAACACCCCGTGGATGTCTCGTAGGCGGCCTTAATGTATGGATCAGGCGGCAGGAATTTTGATCCGTCCCCTTCATCAGAAGTGTCTTGGAGAGACACTGAGACGGATGGACGGGGGAAAAAGTATGGCCACGCTCCTTTTTCGAGGCGCTTACTTTTGATAGCTTCGGCGAGTTGATATAATAATAATAAATCTTCTTTGCCGGATGAGTCCAAATCCCGGGCTGTAATCATTGGGCGATTTAATTGTGGTTCTCCATTTCCTCCTGGTTTTCCGACAACAAGACTATGGCTGGGAACTGGCGGCGGTGCTGGCTCATTGCAAAATTTGGAGACGTCCTCAGGATCCAAGTAGACGACTTTTCCCAAGGTACTAGGCTCAACCTTGAAGTCTAGCAATTCGCCAGCTCTGTTGACTCTTGCACTAAAAGTTAATGCTGGGCCGCCTGATTTGAGAGAAAATTGACCAACGAGACCATCGGATGCATAGTCTTTGGCGTCATCTTCTTCACCCAGGTTAGAAGGTAGCATGGCTTGAAAGTGCCCAGGCAGATATATATTCTCCGGAATCAACTCCATGTATTTGCACAGATCAGAATTCGGCTTAATACTCGAAGCAGGATCGGCTGCGTGAACGTGAAGCCAGAATTCGTCGGGGTTATCCGTGCGTTCTAGTGAGATACCATCATCAATAACCATAGTCGACGCTGCGTCGATACAAAATATGGTAGATTGCCCGTGTTCTCGCCTAAAGCCCGCTGCAATATCCGGTCGCCTAGATTCCTCGAGATCTTTGGGAACATCCCGCTCTAAGCCACCACCTCTAGCTATTGTAACGTTTGGGAAACGGACTTTGTAGCGTGACGGGATCTCCCATGGAGGAATGATTCCAATTTCTTGCAAAAACGTCCATGCCGTGCTCTGATCGAGAACGGTATCATCGTAGAGTTCAAGGGCACGAAGAATCAGGGCGCCGTGGCCGTGAAATTTCGATCCAGGTTCGAAAAGGTCATAGCTCGCCCACCATTCCAAGAAGGCAATGATATCCTTACTTGACTGAGACCACTCCGGCTGTGGCAGCTGCATACTGTCTCCAGGAGAAAGGGTCCCATGGGGCGTCCATTGCCGCTTTGAACGGCTCTCCAAGACTACTTCTCGTGCCTGGAGAATGAATTTCCCGAGGATGGTTTCCTCAAGTTCACTTGGCTTTGGTGCTCTCAGGCGTTTCATATTAGTTTCTGTGTAGTCACGGACCAGAGTAACAACTTTATTGATGATTTGCGTATGACTCTGAGGGAAAATCTCGAATAAATGATCGCGACGATGGCAGTCACTAGATGGGCTGAGTGGCCGAAAGCCAATCTCATTTTGATATAAAGCTGCATGAACAGCATATAGTGCAAAAGAGGGGAATTGGCCGCACACTTTGAGGGAGGCAGGCAGTAGTATGTCGGCAATCTCAAAAAGGCTAAGATACCTGGCTTGCTGCTGAGTGGACAAAAACGTCCTGACTGCATCCAGCTTTCCGAGGTTCTTTTTCTGAACAGCTTCTGCTTTGAGCCTGAAATCCATCATTTTTTGGATCAGCCGAGAGCCATCGTCTCTTAAAGGGCCCTGTTCGTTGCGACGTAGTTCTTCAAACTGTTCAATTGATGCCTTTTGTGGCAACTTGGCCATGACAGGTGCCAGCTCTTCCTGGGTAGCAAACTTGGCCACCGTGAATAGCGGAGAATATCCCATGCTAGTGAGCCACCTGCCATTGACAGCATAGAAATGGTTCCTCTCTCCAAAATACCCTAGGTAGATTGCAAAGAGGGGCACTCGCGAGCCAGTTTGTCTGGGGTGGATGTTAGTGAATATGCTCACTGAGACTCAGCTTGCTGACTCCTTACTTCAATTCGACGAGATCACCAGGATGCCTAGAGCTCTCACTAACAGCACCAACCTGGATGTCTTCGTCACCAAGATCATCGCCAAATTCATCCGTCATCCCCGCTTTATTAGGCCGCAGCTGGTCCATTTCAGATGAGCCTGTTGATTGAGTTCGACTCAAGTCGTTTGAGACACTGCCGTACAGGATCATGTCTGGAGGCATGCTATCAGAGTTGTTTTGCATGTCCTGAGCAGCCCATAGCCGCAGCCGCTGGCGAATTGGCAAGTAAGGGACATCTTTGGGCGTCAACTGCTGCTTAGTAACAGACTTTGGTATATGAGACTGCCCATATCTTCCGCGTGGGTGGGATTCGCTAATGGTGCTCGCCCAATGCTACATAGACGGTATAAGTTGAAGCTTCACGACACGCCCACAAACATAGAAACTCACTACTTGAAGCCCTGAAAGAGCTATTCTTGTCTTATCAACGGTAAATAGATTTTCTAACCCATATTTGATGAAACGACAACGGCAGCGGGACAAATATTGCCGATGAACGGACTGGCAGCCTGGTCGGGGCAGCATGATGGACATATGCTACCACCTATTTTAAGGTTGGCTTGCGCAGTGAATATTTTTTTAAGCCTTATCTGATCTGCTGGAGATGTGGCGCCAAGCTGATGGTGGCGCGGCTATATCACGTGAAACTTAGAGTAGCTGTGGCTTGAAAATCCGCAACCAACCCCAGTATTCCCCAGCCAGGGGTCGCTGGAGAATAAACACCACCAAGAAGCTTATCGAAAATGCGTATGAAATAAATTGCAAATCAGATAAAGACATCCATGATGTCATTCAATGGCTTGAGAGAGAGCGGTGAAGCACTATTAAAGTTGGCATTTTAGATGGTGAGCTCACTATGGGCGAGCTGCATTGGAACTACTACAAGGCACGGAATACAGCAGCTTGTGTTGCTCCTAAAATAGCAGTTTCTGCTGTCTCAGACATTTGTTCTCCCTCCGGTGATTGTCCCAGTAACACCACAGAGCAGAAGCAAGCCCGCACTTGGAATATGCAACGAATCGCCAACGAGTACTTCCACTATTTTGAGACAAATTAAAAACATTTCCAAATGTATTTTCTCCGGCAACCCAAGCCAGATTCTGGAGTGGATGATGTGAGGGCAAAATAGGCTTGAGATTCAGCCATCGGCTTGTTGGGTTGTTGATATACTACTATCACTGCTCTGGTCAAGAAACTCAAGCGAGTTATGAGTGAAATTTAGCTTCTGACTGTCCCTGCAGATCCCCAAATTCGCAGCAATTTAATTAGGCAAGGTAGGCACGTTCCTTGCTCTTGCATTTAGCGACGCCTCCTAAGAATGGCAGCAACTCTGGCCAAAACCAAGAAAGTCGCAGGGATCGGAAAGTGCAAACAAAGGAAGGGGGGAACCTCCTCGCTTATTTCGCCCACAAATCTCGTTGACTTGGCTTTAACGCAATGGGATTCTTCTATGCGCGCTGTCTTTACTTTGGCTAATTATATATTCTTTTCCCTTCAACGCAATCGGTACAGAGTCTATACTTGGACATCGCAGCCTCTCGTCTGCATTAGAAGTGAACGGCGCGAACGCTACTCCGTACTCTCTCGCTACCCGCATCGACCGATGCCGACTTTCCTCATCTGGGGGGGCATTTTGGAAAATCACCCGTCTACTTGTACTATTCGTCCACACGGCTCCACGGCATGCCTGCTCTCTGCCAGCTTGCATTGCAAATTGAGGACCGACTTAGCAGGGGCCAAGCCAAGCGACCCTTTTGAACAGCAGGGGTAGGCATCCATTCTGCAAATACGAGAATTGCCTGAATAGTAAGACTGCTAGCTAGTAAGCGACCCTGATTGGGCAGAATTGGATCAGGCTTCTCGAAGCAGAACTGGCGCCCCTTTCTCGAAATGAGCTGTTTTCGCAGCCCAGCAGCCAAGCCTCGACATTTACTGCCGCTTCAAGAGCCAGTGCGGCCCCAAGACATCTTAAAACGGGGACCCTTGTCAGAGGGGAAATGCGACTCTAGCTAGGGTCAACAGAGGAAAGGCCCTCTAGCATTGCGGAGAATCTAAGCTTAAAGTGGCACAAATGCAACCTACCGCTCATATTAGCTGGTGGTTCACGACGTCCGCTAGAAGACCGCCACGAACGACCCCGAGACTTGCGGGATGAAGAAGTGCATGGGGACTCCGTCAGACCCCAAGCTGCGGCTGACGCCAACACCGACATCAGAAACGCCGACAGGCCGGCTGCCGCACCTAGGCAAGGAACGGGGCTTGAACTGGGTCTAATAGGGTGCGAGGCGTTCTGTGCCTGGCCCGCTGAAGCGCCAAGCGGAGTGGGCAGATGCAGGAACAATCTCGTAGGCTAGGCTAGCTAATAGTGGTTGGCCAATGCATGGCCGAGATTGGCCAGAGGATGAGGATCGTCGCTCTACGTTGAATTGCCAAGTGCCTGTCCCTGCTTCAAGGGAGGGTTGAGCGCCAGGCCAAAATCTCAGATGACAAGACGATGCTCATCTCCCGGCATAGAGCTGATCAGCCACTCATCGCCGGTCACCCGCACATGTAGCTTGTGGGCCCATGGAGTTCCGATTCTCAATACGAAAATGTGCCTTTGGTCGGCCTACTCCCACTGCGGCTGTACTCCCTGTTGGCGAGCATTCCTACCGCCCAGTTTTACACAGCTCAGCAGCCTCAATGTCGCAGCGCTGTCCCATTGTTGATGACACAGCTGCCTGCTTCGTCCATTATCAGTGTGTACAGGCTGTTAATCCAAGCGACCGTCGCCAATTCGCCCCTTTCAAGGAGTGTTCACGCGCAAAATGGAAATTGCTTGGCCGAGCTCCACCCTCTCCTATTTGACTACGAGAGGCCGTCTTGGCCTAGCAGCTACTTTGTATTAGCAGCGACCAGCGATGGACTCAAAGGTGACCACAGTGACTCGTCTTCTTTCCACCCCCTCTCTTTCCACCCCTGTCATTCCTCCTCTAACGGGGGCAGTACCTCGTCTGCAGCGGAGGATTCCACAACCAGCTAGGTATACGTTCCGACCGACTGTTGGTGAGCACACCCCGTAGCCAAGGCTACTCACAGCAACGAGCCATGGTACCCGCCTCCACGCGCACCGCCCGTACTCATAATAATGGCCGCCTTGCCCACCCAGCCCGCCGTCTCTTTCTCCTTCTCTTGTTCCCTACGGATCGTCAAATCGAGGTCTTGAAGGAAGTTGCTTCCATTCGCTCTCCTCCTCTTGTTCTCCAGTAACCAACTTACCGCTTCACTCTTTCAGCGGGCATTCTTTTTTTTGTAATTGATATTCCTAATAACCGAAAACCTTGAATTCATAATGAAGGGAACAATCGCCGCCGCCGCCGTGGCTGCCTTGGCCGGTACTGCCAATGCTTCTCACGGTCACCGCCACGCCCACGAGCTCTTCGCCGCCAAGCGACACCAGACTGGCGACGTCTGCGTTCCGGGATGCACCACCATCTGGTCGACTGTCACCGGCGAGCCTACTTGTATGTTGATCGGCAACGACATTCTCCAGCAGATCTAGACAGTCAACTCTGGGCTTCTGACAAGTGTATACTAATCTTTCCAATAGGGGTTCCTGCACCTCCTCCCGTCACCTCCGCTTCTCCTGTTGCACCTACTACCGCTCCTGCACAGACCACCGCTGAGACTCAGGCTCCCTCAACCTCCGAGGTGATTGTTGTTCCTGTGCCGACACCGGCTCCCGTCACCTTCTCGACTCCTGGAACTTACACCATCCCGGCCACCACCATCACCCTGACCGACACCACCACCGTCTGCGGTGCTACCTCGACCCAGGTGCCCCCAGGAACGCACACTGTTGGTGGTGTTACCACCATCGTTGAGACGGCCACCACCGTTACCTGCCCCGTTGCGACCGTCTCGACCAGTGGCACTGTTGTCACCAGCGTCATTGTCCAGACCACCTACGTCTGCCCTGCTGCGGGAACTTACACCATTGCTCCTATCACCACCACGGTCCCGGAGTCTACGGTCATCGTCTACCCCGTCCCCACCAGCTATGCTCCTGGTACCTATACCGCCCCCGAGAAGGTGGTCACCGTCACCGAGACTGACTATGTCACCTGGTGCCCCTTCGAGAGCTCTGGTCTCCCCACTACTCAGCCCACTCCTACTCCGGCTCCCGCCAGCTACCCTCCTCCTGCTGCTCCTAAGCCCAGCAGCGCTGCGCCGGTCTACGTTCCTCCCGTCGCTCCCAAGCCCAAGCCTTCCCAGGCTGCCCCTAAGCCTCAGCCTCAGGCCCCTAGCGGCGGTCTGACCGGCAGCAACGACCACTACGGTATCACCTACACTCCTTATGAGCCTACCACTGGAAACTGCAAGGCCGCTTCCGAGGTCGAGAAGGATATTTCCGACCTTAAGAACGCTGGCTTCCAGGTTATCCGTGTCTACTCCACTGACTGCGACACTCTTGAGAACGTTGGTGGCGCCGCCAAGAAGTACGGCCTTGATCTGATCCTCGGTGTTTTCGTCAAGGGTGATGGCTGCAGCTATGACACCCCGGATATCAAGATCCAGGTCGACGCCATTTCTGCCTGGGCTCAGTGGGACATTGTCAAGCTCATTGTTGTGGGCAACGAGGCTATTATGAACAACTACTGCTCTGCTACTCAGCTTGCTTCCCTGATCACTACTGTCAAGGGCAAGTGCAGCGGCTACACCGGCCCTTACACCATCTCTGAGACTCTTAACATCTGGCAGCAGCCTGCTGTTTCTGCCGCTATCTGCCCTGCTGTCGACGTCGCCGGTGCCAACATCCACCCTTACTTCAACACTGCAACTCCCGCTTCATCCGCTGGTGACTTCGTCGCTGGTCAGCTCGAGCTTCTGAACAAGGTTTGCTCTGGCAAGGAGGCCATTAACCTGGAGTGCGGTTGGCCCAAGCAGGGTTCATGCAATGGCGCTGCTTGCCCCGGTGACAGCGAGCAGGCTACTGCCATTCAATCTATCCGTGAGAAGTGCGGTCACAAGACCGTCTTCTTCTCATTCGACGACGACATGTGGAAGCAGCCTGGCCCTCTGGGCTGCGAACAGAGCTGGGGTGTCGCGGCTGCCTTCTCCATTTCAGGCATTTACTAAACAGATTCGGAATCTAATACGCAATGCACGACGGGTTTGACTACAGCTGAATGTCGTATGCCAGACAGGGCCACCATCGACACTCTGGAGCTGATTCGGTAGTCCAGGCGGCCATAACGGCTTTATATTCCCCCTCCCTTACAAGAGACGGACCTGGTCTGGCCACGATTTTTTATACCTTTTGCGGGTATTGTGACATGCGAGTCTTGTGGTACTGTGTTTATTTTGGGGGGAGGGACAATTGCGCGGTAGTTCTGTATATGAGGTCGCCATAGGTCCGGGTGTACATTTTGCATCTGATGCTAATGCTGTAATTAATTAATTGTTCGATGAAACTATTTTACAAACCGTGATGAACTTATGACGTGGATCCAAATCCAGTGTACACCTGTGTAAAGCTACTGGGAACTATGCGTACGCGTCAGAGCTATCACGACGTATTTGAGTCGGTCGAAACATTCATTATTGATGTATTGTTATTGACAATCATTAGCAATTGTAATTTTCATCTGTTATTTATACTTTGACAGCAATAATCACGCAGCTAGGATGCGCGTTCCAATGAGCCGGTGTCGACCAACTCCATTCCTAAGGGAGACTAGGCAACACGAGTGCGAAAGATTGTAGCGCTAACATTAGATATTACTGCTGGCTGCNATGAAAGGCTCAGATGAGGTCATATATGAATGAGTGAGCCAGAGATCTTTACAAACCTGGAGCTATGTGTAATAATAAACTAGCTTTTAGCCGACTGCTGTGCGCACCACTCTTAATTTACCCTGTATGCCACCGAAAATTTCCATTTTGACAACGCCATGAATATAGAGAGGAGCAGCAGAAAGATCAAGGTTTTTTTTTTTTTTTTCCTCTTTCTCTCCATTTTTCCCCAATCGTAGATGGAAAAAAGGCACGCACTGGTCGCCCTTCTATCAGGTAATGTCAGACGAAAGTTTTCTATTGTTGTTTCTTGGTCCTCTTTTCCGCCATTACCAAGTTGGCTTCCATCATATATACTGTACAGAAGAGTTTTCAAAATAAAATTATTTATAGATACAAAGATACACTTTAAAACTCCCAACACAAACTTATATATAGGTACTCTCTCATACAGTGGTGCAGATATACTACACTTCTTAACCCAACCATAGAATCAAGAGAAGAAAGAAAAACAAAAGATCAAAAGCCATTTCGTCCTATATGCCTACGATATATACCATTGTGTGTGCGTGTTTTTTCTTTTTCAGTCCACTCTTACTATGTTCCCAAACTTAAGATACAAATATCTCCCTCTCATCTTCCTATCATAAACCTTATAAACTTAAATCAGAAAATATGCCCATAGTTCGACCACAAAACAGAAGAAACAATCTTGTCGCATGCCACATGTGGAAGAAGTTGAAGAGAAAGAAAAAAAAAAAAAAGAAAAAAAAAAGGAGGCTAGAATGAGAAAAAGAAAAGGATAGAAAAGACATGAAAAAAATATCGCTAATAACCGTGACTTGTAAGTCCTCGTGCATCAGACCCAAGTGCCATGCTAAGAAAAACCAAACAATATAAAAAAGGAGAAAAGGAATAGAGGGAAAGAAGAAAATGGCCAAGGCATGATAGTGCAATCTCGGCTCAGTGAGATTGGCTACCTACGAAGCCACGCCCTATCCCCCCCCCTTGTTCTGTTTTCTTTTCTTAAACGAGAAAAGAGGCGCCTGATTTTCCCAAAACCGCCTCTCTAAATTTTTCGCTTTTTCTTCCTTTTTTCAAACACTCATATAACGACAAGGGGAATAAATAAAAAAAAGTATCCAAAAAAAATGCAGAGACAAAAAATTCATCATGAATTCCCAGAAGAAGTTGACGATTCTCAGAATCCAAGGCATAAACATCTTCCAGGCTTAATCATTCAACAGCCTTTTATTCAGGGTAAAGGTGCCAAAGATACCATGTTAGAGAATATTAAGAAATGCAGGCTAAGGCGATTGAGCTTAAAAGAGGTTTGGATGACAGAATAAGGGATGTGTCATCACAGTCATAGGTTAGGGAAAGGGGGAGAGATGAGGTGTGTGTATAAAGTATATACAAGTCAAATAGGGTTTCCTGAAAAAGTGACGAGAGGTAGGAGGAAAAGCGGAAAATAATATAAAAAGTGAGTCGTAACTTCATCTCAGGATGGGTGTTTAATCCCTTCAGTTGCTTTAGTTAAAATATACTTGGACCATCCATGAGTGGTGGTGGTCGGCGATGTTGAGAATCGTTCCAAGTAGCCGAGAATTCATCATCTGGGAGAGGTCGCTGCCGTCCTCCTGAGACGGGCTCATCAACTCCGTAGCTACATCGCTCGAATTGCAGCAGACCGCCACGGTGAGCGTCGCAGCAGAGAACCTTGAAATCCTGACCATCGTTGGTAAATGCCACGCCGCCAATCTCACCAAAAATGTCAATGGTCTGCTTAGAGCTAAAAGTGCTTGCATCAATCAGATGAATATAATCAGCCTCTTCGGCAGCAGCAAGGATTGGCTTGCCGCATCCCGTTGGCGAAAAGCGCAGGTTTCGGACACCGGCCATCTCGGTACTTATTGTGTGGACCGGTGAGCTTATGCCACTTGAATTGTGCCAACGTCGAGCGTCCCAGATCTTGACGGTCTTATCTTGGAATCCGGTGGCAACTGTATAGCCATTATCCGACCAGTCGCAGGCAAACCCGTAATCACGGTGTCCATTCAGCTGCTGTAGGACTTCTCCCGTTTCCGCATTGGTGATCAGAACATTCAGGTCATCACCTACAACGACCCTTAGTCGGCCATCTGGCGATATGGCTGAGCAGTTTAGGGCAAATGGATATGTAAATGTAGAGGTGAATTTTTCTGTCCGAAGGTCCATGAGGCGGAAACGATTGTCATTGCTTGCGATAGCGGCAGCAGGGCTATCGGACCTCCTCGGCTTATATATCTTTATGTGGTTGGTGATACCACTAATGTTAGTAGATATTTGCCCCTCGGAGTAGCTCCGCCTGTCTTCAGAGCTCAGCGACTGCAGGAAGTAATCGCCACCAAAAGTACCACTCATCAACAGGCCGCAGCCGGCGTCGAGAGTTGAGATTGCTGGACCCGTCATACCAGAGAATGCGCGTAGATCCATGGCCAATGTGGTCCTTTTCGTCGCCGTATTCATCACGTTTATGCCATGGACGCTTGGGTAAAATGCTTGTGTCCGAGTGGGACAGGCAAGAACGCTTCGGAGCTGGAAATGGGCAAGACTAATATCTCGTCGAACGTCCATCCTGTGAAATCGGAAGAAATTCTCAGTTGAAGGAATTGTATCGTTTGATTCCATCTGGTTTTTCGAAAAAGATAGTTAGAACAAAATTTTGGCTTTCAGGGTATGCAGGGGGGATTCTACTGTATAACTTACGTAGATATCAGAGCCAGGCCTGTTCACATAGTTCCTATAAGTTTGACGACGAATTTCTCTGGCGTAGTGGCGGGCCGTGTTCATGCTGTCCCAGTCTAACCCTTGCAGATCACAACCATTGGCGCGCAGATCTCTGTAATGTACACGCTCCACTCCGCTGTTAGCCTGCTTCAAGACCCTGCGGATGCCCGGCCGGGGTAACCTCAAGGACATTAGCGGAACGTTTCCATATGCCCAAGAACGTAGAAAGTCGACCAGGCCGTAGTTTTCAGACCCCAATATGCTTGGGTTTGGATTACTCATGTGAGGCGGAGGGAAAGGATCCAGCAACATCTGCTCCTCATCTTCATCGAGTGATAGCTCGTCAGCTGACAGGGGATGTTGGAGTAGTATGTTGAGGGCTTCGTCGAGCATTTCTTGTGGCATATTGGCCGGTAACGGCAGCTGGTTGCTCGGATGGAGATATTGCAAAAGGCTGGGTACTGAGGCTGGTGGCGCATGTGACTCGTCTTGGTCCATCATTTCATCCTCGTCGTTTTCGTTTTCGTCATCTTCGTCTTCGTCTTCGTCTTCATCGTACTCATCGTCTTCATCGTACTCATCGTCCCCCTCCATTTCTCCTTCATCATCTGCCAGGCCATCGGTATAGTGTTCGTTGTAAGTTGCGCTGGACTCAGTCATGAAATTGCCGCCGATGGCTCCATTTAAGTGGCTGATAGAAGCTCCTCCATCACTATCGCTCATCTCTTGATCATAGCTGTCATGTATGTGAGTATGGTGCTGAGCGGATGTGTATGCGACTCCGTAAGAATGATTAAAGGGTGAGTTGATAGGAGGGTCTAGTAAAAGTTCGTTGCTGCCAGAACCGTTTTCGACAGGTGCGTGGTATATTCCGCCTTGGTGGTGCTCGTGATAATACTCTTCGTGCTGGTCGAAATACATCTTGTCGGCGGTGTTGCTCCCCGGAGCAACAGCCGCATGCTGCGCCTGGTTCCAGCCCAAATCGTCTTCGTAATCTTGCTGTGAGCAGTGGTGGAAATCGGGATGATTAATTTGCTGGTCGTCGTAGCTTTCGCAGATACAGTTTTCGTAGAGCTCACAATCCGGTGGCAATGAGAGCGAGTTGGGTCGCATGACTGTCCGCGACAACAGCAAGGCTGGTGGCCAGGTGTTGCGGGATTGCGGCAGGGACACGCGCAGAGGGCCTTTGTCCCGAGCTGTGCCCTTGTCACGGCCTCGTCTTTTGCTGCCGACGGTGGCTCTTTTATCCCCTGGTGCGAATGCGCAGGCAAGGGGGGGGGGGGGGGGGGGGGGGGGTCTCGGTTTTTTTTTTTAAACCAACCTTGATCTGGTGCAAGCTCCTAAGCTGTCGGATGCGCTACTCTCTTCCAACCTCGTCGATGAGCCGCTGGCCTTGCCTTTGCGAAAGGAACCTTGCCACACCTCTTCTTGATATGTTCCCGATGTGTCCCTCTTCCACCTCTCAAGGTTCTTGAGTGGGCGGTGGCGACGGTGATTGTGGTAGCGGCAGCAGCAGCAGCAGCAGTGGTGGTGGTATACCGCCCTTTCCCTTTTGCTCGCGATCTTCCAGCCGCAGTGTCCGGTCTGACGTTTGCTTGACTCGCTCAAGCACTAGCCTCTGGAGAACGATCGCTTGGACTGCTAACACTTGAAGCAGCCGCTTGTTCCCGGTCTCTGCTGCACAGCTATCGTAGCCTCAGCTAGGAGGGAATGGGATATTATTTTTTTTTTTTCTTCAAAAGAAAAAAAAAATATGAAGATGGGCGGGTACAAGCGTATGCTTTGCGCGTGCGTGGGGTCGAATCGCCGGCACGGCCCAATGAATAATAAGCGTCCGTTGGACGAGATGGGATGCGGAGACGAGGATGCCGCTGTCTAGCTCCCTTCCGACGGTGCTTGTCCGGCTGTCGCCAATGGTGATGCTGGAGAGGGCCTGCTGGGATGGTTAGTATCGTAACGGGCGTTGAAGGATTGGTTGTGGTCTGCCAGCCAGCAGAGGGCATGTGATTGGCGGCAGAGGAGTGGCGGCAGAGATGATCTGGTGATAGCGATGGCGATGGCGATGGCGATGGAAGATGAAGGCAGTGGGCTACTGGTAGTACTGACTGATGTGTGGTCTCCCCGTCGCTGAGGCTGGCAGCCTCATGTGCTACTGCTGGGCAAGAGCTGTCGTGTAGAAGTGAGGTGAAGAGTCCCTGGTAGCGTTGCCCAGAAGTTGTGGATAGACTGCCAACTTTAATACGGCCCGCGGCCGGGCCTGATAAAAAACAGCGTGTGCTCGATGGCCAATCTTCTTGGTGCGAGTCAAACCCCCTCCCCTCCCCCAGACTTTCCGCTTGGCCTATCAGTCTCTCTGCTTGTCCTGTCTTGTACCCGCAACCAGCGCGCGAGCAAAACGACAGCCTCGAGTCTCGAGCCACTCCCTGGGATGTACGTAGGGCTGACGGACACCGACGGGCTGGCAAATGGCACGCCTTTGCTCTGCTGTCTTCTCTTCTCTTCTCTTCTCTCTTCTCTCAACCAGATCCAGCGCGCCTGTGGTAATTGATTTAGCGCCGGCTGCGGCCTGGCCGAGTCGCGACAGTTGCAGAGGAGAGGAACGATCAGAATCAGACACATCATATGTGCCGTCTGCTGGTGAGCGCATTCTCCGAGCGATGCTAAATCGGCGCCAAGCCGGGCAGGGTCCGTTGATGGACACAGCCTTGAGGCCCGAAGGTCACCGGTACCACGCAGCGAAAAATTACCGACTTGCTTCTTGAGGGAGGGGATGATCCCCGTTCTAGGCCAAGACGCAAGCCATAGCCAGGACTAGCAGCACGCTGTGTGAACTGGATCGATCCCTGCAAAAGAGGCTGGCAAGGGGGGGGCAGAGGCCAAGGAAGCTCAAGCCTGTGCTCTGTAGACTGTACTTGGAATGGGCTGACCGGGGTAGCAATGCAATCCAGCGCCTTGCAGCGCAGTGCTGTCTGCCTTTGGGTGTTCTGTGCAACTCTGGGTTCAGTTATTAGCACGGTATCTACCAGCCAATCTCACCGAGCCTTTCAACTTCAGTGTACTTGCACGTGCAAAGCCCGACGCATACAGGTCGGGCTATTGGAGTGTTGCACAACAGTAGGCGCTCAATGAACGCGTGCACGGCATTGGCCAGCGGGCGAGTGGCACCGTGCTCGTGCTCGTGCTCGTGCTCGTGCTTGTGCTTGTGCTTGTGCTTGTGCCTGTACCAACACCAGCCAGGAGTCAGCATCGCATCGACGCGATGGGGCGATGGTCGCGAAAAGCTCTGGGGAGGGATGATGTTGGTGGCGTCTGCCCGGATATCGCTGAAGCCGTCCTGGACGCTCGGGGCAATAGGTGCGAGGAGTGCCCGAAGTGTGCTGTGCTGGTCTGAGCGCGCAATGGCTTACACTTACGGAGTACATGTACGGCTTGTTACAGCACCTGCTGGTCTACTGGCCTGCTTGCGAGTGCTGGCGCTGGCGGCGCAGATGATCGGTGCCGCTTGGATAATGCCGCTATACGCAGTGGACAGCACGGCGTGGTGTCTGCTGGACAGATAGCGCTCTTGGCCCCCAAAACGAACAAGATACACATCAATTCCGAGCCGGCTGCTGTATGGACAAGCAGGGGAAAAAAAAAAGGTCCCCCAATTTCTCCGCTGCGGGCTGTTTGGCCAAAGCCCCAACGACCAGCATCGCTCACCTCTCACATTTTTGCCCTCTCTATCTTTACTTGTCTGGACCATGCTTAGTCTTGCAACAGACACGGCATGACGGTGCTGGTCTCCCGAGGCCTGATTCACTAGCAGGCTTTGTGCGAAATTGCCGCATGCACGATTTGCATTACCGGGATTGCATTCGGCACGCCACGCCATTGCACTCATTGGTCTGGAACTCATAGCCTGCGCGGTTGTCGCTGCCCTGCACTGATACGAAGGAATCCAGAGGACGGGCAGCCGAGGAAGCAAATCATGCTGTACGCAAACAAAGCGACACGGCAACCCGAGAGCCCAACCAAAGCAGAAGTGTGTACTTGTATAAGCATGCTTCGTCGTCGTCGTCGTCATGCTCCTATCGGCCTGCCTCGCAGCCAAGCAGCAATGCCTTTTTAGGGACCAGTTGACTACCTGCTGTAGTAGGTATATCTATTATACTCGGGTGATGGCAGTAGAGCCACCTATTCCCTTGCCATCTCAGGCAGTCCGGGCTCCGTAACTGCTGCCAGGGAGCGATGCAGCTCAAACCGTAGTGGGAATATCCAGCACTGCGGAAATATGCATGACAGCCACACACTCGCCGCCAACCTCGTTTTTGCTCGCCCACCAATGCCTGTAGGAGCAGTACATAGTGCTCGTGCTGCTATATTCCAGCATGCCGAACGCCCTGCGATGGCTGTGGCTCATCTCGATGGGGGATGGACGATCAACGGACTCTCGCTTCTCTCAGCCTTGGGTCTTGGCCAACATCCTCATCCTCTTGTTTCGTCGTCATGTCTCGCACCCTCTTCGGCTCCTGCAAGCCTCTTCCACCCTCCACGCCCGAAAGCAGCAACCTGCTGCAGCATCAATCGGCTGGCTTGTCGCCCAACGACCAAAGACGGCTCTTGTTGGGCTTTGCTGCATGTGCATGTCTCCCAAATCCTCCGCACCCTGTGCCGGCATCATGCTATATCACAAGCTGCTAAGCCAGCGTCTCAAGCTCGAGACGGCTTCGTTAGCACCTTCGATCGCAATATACTGCTTCGTGCCTAGGCGTGTGTATTAGGTACGCGACGCCTCGGCCTCGTCCAGCTGAGAGGGTCTGGTTGCATCCAACAGGCATTGGGGGGGGGGCCTCTGCCTGCATGCAGGATCCATATTTTCCTTCACCGGTCGCGCTTGTAGTTTGTGATAGATGACCTATAAGCTTGCTTCGTTTTAGCCCCCTCCCCTTCTGTTCTGCTAGCCCATCCATCACCACGCAACGCCGCCCTCTTCTGGGCTGCTTGGCCCGTCTGGTGGCTGAGAAAGGATAGCAGAGAGGAGACGGACCCCTGGGCTGCTGCTGCAGCCACCGATGTTTGGTAAGGAAGCAGCAGCAAGCAGCATGAAGCGTGCTTCCACACAGCACGGTAGCTTTCTTTGCACAGCATGTATGTATACACAGAGACTAACCTGGGTTCGCCTCCAAGTCCAATAGTATTTCGATTGGATTTGATACTCTCGTCCTTACGCGTACGTGGCCTGGATACGCCTACCAGTTGTGGAAGCCTCCGGAGTCTTGTGGCACCTTGGAATGGCTCGAGAATAGCCTTTCGTATTATAACCGGCGTTGATTGATTGCTCGCTTTTCTGCTGCCGCTAGTATTACGGAGCACCGAACGCAATATGGGGTAACGCTCTGCGGAGCACGGATCAAAGGCGAATAGTACTCCGTACAAGGCCACTAAGAAAACTGAGGAAATACCTATCACAAAAAAACAAAACGGCCGATTTTTTATTATTTCGTTTTACCCCCCATTTGCCGCGTGTGCCTCTTGCGTGTGCGTCGATTCATGCAATCGCGGTTAATTTTCTAGTTTTCTTTCTAGTTTTCCACCAGTTCTCGTGCCCGACTGCTACCTCGATAAAAGTCCAAATTCAGAAAACTCCGAGAATTTATAGACTTGCAGGTGCTACATGGTGGATAAGACTGTCCAAGAAAGGAGATAGACTGCTCTGCTCTCATACATACATACACAGTATCCAGTCTATAGAAGCCTACGGAGTCTTACCTACTAAGTAGGCGCCCTTTTCGTCCTATGCCAAGCCTACTTGTCAGCAAAACATTCTGTTTCCAGTGGCCAGCCCGTACATATGCAAGGACCAAGTAGCAGCATGCACAAGTACCTCTATGGCCAGCCAGATGCAGGATTCTGCATGGTGGCATCGAGCTCACCCATGTCATCATTTTTCGCGCATACACACTCATTTCATCTTCTTTCCTTATCTCATACAGAGAAGAAGAGCAAGAGAGAAGGAAAAGCTAGTACTAATTACGACTTGCTAAGGCAGCTGAATTGTCAAATGGGGAGAAAAGACTTTATCCACAAACAAGCCATTCAAAGGCCAAACTGGGCTCGTTTCATCAAGAAAACCTCGGCTGTCTCAGGGTATTTCCCAAGCCATCATCACTCAAATGCAGCATTACATGCCCGGCAAACCCCCTTAATTGTCATGCCAGGCCTTGCCTAATAGCAGACAGATAGGTAGGTTGGTAGGTAGGTAGCTCTCCGTACGAAATACCTCTTCTTCCCCTCTCCCTCCCTCTTTTTTCTCTCTTTTGTCCGTTCATCAAATCTTGGCCTTACTTAGTAATGCATTCCGTGATGACGAAGAATTAAAAATCTCCGCGGAAATTTATCTACCGGAGGAATCGCTCCGTATCTAAAATAGAAGTAGGATCTGCGGTATTCTGCTGACACGAGTTCATCAGACTCGAGATGTTTTGCTTTTAGATCATGCTTACCTCATTTTACCTATATGCCTACCTATATTTACTGGGTCAGTATTTACAAGCAGATATAACACTTTTTCTTGCAGCCCTAACAAGACCATTTCCCTCGGAGGAAGCCACTTTGAACGATTCGGGCAATCTCTTGCTCCATTCAATTCACTCCGCATATATGACACATCACGCAGCACAATCCCATGCCGTAATATCCCTTTGGTTAATTGATTATAATGCGGACTTGGTAATATATCTACCTAGGTATATACTACCTTAGGTATTTCTTTACGCCTTTTATATATATATATATATAAAAGGAACGAACATGTATTTTGCCCGCATCATCTCACCTTACCTCATTGTGTCATGCGCCGATCATCTACGCTTGAGCAGTACAACTCAGCACACACACGGACATAGCTACACAAATAGGGCAAGAGAATAAGAGAATGCCATAAAGTGAGTGATGTGCAGGTAATCAATTTACTTCCTTCGCGCTACGGAGCAAAAATAATCCTCACCCACCCACTCTAATATGATCCTTAAATCAAAGAAGCAAAAACCTTGGCCGATTTAGTACACAGTCCGTATGTACCTATCAGGCCTACCTACCTACTAGGTACCTAACCTACCACTATACAAAGACGACCAGGCCGGCCCGTCTCATCCCGTCCCGCCGGCCCGTCCGCCCGTTCTGTCACGTCACTAACAATTTCCAAGTCCCCTTGCACCACCATACAGAGCATCACAGCCCCGTCCATTATCCAGAAGCAGTAATGATGATACCAGATACCAGCTTATTCACAAAAGCAACAACAGCAGCAGTAACAAAAGTGAGTTTTTTTTTTTTTTTTTTTTTTTTGATTGGGCTGAAAGAATACATTTCGTAAGAACAAAAGATAGCCATCCACACTCACCCCCCCATTCTCTCAAAATATAAACCCCCAAACCTGATATCTCATATCCTGCAACAAGAGCCCACGCGGGGGTTCCCTTTTCTCTCTCTACCTCTCTCTCCCTCCCTCTGTATTCGTGCTGCCATACATAGGGTACATACATGCGGCTACCTTCCTCACTCATTCACACCCACACCCGCCCACTTACACTCACCGAGCCTGGTTGGCCCCCCCTTTCCATCCATTTTGAGTGGTGAGATTTGAGTTCTTATTGCATGTAGCAAACGCTAAAAGGAAGAAAAAAAAAAGAAAGAAAGTGTGTGTAACGGTAAGGCTTATGCGACCGACCTAAAACGGGCGGGACAATAAGAAAAGGGGAAAAGATGAGAAAAGAGGAAAAAAACAGGAAGAAACAAAAAGAAAAGAGTACACACGCTGGCGTGCCTCTATTACAAAGGCAGCAAAAGACACGACGGGCATAAACAAAAAAAAAGAAATGCCTAAAAGCCGCCCACCCGGCTCCTCTCTCTTACACCAAATCTTTGCAGCACCACGCGACTCATCAAATCTTTTCAAAGCTGGCCTTTTCATTTGTCCGGATTCTGCTTGATAACGCTGGAATCATCTCTCTCGAACCCCGCAGCTGCGGCCTGCTCTGTCTGAACCCCGTAGCTTTTACGCATGTGCCCGTTTCTTTTTTCTATTCTTTTCTTTTTTGGTTTTGCTTTATTCATTCTAGATCTCTACACAGTACGAGAGTACAAACGCTGGCTATTCCCTTTTGTCATTTTCTCTCCTTCTGGGTATGCCTGTAGCCACGTGTGCATGCGCAGAGCCAGAAAAAAAAAACGCCTTGCATGTTTGTCTGACAACATTTTCTCTCCCTCTCTCATATCCCGACGCCCATTTCCCGATGCTCTGCTTAACAAATCACTTAGATGGAATTGACAAGTCTCCTCTCCACCTTCAAGGCGAGCAGCTTCTCTAGTGCCTCATCCACGGGGATCAGAGCTCCCTTGCTCTGTGTGCTCTGGTCATCTCTGTTTCGGATGTTGACGGTGCGTGAGCTGGCTTCCTCGGCTCCGACGACTACAAGACATTCCACGTTAGCAGTAGACCTCTCATGTAACCAAAATTTCCTCCAAGTAAAGAACTAGATATTACTCACCAAAGATGAAGTTGTACTGCTTCAGCTGTCCAGTGCGGATCTTCTTCTGGAAAGTGTCGCTGCTCAGATCAACGTCAATGTAGATACCCTTCTCCTGGTAGATGGCTTGAAGCTCCTTGGCGTAGTCGTTTACTGCGGGCATCACAGGAACAACCAGGACTTGGCGAGGGCTCAGCCAGAATGGCCACTTGCCGGCAAAGTGCTCGGTGAGAATACCAAACATTCGCTCGAAGCTACCCAGCACGGCTCTATGGATCATGACAGGTCGAGCATAGCCAACTGGCAACTCGGGATCGTTGCTGTTCTGGTTGGCGCTGCTCTCGTCCTTGGCAGCGACATAACGCAGCTTGAATCGCTGGGGAAGGTTGAAGTCGAGCTGGATCGTACCGCACTGGTGCTCTCGTCGCAGGGCATCGTACACGGTGATATCAATCTTGGGGCCATAGAATGCACCATCGCCGGGGTTCTCCTCCCACTTGGAATCAATCTTCTTGGTGAAGTTATCCAGGGCCTCCTTGAGCTTGCCCTCAGCCATATCCCAGATGGCGACCTCACCAATGTACTTCTCGGGACGAGTCGAGAGCTTCAACTTGAAGGAGAAACCAAACAGTCCGTAGACGCTGTATAGGAAGTCGAAAGCGCCCTCAATCTCATCACGAATCTATCACCCATCAGTAATCAGTCTATAATGTCATCATGCTTGCTTAGCATACCTGGTCGACCGTGCAGAAGATGTGAGCATCATCCTGCTGGAAACGGCGCACACGAGTGAGTCCGGAGAGAGCTCCAGAGAACTCATTTCGGTGAAGAACACCAAAGTCAGCCATCCTCCATGGCAGATCCTTGTAAGTGACATCTGAGTGGGCAAAGATTCTGCAGTGTCCAGGGCAGTTCATCGGCTTCAGACCGTATGTCTCCTTCTCAACATCAAAGGTAAACATGTTTTCAGCGTAGTGTCCCCAATGGCCGGAGGTCTTCCACAGGTCAGACTTGTAAACATTGGGGCTGATGACTTCATCAAAAGCTCTCTTCTTGTACTCGCCCCGGATCAACTCCAACAGAGCATTGTAGATTCTGGTGCCGTGTGGCAAGAAGAAGGTGGAACCAGGAGAAGCCTCGTCGAAGAAGAACAGCTTTTGCTCCAGGCCAATCTTTCGGTGGTTGCGCTTCGCAGCCTCTTCAAGGAATGTCTTGTACTCCTCAAGCTGCTTCTTATCAGGGAATGAAACACCAGAAATTCGCTGAACAGATTCGTTGGCGCTGTTGCCGAGCCAGTATGCGGCAGAGTTCTATAAGAGAGATATGAGTGAATCTGTGTATAAAAATCTGCATAGCAAGCTGCGTTACGGCAAAGACATACCTTGAGGACGGTGAACGCCTTAATGTTTCCGGTAGTAGGAACATGAGGACCTCTGCACAAATCGATAAGAGGACCGCATCGGTAGACAGTGCTCAGAGTACCGTCAGGAACTCGCTGGTTGATGAAATACTCCTTGTACTTGCTGTAGTTGAACATTTCGAGGAGCTCATCCTTGGTCATTTCCAAACGCTCAAAGGGCTGCTTCTCCTTGATAATGGAGTTGGCCAGAGATTCCAAGGCCTTCTTGTCCTCCTCCTGAACGACTTGGCTAAAACAGTAACAGTTAGCGACTTGCAAGCTAGCCCAATCGTTCAAACGAAAATATCCCTTACTTCTCCATGTTGGCCATATCGTAGTAGAATCCAGGGGGGTCGGTGGTAGGGGGACCGTTGCAGAGGTAGCAGCCGAATCGCCTCTCAGCAGCCTCGCCGAGGACGTGAGCCGAAGAGTGCCAGAAGACCTTCTTGCCTAAACCCGCCAGTCAGTCCAGCTATTCATATAACAGTCTCGCGTCTTAGACATGTCTTTGCTTGCACATACCCTCCTCATTCTCGAAATCAATCAGCTCCAGCTTGCAGCTCTTCTCAAGCGGTCTCGTAAGATCCCACAGCTCTCCATCGACCATTGAGATGACGGTGCGTTCGAACAGTGACTTCGAAATACCCCTGGCAATGGCTCCGGGGGTGGTCTCCCATGAGATACCCTTCTCCTCCTTGCCATTGGGCATGGAAATGGTGATTTCCTCGCGGGGCTTGGCTATAAACACGCCCAGATATCAGTAAACTAGAAAAATAAACCATAGAGACGATGGTGGTGGGGTAGTATGCTGCAGCGACGCACCAGCAATCTCGGCGTCTCGCCTGGCCTTGATCTTGTCGAAGATGGCAATACGGTGTTGGATGAAGTCGGGCAGGGCAGGGAGCTACAAGAGAAAACGCATTTCATCAGCATTTATTGTCGTTGCAGACGTTGGAGAATATGTCAAGAGCGCAGTACCTCAAGTGAGGCCTTGCCGCCGCCAGCCTTCTTCTCCTTGGGCTGCTTCGCAGGTCGCGAAGGCAGGCTCTGGGCGGGCGCGCCCTCTGCCGCCTTTGGGGCATCAGCTTTCTCGGAAGACATTGTTGGTGACACTCTCTTTTTTGGTGTTGCGACAAGGCAAAAGAAAAAGAAAGTTGGCTGTTTGGCCTTTCTGTCTAATGGAGGGGCAGGAAAATACCCTTAGTACTACTTTATCTTTTAGGCGCGAGGTGGGGTTGACTCACAGGAAGTTCGCGGCAAAGTTACAGCGGCAGATCTTCGGAGTCTTGGGCCGGGGGGGTTCTGAGTCAACGATGGTATAAGTTGAAGGATTTGTATCACGGGATTGATTAATTTACCCTTTGATCATAATTACCATATGTCGTATCTCATTTCCCTCTCATTAAAAGCCCCCTTCCTGAGTCATCCCACGTCTACATCTCATCTCAACTGGGCCGGAAATCGGAGTCAATTCAATGATATGGTAGACTCAGAGACAAAAGCAGGTAAAATCATTCAAACATGTATGAATTTGCATTCCAAAAGATTGGGTATCAGTTATCAGTACCGCTCCTTGACCAAAAACTCCGTCCAAACGCCCCAAAGGAGTGCAAAAAAGCCGCTCCCCTGTCAAATCCTCACTCCTTGATCGCATCACATCAAGCAGACAATACCCGTCCCTTCCAATCTTCAAACCTCAGCACCGCGTCGGCTTCAAAGTATCTCACAGCCCATATCTGGTGACACATTCCTCTCTATGCGTCTCCAGACAGTCCAGTGCACAAACCCTGGTCCCGCACTTCATGCATCGCACTCGCCCCCAATATCCACACACCTCGCAGAATACACGCGTAGGGTAGTTGTCCTCCCACTTGCCTCTAGTCTCATAATATGTCAGCGGTGGGTGGGCAAGCAGCTTCCTCAGCTCTTCGTCTGACGGCAGATCGGGCACACGAGATGCTAGTAAAGGATCGTTGTCGCCAGGATGGGCCGCTGGCGGTGGTCTGTACTGCCCGACCAATACCGGGGGAAGATCTACGTCTGCCATTGTAACGTCCTCTTCCTGTATGCCGGGCGTCGGCTTGGCGCTCCCTGTGGGTGTGGATGCGGCGGTAGCATCTCGTTTGTTTGCTGGTCGCTTGGAGCTCGCGTTGCTTGGTCGGTTGTTACCCGCAGCAGCCGGGCCGCCCTCGACTTGCGCTTGTATTGCCAAAAAATCATCTAGGTGATTTGAAAATGTCTTCTGCGACTGTAGGATCTTTCGTACGTTCGGTGTATGCTTTGCAGGAGCTGCAGCGCCAGCTTCGCCATCAGCCTTTGCATCTTTTCCTTGCACACTCTCGGCGCATTCCACATACCTTTGCCGCTCTTTGCGGGTATCGGAATCGAAATATCCTTTCCACCATCTCGCTCCAAAGCCTCAATCTCCTTCCGAATCTTGGCTTCTTGCCGCGCCGTCAAATCGCCGACCGTCACACCCGCCGGTGCATTGCGAGCTCGTTTTCGGTTCGCTGGCTGCAAGGCGCTGGATCCGGGGAGTATGCCAGTGTCAGGAACGTAGGCCCAGCCGGGAGCCGAAGTGGTTTTAGCACTGGCGAGTTCGATGACCCCGAAGTTGTTCATGGTTCCTTGTGAATCGGTCGCGTGAGCTTGGCCTCGTGAGCTGTAGGTGGAGGCCGAAGATTCAATAAAGGGACATTGGAAATCAAATGATAAGCTTCCAGAAATCGGCAGTGAAAGCTAATTGGGTCTCTACAAGTACCATCTCGTCATCCGCAGACGCGATCCGATAGAGGCTTAGCAATAGAAAGATCGCACGGTAGTTGAAGTCCGTGGGGCAAAAAAAGGTACGCAGCGGCGAAAAAAGCAGCTCTGGGTAGCTGTCGGGCAATGCACCGCCGGAACAACCCGCGCCGTTCCCTGCTAAAAGCCCGTAACCCGCCATGTCCGCAAACTGGGGGCGTCTGTGATGATATTGGACCTCGAGACCTTAATAGCCGCGGCAGATCCCATACTCCAAGCCCATCAACTAGAAACCATACTCATGTAAGCTTCCAATTCCCTCTAATCTGCGCCTTCTATTGCTTACCGAAGTCTTATTCCGACTATTAAAGTCCCTCTTTCGCCGCAAGCCTCGAATTGCCATTTCCCTCGCCACACGATTCGCCATGTTCGCCGCCGCATCATCAAGAATACTCGCCAGCGGCGCTCGCCGTGTCGTGACTTCGTCGCGCGGCTTCCATGCCTCAGCCCAGCGCCTGAACGATGCTGCCCCACTGCCGGCGAGAAAGCCCATGGGTGCCTTCAGAGGAGGGTATGTCGACGGAAAGGGATTGCCGCAGCTATGATGCGACCAATTGCAGCTTACAGCTCTTGCTAACGGGGAATATCTAGTCTTTTCGGCTTCCTGTTTGGAAGCGTCTTGGCCGGCGGTGCTGTATACAGCTACGTCCTGCAGGAGTACAAGGCGTCCAACGAGCTCCTTACCGAGGACATTTACGTACGTTTATCTAGCCTACCTGCCCTGGGCGAGCTTGGCATTTCGACATGCTCCACGACCTCAAGCTCCCTATTCAACCACCTTTGCTACAACTCTAAAGGCCGTATGAAACAAATAATAGCTAACAAGACCATAAACCAGACTCTCCAAGCCTCCGTCACCCGCCTGACAAACCACGTCAAGATCCTCGAGGAGAAGATCCAACAGAAGAGAAAATAAAGCCTGGAACGGACACAAAAAAATCGAATCAAAACAAAATGGCGCAGAGCCAAAGGGAAGGAAAAGGCATTGTAACTTCATCGTCAGTATGGCAGAAACGAAATAGCATAATGGCAATTGCTCGTCTTGTCTTTCATAGCAAAATAAAGCCTGTAAATTATACCTCTTAACAATACGAAGTATCTACTCATGTCTCTACCACACCAAGTAGCAGGAGTAAAATGCAGGTCTACTTGTAAAGGATCACACATATTTTTCATAATATAAATTACAAGACAAGACAATTGGTCGGACAAGCTTCTTTCAAGTTGGTGATCAAATTCGAATGCTTTCATCAAAGCAATGCCCCTGATGGGCGTATAGCTAGTATGCAATTGCTAGTACTTATTTAGATAGTCCGTTAACCAGCGCCGACGTTCTTTTCGTCAAGAATCAAATCCCACAATTATACAGATTTTTACTTATTTCGTTTTACTTTTTTGTTTCTTTACAGCTCATCGTGATTGTCCTCAGCCTTCTTCTCCTCGGAGGCAGTCTCCTCAACAGGAGGCTCGGGGACCTTGACAGTGGCCTTGTACTTGCCGTTCTCCTCAATGAACTTAATGAAGTCCTCGATGGTGCGGGCGCCGCTGTAGGTGACAGGGTTCTTCTTGTCACCGGCGGGGTAGAGCTTGATGGTGGGGAAGCCCTGGATTTCATCAGGGACGTCGTTGTTGGTAGCGTCGACCTTGGCAACAACCACCTTGTCCTTGAACTCGCTCTTGGCGTACAGGTCGGCAAGCTCCTCGTACTTGGGGGCAAGAGCCTTGCAGTGACCGCACCAGGGAGCGTAGAACTCAATGAGGACATCCTTGGTGTCGTCAAGGACAATGTCGTTGTAGGTGTGGGCAACGACAGTGTAGACAGCGTCGTCCTGGGTCTCGGGAATGGGCTCAGACTTGATGCTGGGCTCAATCTTGCCAGCGGCAAAGTCGTCAACAAATTTGGCGACGTCCTTCTCCTTCAGCTCCTTCTCCTGGTCGAAGGGGAACTTGTGGTTCTTCTCAATGTCGTGGATGGCAAAGGCAGGGAACTTGTCGGTCTTGAGGTTGATGTTGCCGGCGTGGGAGCCGAAGCTGCTGGCGTCGATGGTAGCGAAGTTGATCTTGCCCTTGTACTTCTCAGCGATGGGCTTGAGGGTCTTGCTGAGTGCATCACGCTCCTCAGGGGTCTCGGCGAAGATGTAAGCCAGAGGGATACCGGCAGACATGTATCCTGCATAGGTCTCGGGGCCAACCTCGCCGACGAGCGGGGTGGCAGCAACCTGTGCGAATGACTTGATGGCCTCAGCGTCGAACTTGTCGGTGAAAACGTTCTTGCCCTCATCAAAGGACTTGTAGAGGACGATGGAGGGGAACTTGACGCCCTCAGCCTCAGCAACAGCAGCATCGTTGACGCCACCGAAGAGATAGGTGTCACGCAGCTCGTCGGCAACAGAGGTAAAGGTCTCGTTGGAAGCCTTGTCATCAGCAGCGATGTAGGCGACCAAGACAACCTTGTCGGCGGTCTTGAAGTCCTCAACAGTGTCCTTGGTCAGGACAGAGACAGCGGGAAGTGATTGCTTCACCATGTATGAGGTAATGCCAGCGGCCTTGCGCTGACCAGTGTAAGGAGTGACCTGTTCAAGGCCACGGAAGACCTTGAGGGTGGGGTAGCCCTCGATGCCGTGCTCCTTGCAGAGATCAGCCTCGTCGACACAGTCGATCTTGGCAAGCTTGATGTTCTTCTCCTTGAGTGTAGTGGCAGCTTCCTCATACTCGGGGGCGAGAGCCTTGCAGTGGCCGCACCAGGGAGCGAAGACTAGAGGTGACGATGTTAGCGGGGTCCATTGCCGGCGGCTGGCGGGGTAAAGGCAAAAAGGCTCAAGCAGCAGAACAGACGCGGGTAGAAGATGGAGACATACACTCTGCGAGGACGAGATCATTGGCCTTGATGAAGTCGTTGAAAGTCTCGCCGGTCAACTGGGTGACATCAGATTCGGCGGTGGCCACGGCGGCCATGGCGCCCATCAGGGCACAAGCAAGACGCTTATGATGCATAGTGAAGGACTGTGATGGGTATCTAGAAATGGAAAGGAAAAAAAAGTGGTGGTGTAGGAATAGAATTCCGTGGCAAGAAGATGGATGATGGAGGAGGTTTTGTAGGCCACAGAATCTGTTAGCAGCACGGATGACTTAGACGCTTCAATTGAACAAGTGTCCCTTTGGCCAGATCTGGCTACCAGTTAGTTATGCTGATGGGTTCAGCCGGTCCCTTGAACCACACCTCAGGCCCCTTCTCCAGCGTAAAACTGGGGCCCGCCCTCCCTCAGCGTCCACTCATGCCGCCCTCTGAGGGAAGGCCGCTACAGCGCTTCCCAGCCTTCTCTTTCCCCCGAGGCACATGTATTTTTCTGGCCCACGATCTGCTTGTAATACCTATTGAATTGTACCTGCCTGGTCGCCACCTGACAAATCCAAAAGCTTCACTCGCGAGTGCTCTCGCTAAAATACTGTACGAGCCACTTGAGGTTGATGACCTTCTGACCCATCACTTTCAAAGCGTCGGATCTGGGCATGATTACTATCTGATTTTCCTGATTCCGCAGGCCCTTCAGTTAGGCGACATTGCCGACTGAAAACAGGACTGACAACAGGCCACATCGCTTCTCGTTTGCTGGACGCCTCCAAATAAGTGGCATACGGCGCCTGTACTCCATAACAGCTGCCCCTCCTGCAGGTCTTGCCCGGCTCTGAGTGGATGGCGAGCGCTAAGCCCCCTGGTGCTAGAGCCTCGCAGCGCCATCGCGGCCGCCAATAGCGGCTAGCGCTACGCTGGCCAAGAGGTTTTGGACGAGACAATCTGCAGGGCGAGGAAAGGCTAAAGTGTCGAGACGGAGCACTATTGCCCACGGTGGCGTGTGCTACCTGACATAGGGAGGTAGATAATCCTAATGCTAACGCAGGCGGGATATCCGATATTGGAATTTATACGGAGCACTGGACGTTTGACGGAGCGCAGAAGAGGACACTTCACCACTTAGTCGCTTGTCACCCGTGCCTGGCCGTCCTCTTCCAGGTGCACCGGCTGCGGCTCTGCGGCTGCGTCTTTGCGGCATCTCCACAGCAAGTGGATTGGCTGTATAGCCGGTGGCATATGCACAAATATAAATTTGACATGCTCGGATAATATTGGCTGAAGTATAACAATTGGATACCTGTCCAGTTGAAATGCTATCCCATCCATGGACTAATCTGTACCGAATGCTGAGTACCTACCTCGTAGGCACGTCAGCAGCCAAACACTGTGCTCATAGTACCTAATCCAGCCAAAATGCACAATGTAAGCAATCATCCGACTCCATCCATCCATGTATACTTTATCCTGCATCAAGTCCCACTGCCCCAGCATCGGGATGTGCAGCCGCCCCGCTGCTAAGCATGGCTGTGGCCACTGATTAAAGAACATGTAGCCCAAAGGTGAAATGGCATTGCTCCAAGCATGCACAAGTGTGTGGCCGTAGTAGTAATACGGAATAATATAGCAGCGTTGGCAGTTCTGTCTAACACAAGAGCTAACACATTGTGGCTATATTGGGTATATCCGGGGCGATCAGCATTCTTCCCTACCCGACTGTGGCGTCAGACAAGGGTGTCATTACTGCTATTATTGCCAATACTATAGCGGTTGATACATATTACCCTGGCGACCTCCCTATTATGAGACATAGGTGAGTAGGAGGTGTAGTTTGGGGGGTTAAATAGGTAGCCGTGCAGACAGCCACGCCCACATCTGAGCCTCTGATGCCCAGCTGGAGCTGTTACCGGTCCGTATGAAGACTGGTTTCTACCCCGTTGCCAAGAAACAGGAGACAAAGTCAAATAACCAAATACGGCATATGACAAATCAATAGACGAACGTAAGAAGATCGTCTTAGCATCACTAATATGGCTGTGTAGCGAGATATGCACATGTCTCGAGATAGTCTACTTAGTGTTATATATATACACGTAGGAAAATGGAAAGCAGATCTGGATATTATAATGAAGATTGAGTTTGAATTAGCTACCAAATAGTAACCAGTGAGTAAAATGCAGAGTATCTACCATCTATGGAGTACCGCCGCAGCAAAAAAGGCGCTGAAACTTTTCATGTCTATCCCATGCGTTTGGAAATTCTCTTCCCTTAGTTCCCCATTACCAAAAAGACTTTAATACTTCTTGCCAAAGTCCGTTCGCGGCCCAGCTCTTGAGTACTGGTTCGGCCACTTTACAGCCACCTTGAGCTCGTGTGCCACTCTCAGCACCCACTCAGGCTCTCGCAGGAACTGCCTTGCCACCAAGGCCAAGTCGGCCGCAGCCTCGGGGCCCTCCTGAACGACGTCGTGGGCGATCTGGGCATCGGTGATGAAGCCAACGGATCCGATGGTGAGGTTGATGCCCTCGGCGCGGAGGGCCTTGCGCACGGTGCGCCCAATGTCGATCTGGAAAGACTTGGAGTCGGGGAACTGCTGCTCGAAGCTGTTGCCGCCGCTGCTGATGTCCAGGACGTCGATGCCCCATGAGGGGACCAGCTTGGCGAGCTTGGTGGTTTCCTCCACGGTCCACGAGGGCTGGCCGGCCCACTCCATCCACTCGGTGCCGGAGACTCGCAGCCAGAGGGGCATGGTCTCGGGGATGACGGCGCGGACGGCCTCGGTGACTTCACGGACGAAGCGAATGCGGTTCTCAAAGCTTCCGCCGTACTCGTCAGTTCGTTTCTATATGCGTATTAGTCACTGTAATCGGTTTCCCCCCCAGTATCATCACCATAGGAAGGCAAGTATGTACTTACGTTGCTCAGAGGCGACAGGAATTCGTTAATCAGGTATCCGTGAGCACCGTGGATCTCAATGACATCAAATCCAGCCTCGACAGCGCGCTTGGCAGCCTCAGCAAACTTCTGGACAAGTCCCTTGATCTCCTGAGTGGTCAATTCCTTGGGGTGAGCGTGGTCGTCATGGAAGGGAATCGCGCTGGGGCCAACCACGTCGTTTGGCCATCCGCCAACGCTCTCATCGGCCACCGTCTTGTTTGCAGTGCCGCCAATCCAGGGAGCAAGAGTGCTCGCCTTGCGACCGGCGTGGGCAATCTGAATGGCAGCCTTGACGCCCTGGCTGTGGATGAAGTCGGTGACCCGGCGCAGAGGGGCGATCTGGGAATCCTGCCACAAACCAGAGTCCTGAGGGGAAATTCGGCCGCGGGGCTCAACGGCAGTGGCTTCAACGATGATGAGGCCAGGGCCGTGCAGCGCCAGCTGGCCGAGGTGCACCAGGTGATAGTCGGTCAGGTGGCCATTGTCGGCGCTGTACTGGCACATGGGAGACACGACGATGCGGTTGTGCAGCTCGACGGAGCGCATGCGCAGCGGCTGGAAGAGAGTCGGGGCCGACGCCTTGTCTACAGGAGTGCCGGCCGGAGGATTCTGAGCAGGAGTGTAGAAGGGCACCCCAGGAGCGGGAGTGTTGTCCAGGTTGCTGCTGGTTCCGATGCTGCCCATTTTGCCGGTTGTGTTGTTTTACTGATTAAAGGTCCGATAATGGGTTTCTGTGATTGTCGAGGGCTGAATATATAGAACTTGAGTTGAAATGCTGGAAAGCCCGCTCAAGAGGACAATATGCGTGGATGGGGTATAGACAAAACAGGTAAGTACCTAGATATATATAGGTAACTCTAAGTTATGACAGTCTAAACAGGAAAGAGGAAAAGATGGTTGAATGCTTGGACAAATACAAACGATGCTGTGCTTAAATGTCCAGTCGTCGTTCGTCTTTCGACTTTATATATCTTGATCTACAAAAGTGCCCCCGCACCAGCGTCTCGCACGCCAGCCAATCTGATCTACCGCATGGCTCGATGGGCAATAAACGGCCGAAAACTCTCCAATGTCTCCCCCCTTATGCCCGATTCAGATTACCAAAGCAGAGGAGCCTTATTAAGCCTTGCGCCAATCTCTCGGCATGGTGTTCCGTGCCATGGCAGGGGAGCCAATCTTGCGGATGGAGCTCACTAAACTTGGTAGCTACATAGATAGTATGATGGCAACGGCCGTAGGGCTGCTCTTTTCTGCGGCCAAAGTTGCCCAGGCTTACATTTCCAATCCAGGTACCCGCCTACCGCTGGTGTGGCTTGCTCTTCTTCTGTGTTGCTTCTATGTATTAGAAAATTTTCCTCTACGTAATAGGACACCGGCTGCGGGGCTTGAAAAGCTGCTGATTAATAGCGATTCATTTCTGCTTAAATAATACGGCGGCCAGAGTTGCCCTCTCACTTACTCGGGCACATTGTGGCGGCGATAACCCGGTTTTTAGATCTATCTATCAGGCCGTTTTGCCGAATGCCTGATTACTTTTTCGTTCTCGCTCTCTTCCGCATTTGGCGGTTATTCATCGTTCTCTCTTGGTTAGCCCGCTATCTAACTTTCATCGATGATTCCATTTCTTTTCGCTTTCGCTTTCACATTTTCGAGACGGCAACATCCGTTCAATCCGCAGCGTGAAACTCGCTTTGCATTAAGCTATGTTCCGATTCCGATGTGAAGGCGGGGCCTCGGCTCTGAAGGCCGGTGAACCCTTTGACGTGATGTCTGAATTAAAAATGTCCCCTCCCTTTACCCTTCGGGTGTTACACCGGATGGGAGGGAATAAATCCTTGATGTACTGAATCTTGCCTCGTAAATTGGGTCCTATCCTCAAAAAGTGGGATGAGGAACGCATCGAATCTGTAAATATCTCAAGTTTCATATTTGGTGTTGCCAGTTTCGTGGCACTTGTCTCGTATTAATGAGATCATGGACCACGAAAATTACGTGCTTCTCTTTGTTCGCCTTGTCTATAGAGCGGACCTCATCTCATCTCTGCCATAATGGTTATGATTGCATTGGATGATATTCGAAGAGGCAAAAAAAAGGCTTGCTTAATCTCATATTACAAATAGCTTTCATACCATTTCTCAGTGAGAGGGGTCCGATAAAGCTTACCTGAGCCGAAGCCCAACATGCACCCGATAACGAACACTCAAAACACCAACACCTAACCTCTTTCTGGATACACAATTTCACAACCCATTTCACATCTTGTTTAAAATCTCAAAATCTCTTGTACACGATGTTTTTAACCCTGCCTTCGTCGCCAAGTGCCGCCCAAGGCTGATCCTCGGGTCATCACCCCGAGAGATCCAGCAAATAAGAATTACTCAAGGCCTCCCTGTCTAAGACCTGAGAGTGCGGGGAAAGTGGCCGTAGTCAGGTCCATCATGGGCCGTTTAGCCAATAGCAACTTGCTTGAAAGTCAGATCGTCATGGACAGAACGGCTGGAGAGGAGGTAGTTAGAGCAGCAGGTAGTCTAGTACTTAATCTGCATCAAAGTAGCATTTGTGATTCAGGCCGTGTCTCCTCATTTCAACTCTGGCCGTGCCATCTTCTCCGCTTCCATCGCCCTACTATTAACCTTCCACTCTCCAAATCGCTTGCACACAACTCAGTCACTCGATTAAGAATCATCAAGGAGTTTGGGAACATGAACAGCTTGTCTTCTATTTTGCTAAAGTACAGACCATTGGCAGAGGTATAAAATGGAACAACGAAAAAAGAGCTCAATTGAGCTCAACAAAAACGCAGCTTTAGCAAAACGCGATAAAAGCACAAACAGGCCATTCCAAGCTTTCCCAGCTTGTCTTTTTTAGCAGGTCTCCCTGCCTGACTGTAGCGGCTTTCATGCCGTAAGTAGACCCTACATGTCTATACATGTCTAACAAAAAGAAAATACTCTCAAGTCTATATCCCGCGCTCCGTATTGACAATGCTAGTTCCCTACGCCATCTCCTCTTCATATCTATATGAATTCAAGAGCTTAAGCGTTGGTAGTCTTGAAGGTCCATCGGTTGTTCTCGCTGCCCTCGGGGAAAGGAACACCGAGCTCGAACAACTTAACGAGAACGGCGGAGAAGTCCTTGAAGAACAGGTCGTTGTCAGCAGCGTACTTCTCAACCCAAGGCTTGAAAGCCTTGTCCTGAACAAGGACAAGATCGGTGGGAAGCATCATGAGGGTCTTGGTGGTCTTGTCCTCATACTGCTTGGGGCCGTCCCACTTCTTCTGGGGCCACTTCTCCTCGAGAAGGAGGCGGTAGAAGTCGTTGGTCACAACAGTAGGGGAGAAGGTCCAAGGGCCCTCATAACCAGATCGGGTGGAGTGGCATCGGCCAATGGCGTGGCCACCGCTGAGGGCGACAATCTCCTGGTCGTTAAAGCCCATGCGGTAGAAGATGTCACGCAGGTGCTTGGCGCCCTGGCTGGCGTCGGGCAGACGACCATCGGGAGTGCAGGCAGCAGCGTCGTTATCGCGACGGCCGGGTCGGAAAGGGACGACGGGTCCCAGCATCTCCTGGATGGCGCAGACACCGGCAAGGATCCAGAGATCGGAGTAGCTGATCCAGGGGTACTTGGCTGCAGTAAGTTGTTAGCGTTGGGTATGGGACCAACATGGAATATAACAAAGAAGACTCACCCTTGATAGGCTCACAGAAGTCACGAGCAGCAATCAGACCGGCATTGGCACCGTGTCCGCTCTCGGGAGCAAATCGCATGGTGGCACCGTTGCTGCCACCGGTCTTGGTCTCCTTGTCATAGGTGCCGCTGGCGTGCCATGCGAGACGAACCAGGACGGGGCCGTAGCTGCCATCGTCATAGTCCTCGACCTCCAGGCGGCTGGCGATGTCGTTGTAGACCTGCTGGTAGTGGGCTTGGGTGGGAACGAAGCTGCTGGGAGAGGCAGAGGCACCAGAGGTGAAGTACCAGATACCGAGACCAGCGGTGGCGGCAGCGAGACCGAGGTAGACAACGGGGTTGGGCTTCTTCTCGGCCTCAGATGAGTAGAAGCGGCGGCCCTGCTGGCGGAAAGCCTGTCGAGGGGCGGCAACGAAGGAGCGGGTTGTGGTGCGGGTTGCCACGCGGGCAAACTGACGGGCAGAGGAGGCCATCTGAACGATGATACGAGCGAAAACGTTAGCGATGTTGTGAACTGACGAGCGTGTGGAAGGTCGATATGGGCATGCGGAAGCAGTCGGGTCAAGAGCCCAATGGTGGTTATCAGGGAATCTCCGAGCCCAAAACCGCGTCTTATCTCTCTGTGCAGAAGATAAGAGAGGGATAGGGAAAGATATATTGCTCACCTTGACTGTGGGATAGGAGAGGATATGCTGAAACAGCGAAAGAGAGAAAGTGAAGGGGAAAGAAGGGGAGGGTGGGAGGTAATATGGCCCGCGGGAGGAAGGGTGGAAGACGGAGGAAACGTATTACTTGAGAGAAAGAAAAAGAGGATCGGGAGTCTAGAAAGAAAAGGACCCTCTGTCACAGCAGTGAACGATGCAAATTGGAATTGCCTTAGTGGCCAGCCAGGCGTTGTCAGACCCGCACTCCAGCGGAGATGCTCCACGCTCTGACGCTGGGGCTCGAAAGGTTCTTGATATCGATTTTTGGGCTATTGAAATGAGATCTGGCTGGGTAATGGAGAATTGTCTGCGTGCAGTCTGTTTATAAAAAACAAAGGGAAAAGAAAAGTTGGCGTTATGTCGTGATATGCTCTGAAGGGGGGAAAAAAAAAATCCCAAGAGCCCCTCCTCTGAACCCCAAATCTTGTTGGACCTTTCGCTGCCGCAACAGGTACCGATATCACGTTAGTCCCTCAAGGCCCAGCACCGTCACAAGCCAGCAAAGGCAAGACTTGACGAGTACTTTTTACGAATTCCTCGTAAGCCATCGTTGATTCCTTCTCCAGGGTTCCTCGTCCCATGTGCCGAAGCGCCCCTCCGTCTTCGCATCTCACTCTCTTCTGACTCAAAGCAGCCAATCACAGCCGTCAATCTATGCCGCAACCTCTGCCATCCATGCTCCGTCGACGATGCCGCAGCCGCCCCAAAGACAAAATCATGCCATCTCGAGCCTCCGCCCTCCGGCTCCGCGTTTTCCAAATCCTAGGATAGGTATTTCTTGCGTCTGCTCCAATGCCTTACTTTTTTTTTTTTTTTACTATAGTGCTTGTTACATGTTATTAGTATATCTGCTTGCTGAAAACTGAAAAGGCCCCCAAGGGCACTTTGTCTCTCCGCCAATTCCCCTCCCCCTCCACCCACTGTTATTAGCATGCCTATCTGTTCCTCCAGCTCATCCACTCACAATTCATCATCCCTCAGCTCAAGATCGTCATTTCCCTTTTTTTTTTTTTTCCCCTTCCCGCTCCGCTCCCTGATTGGGAACACAGAGCCGAGCGGAAAGCCGACAGTACTAAAAAAGCCAAACTAAGCGGTTTAGCTGCGAGTGGCGTGGGGCTTATTAACCAAAGTTGACACTTGAGACGGCGGGAGTGTGTAAGCGCAACGCCTTGTGCCTGGCAATGAAAGGAGGACCCTGATGACTGATGGAGAGACGCTAAATTAAAACAAGGAAGAGAAAAGAGCCGCTGTGGACATTGCAACTTTTGCGAGGCGAGTTATTGGCTCGAGCTGATTTCGTCAGCGCCCAGCTAGCTACCTCGCAGCTGCTTTCTGTATGCGGTATGCGTCGGCGAGCCACGTGGAGTCCTGACCATCAGTCCCGGTTCCTGTATTACCCGCGTGCCTATGTGGCTTGTCAACACCTCCAGTATACCAACTTGCTCCAATACATTGAGTGACGTAGAAGCTAGGTAGATGTACCTCGGTCTCATTCTTTGCAGGCATTAACCTGAGCTTTCGTGAAGGAATACAAGGAATAGTTCAACAATGCAAAGAACACAGCTTAATCTTTGCCCCATAAATACAGGTAGTTGAACGTTTATCTTTTATTAGTTTATAACTTAATCTTTTTGAGCCAATGATTTTCATTTTCGTTTATTAGATTCATAGAGACCTCATTCGCGTTTCAGCGGCATGTTCCCTTTGAAGCAGACTCAATCCATCTGCGGCTCCCTTTCGAGAGAAGACACAATTACCATGCGTGAGTAAAAAAAAAAAAAAACAAAGACCACCTCCGTATCATTCGCGGTTCGCATCCAAATCTGTCGGCTAGCAAAGAAATCCGCCACTCCTTGTAGTGTCCAGCAAATGACATGATACAACCACCATACACCACCTTAGTGAAACGATATAACATCGACGCTCCCGAAATGTCAATAATACCAGCAGCAGGCTGTCCGCAACACCTGTCCAACTCGCGTCTAGCCGTTGTTGAGCTTTACTAGTTGAAATCAGCAGAGCCCTGGGCCTCCGCATTAGCCTCTGGGTGGGCTTCGTAAAAGTTTAGGTATCTAGTCTGAGCTTTGCGCTGGCTGGCTGCATCAAGCTCTCCGAGTGATGCTCCGTTCTCCTTGGCGCCAGCTGCACTCTTAGACGCGGTCGCAATAGACGCAGGCCTATGACTAAGTGTTAGCTGGAATCCTTCCGTTTCTTGTGAGGTCGCATGGTTGACGGACCCAAACATTTGCCTGTCTACCGCCAGGAATTCCTTCATGGCATCTTTGCCACCACGTTGAACCAGATAGTTCATATAGACCTGAGCCAATTCGCGCTTGACTGGGGCGGGCAGCCGGCTTCTGCTACGGAATTCATCAAAGACATGCTTGATGCGCTCGGCTTGCTGGGTCTCTGCATCCTTATCTGGCGTGGATTGCTCCAGTTCAAACTGGAACCACTTATCCCAGAATATCCTGCTGTCTGCATACCACTGCACGTTCTTGAGGAAAACTGCTCGGGCTTCTTCAGTAGAGTTCTTGCCCTTCCATAGCAGTATTGCCCACTCAGCCACAAGAGCGGCCTTGGTATACAGATCAACAGTTGGAGCATCGATTTGATCCTTGAGAACTTGGATAGCAGCGTCAGTGCCATTCTGGCGACGCTCAAGGTTCGCCCAAGAAATGATCACTTCCACGCAGTCCGGGAGCTTAACGAGAATAGCAGCATGGATATCGAGCGCAATGTCTACGCGGCCACAGCTCTCCTCGAAATAGGCCCACTGCATACGAATTCCCGGTCGGCTAATAGGAACGAAGAGAGTTGATGCCCGGATATAGATATTGCGGACTTCTTCCTCTTTCCCAGGCTGCTCCGCCATCCACCGGGCATACCGGTACCAGAACTCGTCGTAGAAGGCGCAGGTAACGAGACATCGTTCGTATAACGAGACAATTCTGTTGAAGTCGCCTTCAGCTTCTTCAAAGTCTAGGTATTTGCGCCAGTTGTTGAGCTGGCTGTGTTCAAGCTCAGTCACATGGAAATATGGTCGCTTATTTTCCGACTCATATGTCCAGCGCTTTGATACCTCGTTCTGTGTCTGGGTGAATACTTCGTAGTACATGGCGTCAATCTTTCCTCGAATGTCTCTTTCAACCTCCAGCTCTGGTCGTTCGGCACCACCATATGCAGCTGCCTCAGCCGCGACTTCGGCCTGAAATTTGGCCAGTATATCTGCCGACACAACCTCTGTTAGAGGTTGGGTGTGGGACAGGTTTCGAAATCGTTCATAATAGCGGGCATATTGATGCAGAGGGATGCGGATAATTCGAGCATGTATGGCAAAGATTCGATCCTGGGCTTCTTGCCGCTCTTCGTACTCAATGTACTTGTCCCAAAAGGGATGGGCGAGGAAATCTAAACCGGCAAATGTAGCTCCGCGTTCAAAGAGTCTGTATATCCATGTCAGTCGCAAGTTCACAGGGGGCAGGGTTTGGCGAGTATGGGAACAGAGGAGGGTCAGTACACAAAGGGGTGGTGGCCATCTGGGAGTGTAGAAATCGAATTCTAGATCCCAAGTGGAGACAACGGTAGGAGCACGACGCAATGTTATGGGACGAAGAGTACATATCAACAAAGTCTGGGAAAAAGAGTGAGAGAGAGATCCCGGTAGGATAGGGCCGCTGTGGCATATCTCACCATCAGACACGGTCGATAGTGAGCAGCAGAGCTCTTGACAGGTGTACAGCCGAAATCATGGTGCTTAAGCGCGATACTGCATTGGTAGAAGTCGTTATGGGGAAGGAAAAAGTGCCCTGAATACTTACTCTCTGACCAGCGTTGGGTCATGTGTTGTCTCCATTTTGAAAGAGCAGTAGTCGGTCCAGAGGTCGACAGAGTTAGTTATGCTGGCGCAACCTCGTTCATAAACCTATATCCAGTGCCGTTAGCCGGTTGTCACGACACAGCCCTTACAATAAGGGCCTGAAACAAAGAATCTCCAAGCGCACCATTTCAGCTGACTCCGGGCCAGCGATATTAAATTCTAGATCGGCGTATTTCTTCCAGTACCCAAAAAAGAGCGGGAACTTGAGCAGAAATCGATCGTAGGCATCGCGAATGGTGGAGAGCGCCTGAGGGCTCGAATTTCTGTTCAGGCCGCCATCGAGAGCTTCGCAAGCTTTAATAAGGTTCTCCCAGCTCTCAAAGTTGTCCGGATTCGCCTCCTAAGCGCGGATGATTGGGTCAGCAACCAAATGCAACGGGCCAACATCAAATAGTTTGGTGACAATGAGCGATTGGCAGAGGAGGTTGACGTACCGTTTCAGCAACGAATTTGCGAACCGACGCGTACTCCTCTTCGGAGCCGCCGTAATTGTTAAAGTCGCTCATGGAAGAATACTTGAAAGACGCGATTGGGTTTGGGACAAAAGAAACGTATGCGCAAAGGAGGTGCAGCAGCGCGAATAGGAGCTGCAAAAGTGCAAGGTTCAAGGTTATGGTCAAGAGTGGAAGAATGTATGTGAGGCTGGGGGATGTTAGCTCTGATCGGCCTAGCGTCAATTGGATGACTAAGCGTTGAAGATGCATATTTTTATTCGCAAGCGGGTCGCTGCAAATTCGGTTTTTCTCTCCTCTATAAACATGGCCAGTGATGATTCCCAAATTTAAATTATGATAGGAAGAGAATGAACGCTCTCCATTCATGGCGAGCATGATCTCAAAAAGGATCTGAGGTCTAACAGTTATACCACGTCTCTTTTTATTCTCAAAGTCAGATTACTACCTTGTTTGGCAAGACCGTCGATGTGATAAGCATTGCATGGACTTTCTTCATATCTAGACAAACCCGGCAGTTGACAGGTGAATAATTGCTCCTGAAAATGGACCGTGGACAAGAGAACGAACCAAGAGCAAAGAATTGACACCCGTTGTGGCTGTAATCGACACAATGACGTTGATATTTGTACAGGTGTAATGGCTGCTTGAGTAGACGACACGAAGCACGTAGTAAAGAGTACTGCGATTATTTATGATACCACAGCCTTGAACAACACAACAACAGGCTACCGAAAAGAATCTAATGAGTATGATATGTAGACGAGATAATATTCAGTAGATGAAGCACCAAATCCGAGCTACAATCTTCAGCCCAACATGCAAATTCCATGTCACAATTTAAGGGCTAGGAACCAGTCTCTTCGCCTTGTAAATAACTACCTAGCAGCCTATAGTTTAAGAGTAGTTGAACCACATCTTCTTCCCGGCTATAGATCCAATTTCTCCTCTATTTCACCACTTTGCGGCTTGCGCCTGTTGTACGGGGCGTACTCTCTGCTCTCTGGCACGCCTTTTTCTTCTACCAATTGGTGAGATAAGCATGGCCAAATAGACGCTAGCTGCCGCCGATGTCACCAATGACATAGCGCGCTGCTACAACCACAGCACAACTGTCTCTAGCTCTGCAGGAACAGGGCGAAGGAAGCAAAGGAAGAACTCCCACAAAGAACAAGGCGGAGGACAGCTCAAGAGCAAGGCCGTTAATCGCTCCACTCAATTGCAAGGAGACCATGGATCAACAGGGACCTTAGATCCGCTTCCTGCTTGCTTTGTCCCCCCTGCCAGCCGCCCAGCTTCGCATTTGATGCCACGAGTCCATCATCATGGACACTCCGCCGGCCTCGTGGAGCGCGCAAGCTCCCGCGCCAGAAAAGTCGAGCGAGCTCTTCATCCGCGACTATCCGCATCGATCCATCGCCATCGTATCGTCCTCTCACGCCCTCATCCTGCGATATAGTTCGTCGGCGAACGAAGCGTTCGGCAGCGGGTCTCCCGTTTCGCTCCCGTCTAGCAAGCCGCGCGGCGGAAACGATTCCACGGCGGCCAAGTGCATGGTGGAATTCTCTCCTATAACCAAGAAGCTGCTGAAGGATTATCGGCCGTTGACGCCGCGGCCGGTGTATGGCACCTTGGGTTTGATTTCAATCAACGGGGAAGTGTTTCTCTCCGTCATCACCCAGGCCGTGAGAGCTGCGACGGTCCGGCCTGGCGAAACTGTGGAAAGGATCGCGAGTGTGGATTTTTACTGCCTGAGCAGCGCCAACTACGATGATGTCGTGCCGCTCGAGTTGCTGGATGGAGATTCCTCCGACGTTTTTGGGGGCAATTCGTCATCGCCTTACGGCCAAGGACTTGGCCGAAGAGACGTGGCCATCGAACATCCGTGTCACGATCTGCGCAGACTGCTCAGCAATGGCTCCTTCTACTACAGTACAGATTTCGATCTTACCAACAGGGCACAAGACCGGTATGGTTTACTACGAAATGCGGTTTCTAGTGAAGATATGCTGACTCCTACCTGAAAGGCCTCTCAACTCGAACTCTTTTGAGATAGACAACTTTGACGATACATATCTGTGGAATTCGTTTATGATCAGCCCATTGGTCCAATTTCGTTCTCGACTGATGCCCCCCGAGCGCGAAGCACTGGATGCGTCACGAATTCTCACCTCTGCAATTCGCGGGTTTTGTAAGACAATGACCATCCCGCAGAGTGCTTCGCCATTAAAGGCATCCCGAAGCGGCAGGCCATCCTTTTTAACGCTCATTTCACGGCTTTCTTGTCGGCGGGCAGGCACTCGTTTCAACGCCAGAGGCATGGATGATAATGGTAATGTGGCAAACTTTGTTGAAACAGAGACGACGTTTTGGTCTCCCGCAGGAGTTCTCTTTTCTTATGCCCAGATTCGAGGATCAGTCCCGGTCTTTTGGGAACAGGCGGCGGATCTCTTACCTGGCCGCCAAAAAATTACCATTACACGGCCTCCAGATGCAACGCAGCCAACGTTCAACAAGCACTTTGAGGATCTCGAGCAATCTTACGGCGCTGTTCATGTTATTAATCTTTTGAGTGCTACTAAGCCGGGTGAAGTCGAGCTGGCCACGATGTACCGGGAGTGCATCAGACGCTCCCCGTTGAGCCGACCTGCGCAACAGCAGTCAGAGGATCATGCATTGCTACGAGAAACACATTACGATTTCCATGCCGAAACAAAAGGCCCAGCTGGATACGAAGCTGCTCGCGGGATCCGCCGATATATTGAGGGCTCATCTGACGCCTTCGCGTACTACCTAGCAGAACATGATCGAACTGATGATCGCATGGTTGTAGTGCTCCAACAAGAAGGTGTCTTTCGCACCAATTGCTTGGATTGTCTCGATCGTACGAATTTGATCCAGACCTTGATATCCCAGATGGCTGTCGAGGCATTTTTAGATCATCGAAACGAATACGCAGCCTCCGACTTCTGGATGAGACATTCTAGTCTTTGGGCCGATAATGGTGATGCTCTCTCCAAGACTTACGCCGGAACTGGCGCTTTAAAGACGTCCTTCACAAGGCATGGGAAGATGTCACTAGCTGGAGCGGTGGCAGATATGCGAAAATCTGTTCAGCGTATCTATCACAACAATTTCATTGACCCTTCTCGGCAGATCACAATTGATATGCTGCTGGGTCTTTTGGTTGGACAAGCCCCTGTGCACTTGTTTGATCCCATCAGTGATTATGTTTCAATAGAGCTGGCTAGGCGAAGCGAAGAGTTTACGTCGTTCAAGAATATCAGTATATGGGTCGGCACATTCAATTTGAATGGACGCACCGAAGGTATCGACCATGACCTATCACCATGGTTATTCCCGCCCTCGCTCGGGTCATCACAACCGGAGATATTTGTTGTCGCCTTTCAGGAGATAGTTGAGCTAAGCCCACAGCAAATCATGAATAGCGATCCGAGTAGAAAAGGTCTGTGGGAGAATGCGGTGAAAGAGACACTAAACCGGCGACAAGCTAGCCTGGGAGGAAAGAAATACGTGCTACTGCGTAGTGGGCAGCTCGTAGGAGCAGCTCTGTGCATTTTCGTAAAGTCATCGTCTCTTGATCACATTAAGAATGTCGAGGGAAGTGTCAAGAAAACTGGATTGTCTGGGATGGCTGGAAACAAGGGAGCGGTTGCTATTCGTTTTGATTACGCAAACACTCATATATGCTTTGTCACAGCACACTTAGCAGCAGGGTTTGCTAACTACGATGAACGGAATCGAGATTACGCAACGATTCACGACGGCCTGCGGTTTCAGAGGAATCGAGGAATCGAAGATCACGGTATGTTCACTCCTCAGCTGTCTCATCACTGCAAAAAAACGTAAAGTCGCATTGGCGAAAGGTGGGCTAATAGGGATATAAACAGATGCGATCATTTGGCTGGGCGATTTCAACTATCGAATTGGTCTCGGCTCAGAAGCCGTACGCGGTTTGGTGAAGAAGCGAGACTTTGAAACCATGTACAGCAATGACCAGCTAAATTTACAAATGGTAGCTGGACTTGCGTTTCAGTTCTATTCTGAAGCCCGCATCAACTTCATGCCCACATACCGATTTGACATTGGAACAGACATATACGATACTTCGTGAGTAGCATCTCACCCTATATGGAGTTGCGGACATGCTAACACCTGGCAGTGAAAAGGCAAGAATACCAGCTTGGACAGACAGAGTACTGAGAAAGGGGGCCATTCTCCGCCAAACGGCATACGACTCGGCACCAACATTGATGTTTTCGGATCACCGACCTGTTTATGCCACATTTGATTGCCGGGTCAGCCTCATCGATGAGGTGCACCGAAACGCAATTAGCCAAGAATTATACGACCGGCGGAAGGCGGAAGTTGGAGACTCGGCCGCACATGCCGATGGCGAAGACACTGAAGATGAAGATTTAATTGGATACGACGCAATCGAGCCTGGCCTACCCCCCGCGAGCTCAGACCGGCAAAAATGGTGGCTCGACAACCGACAGCCGGCTCGTGCTCAGATTCCCATACCCAATGGGCGAGACGGCCAACCAATGGCTTTGAACCCACACCGCCCTTCAAATCCTTTTGGCCATGGCGAAGAGCTGGACTGGATATCCGTTTCCAGGTCCTCGCCCGGGGCGTCTCTTTCGAGTATATCCAGCTCGCCGTACGAGAAGCTTACACCTCCCAGGGGCATGAATTCAGCTGGACCTAGGAAGCTGCCTCCACAATACGACCCGGCCACTCTCCCTGCTCAGGTGGGACGGATGAAGATTGGGGACGGTGATGGCGCGCGGAGTGCTCACGGAGACAGATCTAGCGCGGCTCCGCCTCCGCCGCCACCCCGTCGTTCAGCAACGACCGTTGATATGGGCGGCTCGAGCGCAGGGCTAGGCAGGTCTGCCAGTACGGTGGGGATTGTTGGAGGAGCTGATGCTCCTGGCAAGATAGGAGGAACGCAACCACTATGGACATCATCATCTCGGCCCACATCAGCGGCCTCTCACACATCACAGCTATCGCAGCAGCTCAAGGCTGGGAGGCCCGCCCCCCCTGTGGCCAAGAAGCCCGCACACCTGTTGTCGACCTCACCAGCCTCGACATCGTCGCTACCCTCGATGTTGGCATCAGGGAGCGGGCTCAATACTGCTAAATATAGCGACGGAGACTTTCAACCGCCGCTGCCGGCTCGTGCTTCAACGACGGGCTTGAGACAAGATAATTCACAGTGGCAGACGCCACCCGTCGGTGGTTCAGTTACTGGGAGGAAGCCCGTTGCCCCTCCCAAACCGTTTATAAACATGAACATGAAGGCAAGCGCAAATACAAACACAAATACGAATACAACGGCAACCAGAGGGCCCCCCATGTTGCCACAGCGATCAAGGCAGGTGAACCAGGGCCCTGTAGATCTACTGGAGGGTGGAGAGGAAGAGATGGGAGGCTGGGAGACATTGCAACCGAGTGCGGCTTAGAAGAAGGGAAGAAGAGCACGGGCTTAGGCAAAAGTGCCATCACGATAGCTACCGTTTTTATTTAAAAGAATAAAAAATAAATGATATATGAATATGACTCTGGGGTATGAAGCTTACCCAGGCCTAATCAAGCTTGATTTTTGACTGTGAAAGATATGCGCGCTTACTGAAGGAATATCACCATCACACGGCTCGAGCTTCCTGTAAGCCAGCGAGCCTGCAAATGGATACGAAGTAGGTTAGTAGCGCCAGGCACATGTACGAGTATATTATCCCTGCTCTGGAAATAGACGAGGGCCAATTAGCGCCTTGGTGTCATTTCCATCCCCTGGCGAATCAGAGCCTGCTGTGCGAGTACTCCTGGTATACTGGAGGTACTTGCTTTTATTCACCTCACTCTTATGGATGTTCGGCTCGCCAAAGGCGGCCTGCGTCTTGTGTCACTCTCTAGTATTTTTTTATCTGGTGCACCAGAAGACGTTGCCGCGTTATGCAGCGCAAAAGAAAAAGGGTTTGTCCTTACTTCGTTCTGCGCAAAATGGCACTTCATCACACCACCAGATTGGATGATTTTGCAACGGCCTTCCCACACACACTCAACGCATGGAAGAACTGGTTCTGGACGCTAATGCGGGGAAAATCCAAAGCGAGTGCGTTCTGGGGAGGGGGGGACGATCCATACTGTACATGTTGATAGATTTTATTGCCGAAATTTTAAATGAATGAATCGCCAAGCCAAACCGAAAAAAGCCCGTCAGAACGGAGCACCCTTTTCTAGCGCAAATCGCGGCCGATCGAGAAGGAACTTGGGGTTCTCCGTACAGTCCGTACAGTATGTGTTTGCTTCGTCGATGGTTACGCCACCTTTGCTCGCTGGTTCTCTCTCTCTCTCTCTCTCTCTCTCTCTCTCTCTCTCTCTCTCTCTCTCTCTCTCTCTCAAGTTTCTTTTTTTATTTGTTTGTTTTTTTGTCCATGTGCATCACGGGTAGCGAAAACAAAGGTCTTCAAAGTAAGGGGCGGGCAGTGGCCATGTGCTGGCTGAATAGCTGACAGTGGGTTCAATGGTTTCCCGGCTTGTGACCAAATGAGATATGTCTAGTGAGGTACCTACCTAGTAGTCTTAGTACTTGGTAGCATTCAAGAAGATAAGGGAAGAGGGGACAGAGAGACGAACTGTGTCTCTTTCTGGTCATGAGTGCTAGGTTGTATTTGGAGTAGTATTTGGAAGATGTATCTCGTATCTGGACTGGAGCAAGAGATGACGATGTCCCGTCATTGCCCGTCGTTTCAGCCCTGTATATACAAGCATCTATGTAGTATTTGTCTTTTGCAGAGATGCGGCTCAGACGGCTCCTATACATCAAATAACACGGGCTCGTCGCGTCGTCGGCTCTCTATGTAATACCGGAACAGTGACTGCAGTTTGTTCAGCGTCATGGCGGTGGCCCCTCGGCTCTAAGAGCGCTTCGCGATTCAGTCAACTTCGTTCCATTGATTCGTTGCAGCAAGCCTCGCCAGACTAGCAGCCGTGCTAGAATGCCTCGGGCTTCTCCATTCGGCATGAAATAACCGACTATCTACAAACATTCGAACTATCGTGTAAGTGGCAGCGCCACCGCGTAGTCTCACTACTAGTGGTACGTGTATCTAGCCGCTGATTCATATTTCTCCGCCGAGACATTGGATGGTTGATCTGCCACGATGATGCCTGCCACGATGCGGCGTGGCCTGGCGGGAAAAGAGAAAAAAAAGAAGAAGAAAAACAAGGGCGTTCAATCCCAATCCCAATTCCACTTGGCTGATCATTCTCACAGTCGCACTGGCATTGCACTGCCGAGCCCCATACCGGGCACCTGCAACATTGAAAGCCGCAGCAGCTTCGAGATGCCGCTTCCAGTGCCACTCGACCTGTTTGGCCTGCAAATTTCCGTTCTGCAACCCCCGCGGAGCTACCAGCTACAGCCCGCTGGACGCTGCCGTCTGGTGACATGTGCACGCTACGGTATGGGCGACTTTGCCACGGCCAGTTGCATGTCACAGCGCCCCTCCCCCGACAGAAGCCCGCTATTTTGCCAGCGCCCACAGCGCCTGACTGGCCGCTCACATGCCCCCCTGGTGCTGGTGCGCGCAAGCGATCAATTGATCTGCCCCCCGAGAGAAGCCCGCCAGCCGCTAATGGAGCCCCTGCGCTGCGTCTCCCCACTCGCCGGCCGGCGTCTTCCCTGACTTGGTCACTGACGCTGTGCGTGTCGCCTCTTGCTTCTCCCTCGTCGCGCACTTCATTGGCGACGGGTCGTCTGGTTTGCGCTCATTTATAGCACATGCTAATATTCCCTCCGTCCGCATCTCGTGTTTCTGTTTTCCTCCTTGCCTTGCTCCTGGCAAAACCACCCGCTGCACAGCAAACAATCGCACACTCGCACGCCCGCAGCTTTCTCTGCTCAGCTCAGCTCTTCTTCGCTCTCACTCTGCTCTGCTCTGCCGCTCGCCTATGCTTCTCGGTGGAGCCCCATGAAAATCCCAGAGGGGCGCTTCTACTCGTATTAGTAGCGCAAGGGCTTTCCGAACCGCCAATTCGCGCAGCCAACCCGTGCCGTGCATGCTGAAGGTGGCGCTACGAGATTTCCTCTGCAGCGCCTTTATTTATACGCCGTTTCGGCCTCCACTCGCCCAGACGCAGAAGCGAGATCAACCCGCGCCTGCGGCCGCTGTTGCTTGCATTTGATTTGCATTAGGGGGGACGACAACGAGAGGAAGAGAAGGAACGCAATCGAATTTTAATAAAAGAAAGGGAAACAGAAAAAAAAAGAAGAATCTAAAAAAAGAGCAACCCGAGATTCGGAGCGTTCCGAGAACGACGTCGACAACCTTTTTGGTGCTATATCCCGCCCTATTTAATTACATCTTTATTTGCCCCGTCGAGACCTCGAACCCTTATTTCATTTCCCGCGCCTTGGCGACGTCACCTGGAATTGGAACGCCATCGAGAGATTACCTGGTGGGGGACAGTCTTTCGGATCCTCTTTTGCATGGGTCGCATGAACAACTGCCATAAAGGGAAACGACAACGACTCTTTTGTTAGAGGATATTACGCGCGCCGTTGGTGTCAATCTTCGCAAAGAGGCTTTAATCCCCCCAGCTTGTCAAATCGCCCCGACTAGCCAAAGTAAGAATCTGTTTTGGCATTTTGGTCGCGAGAAGCTCGACGATACTACGGAAGAAGGACGTCTGATATCAGCTTAAAGCCAATTGCATCGACCAATTCACGGCGTACCATCTTGTCGCTAATCCTGTCGCCGACGATTTCTTCAAAAGCCTCACCAATACACTTGGAATAATAATACTACCGACAACCAATAAGCAACGGCTGCAAAAAAGAGCATCTCAAAAGTCGCTGGACCGACACCGCTCGCAAAAATGGCAACAATGGACAATTTATTCGCAATAATGGATGAGTTATCACCCACTCCATGCCAAGTCATGTCCGCCGCCAAGCAGAATCGCATCATGGTCTGGCGCGACGAGGTCGCATCCGCATCAGCTTCATATACCACCGCCAGCAACTACTCCGCCCCTTCGCTCGTCACAACAACCACTGCGTCGTCGACATCTCTATCGCCCTCTGAACTTGCCACCATGTCAAAGAGCTCACGGCTGTGGCACAAGGTCAAGGCGCAATTCACCGGCAAAGCTCGCCGCCGCAGCAGCGTGGCCAATGCCGACGTACCGGACTTCATGATGCCGCCCCGGAAAGGCGATGTCACGCGAACAGCCATGTACGAGAACTTACGATCAGAAGATTACAAATCTCCAGACGAAGAGGTTGTGCCGGGCCAAGACAGCAGCAATGGCCGAGGACGGGGTCTGTTCCAAAGGCAGAGAAGGATGATACGGGCGTCGAAGCTTTTGGTGAATACCATTAGCTGATTGACAGCAAAAGTCCGCAACAAAGTTCTTTTTTAGCTACATATACAGTTGTTTCGAAAAAGCACAACAGCAGCACGAGCGCAGCCTCCAATTGACGAAGACGACGACTACAAGACGATTCTCATCACCGTTCCTATCCGAATCCTGTCAAGATGGCGGGGGGAAAGGGCTTAGGGGGGTGGGGGGGACACATAATAAATATCACGTTTTGGCGCATGTTTACTAGGTAATTACATTGGGAAGGGGGGAAACCGGACAGCGATTTACTATACTTATACCACAACCGCAGGGCTTTTTTTAACTGCCCTCTTTTCTTTTGTATCTGACCTTTTTTTGTACGTTTTACGGAGGGTCTTTGCCTCTAGAGACTGTCATGTCCTTTTTTTTTTCTTCCAAGATTCCCATAAGTAGGTAGGCAGAAATGGAAAAATAAGCTTGACTTGCTATCAAATTGTGGTGTTCTCTTTTTCTATCTAGGTATGTATACATGCTGTTATTTGCAGGGTATCTTAGTAGTCTGTTGTTTAGGAGGGAGAGGGGGGTTTCTTTCTAGTTGATACACAGGCGCCTTATTACCTCTGTCAAGAGAAAGAAGGGAAGAAACAAAAATAGCCGATAAGACAAATACAAATATCCCCCAATTAGCAGTAAGGAAACCGGTACATCGGCGTTATCTAGAGCAAGCCCATAAAAGATCTGGTAGTAACTGGGTAGCAGCAACTCTAAATCTCGCCTCTATCAGCTCAAGGTGGGGTGATTTTTTTTTTTTTGTGCGTGTGTAGCTTTGCGCCTCAAGTTGCGGGCTTTTTTTATGCACGTATCTTCACTGCGAGAGCACGTTGCTTTACATTGCGACGGTTGTGGTTTATTCAACTGGCATAGGGGAAGTACATCTTGGTGTTGCGTAAAAGGGGCTGTATGGAGGGAGAGTGGCACATGTATTAGGAATCTCTAGGTACAATGTATAGCTATACCAAAGAAGCTTGATTGCCGAGGCATGAAGCTGAGCAAGCTGAGCAAAGATAGCTAGGACCACAGCCATGCTTGAGGAAGAGGCGTCCCTATTAAAGCAAAAGTAACATATGACTTCACGACTGAAAGAAAGAAAAAACTGTAGACACACAGTTTAGTACTTTGGATTGGAATTTCTTTTTTTGCCATTTTTTCAAGGGGTTGCTGCTGTAAAAAATGTTGGGTGGAAAGGGAAATGCACAAGTTTTCCCTTTCTTTTCTCCTCTTCTCTGCGGGGCACACAACGAGAATAAACCACTGTGACGCGAGGAGGGGGGAGAGGGGAAAAAAAGACAACAGGCAAATTGCAAGAAAACAACGACATTATTTTGGGGGACAACATTTTCCATAAACGATCCGCCAAAAAAACGGGACCAGATGTAAACTAGGTAGGTGGTAACGTCAAAAAGCAGAACAGGGGAACAAATACCAGGCACTTGGGTAGAGGGGGGTTGGGAGAAGAGGCAGCAAAAGTGTCCATCATTCAGCAGCGAACAACAAAAGAGTCCATCGCCAGTTCGCAAACGGGCGAAAAAACAACGGACAAGTACCCTTGCGCCACTCATCTCTCCCATCCCTAAACCGAAAAAAAAACCGAAGTTCCATGACCCATCTCCCCATTAACCAGACAAGCAACGCACTGGGAACCAGCGCGGGCACCGGCTAAGCCAGCCTCCAACACGATTTCCATCTATCGCCATGTTCAGAGGTGGGCGAGAGTGTTCAGATAACTAAAACAAGATAAAGAAAAGACCTCTCGGTTCTTTGCCGAGTTTGCATGCAGACGAGGTAAGAAGGATTTAGGAAGCAGCCTCGGGCGCAGGCTCCTCAGCAGGCTTGGGTTCTTCCTCGGCAGGCTTGGCAGCCTCTCCCTCCTCCTTCTTGGCCTCGCCGGCTTCGGCATCACCGCTGTCGGACGAAGTCCACAGGGTCAGGTTGTCACGCAGGAGCTGCATGATCAGAGTGCTATCGCGGTAGGACTCCTCGGAGAGGGAGTCGAGCTCGGCGATGGCATCATCGAAGGCCTGCTTGGCAAGGTGGCAAGCACGGTCGGGAGAGTTGAGGATCTCGTAGTAGAACACGGAGAAGTTCAGGGCAAGACCCAGGCGGATGGGGTGAGTGGGAGTCAACTCGGTCTGAGCAACGTCGGTAGCGTTCTGTGCGGCATGGTCAGTTTCCCCCGCGTGGTGAAATTTGTCTCTGCACGCGGCGTCGACGAGTGCGTATATGAGCATACCTTGTAGGCCTCGTGAGCAGCGGTGGCAGCGGTCTTGCGCTTCTCGCCAGAGGCGAACTCGGCGAGGTAACGGTGGTAGTCACCCTTCCTAGAAGAGCGATTTGCATTAGCTCCTGAAAATTTCGAAATGTGCGCGCTGAAACGTGGGGTGAAAAGTTTTCGAAACCCGGATGTTAAGAGAGCGGCGGGGGAAATCAACGTACATCTTGTGGTAGAAAACCTTGGACTCGCCAGTGGCGGCGTTGGGGATGAGGCTCTTGTCCAGGACATCGAGAACATCCTCGCAGACCTTCTCGAGCTCGAGCTCGATCTTGCTGCGGTACTCCTTGATGGTGGAGACGTGCTTGTCAGAGCCCTTGGACTCCTCCTTCTGCTCAATGGAGGAGATGATGCGCCACGAGGCCCGGCGAGTGCCGACAACGTTCTTGTAGGCAACGCTGAGGAGGTTGCGCTCGTCAACGGTGAGCTCACCGCCCAGCTGGGCGACCTCCTTCATGTAGGTAACCATCTCATCGTAACGCTCGGCCTGCTCGCAGAGGCGGGCCAGGAAGGTCTTGCTGTTGTTTTGAGAATCTCGGTCAGACCATTTCGTTCGACCAGAAAAAAAAGGGGAGGGGGGGACATGTTTGGATTCTCGTCGTGAGAAGTTAGTGGGGTCACGGGGCCAGGCGGTTGGACAAACCTTTCACGCTATAGACAAAACGTTAGCATTGCGAGCAAAATGCAGTTTGAAGCAAAGAAAGCGAAGTGAGAGTGAAGGCAAAGACATTTTGTCCGCCAAGGTGTTTCCGGGCGCCCTCGCGCGAGTCCGAAGCCGCGCAGATCGTGGCGAAGAACTCGGCGGGCTGAGGGGTTGCGAGAACGAGGGGGCTCGAGAGGAGAAGGCGGAAAGCGGCGGTCGCAGCAGTGACAGCAGCAGCTTCTGGGGGGGAGGTTGAGCTCACGTACCTCGGTGGCCATTTTGACTGTGTGTCTGTGATTTGAAGACGACGAAGAGACGAAGCGGTCGGAATGTGCGGAGTCGTTGCAGAAAAAGGATGATGCGGGTGTCTGAGGTGGGATGCGGTTGAGGATGGGGCGAGAAGAGTGTTTATATTTTGATTGTGGATTGAGATTGAATTGGCTTTGGGGTTTGGGGGTTCTCGGGGCGGAGGCCAGTGCCCGCCGCTGCCAGCACAGGTGATGCGAGCGCCAGCTTGCAGTGGAGTTGCTGGCTCTTGGGGGCCTGCTAAGCCTAGCCAGCCGCCTGGCGCACCCCGCCCCTAGGCTCTGGTGGCCGAGCACAGCGCACTAGAGGTGCCTGTAATCTCTGGCCGCAGCGCCTATCTGGCAGTCGAGACTTGGCGGGTACCTGGAAATGAAGCCGGCTGACCATAATCCACAATGTACATGTGGTGTACCCGTGATGAACGGCATTATTGTGCTTGTCTCTCTAACTGATCTGGAGCCGGAAGGGGGGCCGCTCTTCACTTGAAGCTCACTCCCACTTGAGCAGTGCTGTACCTGCTACACATCCGCAAGTACCAGCACGGAGCTCTGTACATGGAGGCTGGCGCCTTGACGCTGAGGCGCCCTCTTAATCTACCTGTGGCTTCTAGTACCCGGAAGGAGGCTGCCCAGGTACTGCGTACTTGCATCTCTTGACTGGATAGCATGACCATCCATCCTGAATGCCTCCGATACACAACATCGTAAAGGGGGGGGGCTTCGGCCGTTTCTTCATTTTTTCATCCTCTCACTTTGGTTTTGCTTCCTCCACCTCAGCCGCATTTCTTATGCACTTGGTCTCACTACTTGTGGTGGGCATAGCAGGCAAGGCGCCCTTAGTACCTGATGCCATTGAAGGTAGCATTCAGGCATTAAGCGCCAAAGCTGCTTCTGCAAACGCTGTCTTGGAAACCACTGATATTAATCAAGCAGAGAAATTGGCCCCATGCACCAGAAGTACCCTTGGAGCTATCACAGCCCTATTTTACTCTCTTGTATCCCTTGCTCGCTGCGGGGCCTCTTCTTTTGGATGGAAAGAAAAAAAAAGGGTTACCGAGTGATCAGAGTCCCGCTTTTGCCATGAGACACTCAATCAACGGGTGCCCTCGCGCATCGCCTCTTGTACCGGCAGCCCTACCACCTTGATTTGCTGCCCGTTGTGCTCGGCGCTAAGCTGGCCGCGTCTTTTATCGCTCTCTGCTGGGCGTTCACAACACAAGCATCTGTCACCCGCCATCATCCAACCAGCGTTTGTCTCCTAGGCTGCGCGGAAAGGCGTCATAACGCGGCCCGGAGGGGGGCTGCAATTTGGCTTATTAGAATTCTGCCAGCCTGTCGGTCGGTCAGCGATCGTTCCATCTATGCCCCACTCCGATAACAGGCACTGGCGCGCTCTCGAGGGGAAATAAGTTCATATTCTGTACTTGTACGGGTACACAAAGAGTGAATACCAGCGCACTCGGCGTATTCCGCACCGGTACATTGAATTACGAGCATCTCTCGTTTTTTCCCTTGAGGACTGGAGATGGAGACCCAGGAATCCATCCCGTCTGGGGCTGCAGTGCTAGCAACAGGCAGAGTGGTCCGTCCCAGCAGATCCCGTTGTTGACTAGCTGTCTAAGCAGACGGCGACTATGACTTAGTGCATATTGCCTGCTCCATTCCCTAGAACCACACGGAGGCTTCGACCATCTTCCCCGTCGATGGCAGCGCAAGCTGGCGATGAAGACTCCAAGAGCTCATGCTCTGGAAGTGCTACTAGAAGCCTCTTTCGGCACACCCTGGCCGAGGCATGTGCTCCCTCCTGTTCTTGCTCCAGCCAGTCCCCCGCCGGCCACGTCGGTCCAACATTTGTCTCTGATGCGTTCTGCTGGCCTTCACCTCCTACGGTACAACGGGAGGATCGTGACGCTGGCCTCGAGTACTCAGGACATACAATAGACAAATCTTGGGCATTGCCGCTCTTGGTGCTACATGCTTCAACCCTGTGTTATTGCTGCTGTTGCTCCATCCTGCTCATAATGGGGGCGTGTCGATGAGGCTCCAACGGATAAGGAGAATATATATTAGTACTCAAGGCCTGGCGAGTCCATTAAAACTAGTGGCCCCTTTCCCAGAGCACGGGAATGCATGCATGGCCTCCTCCGTATCTCGCTTGACGCCGTGCCCTTTTGACTACTCCCCAATTTCCAGATTGTCTGCGCAGGCGTTCAGGGATGAGACCCGAGACCATCGTGGTGTTTTGTTGTTCACATGATGCTACAGCCCGCACCCCCCCTGGCGCTGCCTTTTATGCTTTCCGTTCATGCCAGTTGCCATGGGCATGGGAGAGGCTGGCAGAGGCTGGCAAATAAACGCGAGCTGTGGCTGTGGTCAGCTCCCATCCGTGACTCACTGCCCCCTATTTCCCCTCCTCTCTTATCGCCATCGCGTGGCACAGAGGACATGCTCAGATGTATCATGGATGTCTATATAGACCAATAGCATGGCGGCTTGCCACCTGCTAGACAATAATATCCCGCTGGGCTAATCCAATGGGAGGACAAGCAGCCCAGCCTGGCTCTTCTCACATGAAAGAAGAGCCTGCGTAGCCCTATTCCGTCACCGGGTCTCTTCTCAAGTCGTCGTCGTTTTGGGTGCCAGCAATCAATTACCAGTAGAACGCGCCACAAAATACCCCTCCCGTCTCACACACTTTTTTCCGCCCCCCACTAAATAGTATTTATTACTCTTCATCCAATGCTGGCGCTACGCGATCCGATCATACTCTGGAAAAGATCCCGGTTTCGAGAAGAGCCCAGCGCTTTGAAATTGAGGGTTTGGCACGTTGCGGATGCTACTTTGTGTAGTGTTAGTCTAATAGGGACGCACTGCCTTGCGCGTGCTGGCTCATTACAGAATCCTTTCTCTCATGTCACATGGTGACTGTCATTTCACTGGTACCCCCCCACTAAATGACGATCAACGCGGAGGCCCGGATGATGGATATAACAGCTGTAATTGCCGGTATTGCCATATTAGTGAGAGATGGTACACACAACACCTACTTAAGTAGTACATAGTATTTTATCCACGCAGTATATGTGCCAGCAGAGCGTATCCTCTATCAATACGCTACTTATTCTTAGCGTAGGGCTCATCCACAATATGATTGATAGCATGTGGCTACTAAGATATTTAGTCCAGCGAAACAGATAATGTAATAATGGTTTTCTTTATGATATTAAACTATGCGGCCGTTTACAATGACTACTTGCTCGTCGTTTCACAGTGTTTATGCTCGCTCTTCCGATGTTCATCACCTTTACCCAAAATGATACGCGTCCTATATAGATACAGAGGTATCCAACCTGCCCTTCTCAGTGTAAGTCTACTTCTCAGATAAGTTGGTTTGCTACCTACTCGTCAAACCCACCATGCATCGCTGCAATGTAGTATTTCCTGCTTTCTTCTCTCTCTTTTTTTTTCTTTCTTTCCCACAACGGTTATAGATATTCATCGTGAGGCTCATACGAATGCCGACCCCAGTTTGTAGGATCGCCACCGGGAACGCATAAGCCGAGCCTCCAGAAATAATCCCGATGAGCAAAAAACAGCTGCCATAGCTTAAATCGCGCTGGGAAGCTCATCCGCTCTGTGTAAGCCTGCAAAGAGGTAGTCGTCCAGCGGAAATGGAGAAGGCGATGCAGCAGACTCTTCATCGTGCTGTCATCTTTGGCACTGCAGTTGGGGTCTTCATCGCCAATGCAGAGATGCACGTCCGTTTCCGAGGGCGATAGAGAGGACTTGGAAATGAAGATCTCGCCGCTGTGCGACTTGTAGCCGAATTCGCTCGGCGGTAGCAAGGGCACAGGGTCGTCGACGTGAGTGACTCGTCGATAGCTTCGCTTCTCAAGGTCAGTTGTTCCATTGAGGTCAAATACGTCGTTCACGAAGCGGGCGAATTGGGCATTGCCGGTTCGAGGCTCTCCAAAGGTGGTAACGGTTACGTCGTCCCAGCCCAGCGATACCTTCAGCTCTAGGGCTGCAAGACAGGCCACGGCTCCTCCAAGGCTATGGCCTACTAGCTGAATAGGGCGAGACGGATATTTGTCTCGAAGGGCCTTTAGTTCCGGCAGAACAGCTTCCCGAGCGCTCCTCCAAGACTCAAGGAACCCCATGTGTACGGTACAGTTTGTGCATTTGTGGCTGGGCTTTTCTGGGGACTCTCCTCCATCATCTGGGGATGGGTAAGGCACGTATTTTTGCGGGATAGTGCCGAGATCAACAATGGTATTGGTGATGCTGTAAGTCCCGCGGAACGCAACGACTATGGCGCCCTGCCTCTCATTCGCTGCATCGTTTCGATTTGCTTCGAGAAGCTGCCGTTCCGAACCATTGTCGATGGCGATGAATCCGCAATTGTCACTAAAGAGGATGCCTGTGCTCCAAGTGGTAGCCAGCGTCAACTCTGGGAACTCGTCGCATCGGGAGAGACACTGGAAGGGCTTGCGAATGCCTGAAGTACCCAGGCAATACGACACGTCAACCAGCCTAGCCAGTCGTTCGAGAGACGCGAATAACGGTGCGGAAATGGTCAAAGGGGATGTTAGCTCCTCCTTGATACCCAACGGTTCCTGCTGGTTGATATATGCGGCCTTAATGAGGTAAGCGACGGCGAGTTGTAAGAGCAACAATAGCTTGAAGCGGCCCGGTAATGCCCCCTCCATTGTGAAGATCAGTCGGTCGATGGCCAGCGCATGGAGAAGTAAGATTAAACGGCTGGTAAGATTGCTAGATGCTGTCCCGAACAGCGCTTGATCTCGGTTTGGAAACCGGCAGTGATGTTTCGATGTAAGCCCGACGCAAGGGAGAAGGGCAACTGGCGGCAACGAGAGCAAGCGCGTCACTTTTAGCGAGAAAGCAATGCACAGGCTGCGCAATTGGTATATTGCATGATGGTCAAGATCAACTGATTTGTTGTCCTTGTGAGAGGAGCAAAAAAATCAGCGACTCTGCCAGCGAGGCATGACCGCGCTTTGTCTCATGAGTAGTGGCAAGCTGCCAAGACCAGCGAGAGATCACGAGGTGTATGTACAATTTTGGTGGGGCCACGCCAGAGCAGCTCCTAGTGCTGGGGAAAATCTGGGGCGCCGGAACGAGCTCAGGGCTGCATTCGGCATCGCTGCAGCAGCTGAAGCGCTGGAAAGCCTCCATAAGCAGCCGCTAAATGCCGGTGCCTGGTGCCATTCAGCAATAGCTCCTACCGCTGACTCGGGCCATCGGGACTATTTGCAGCCATGGCCAAATGCACGATGGAAAGCTTTTTAACGATTGTTGCTCCCATTGTGAATGATGCGATGAGATTGGAGTTAATGAAATTACATTCTAATAGTAATGCTAGGGTGAGGAAGATTTATTCATTCTCGCATTACAGTCTTAGTTTTCTTCTTTCTTTTCTTTGGCACCTCCAAAGCTGCTGGAAAATCTTTGCTGTGCCTTGTCTATTTGTTGTATCCTCTTTTTTTTTTCCAGATCTATTGAAAATGAAGCCAAACGCCAGAGCATACCAGATCAGGCATAGTCGTCTACCAATAATCAATAATGCCTTCTTCGCAACCCTTTAGCTCACCCAATACTTGACGCGCAGAGTGGGATCTTGGACGGGATCCAGCGCAGTGTATTGTACATCGAGATCGGTCGAGTTGGTGCTGCAGCTTCCCGACCCGGTACAAGACAGAGCGATGACTGCTGAGCCGGACACTTCGTACGAATCAATGCTGTAAAATACGAGTGTTAGCGCTCCATATCCTTGAATTTATTTACTTCAACATTAAAGATAGCATCGAATGTAGGACGCACCCCTTTGCGTTTGGGCAGATCCTCTCGACCACGGTCAATTGCCTGTGGGCATTGTCCCAGATGAATTTGACGTCCCCATCAGCACATGCGTATCGTGGTGTCAGGCCTGTAGGCGTGGTGGAAACGGAGCTCGAGTTGAAGGAGCAGCGCGTGGTGACGCTCGTGGTTTTGTCCACAAAGGTGAAGTTGTATGCACTTAGAGTGGCAGCTGGGCCGGTCTCATTCGTCTTGGCCACGAAGTTCTGGATGTGGAAATCGGCAGGGAAATTGCAAGAGCTGTCGGACTGTGACTGGGCTAGGAGCTCGGCGGGAGGATGGTAGGCGAGGATAGACATGGTGGCCATGGCGAATGGCAGGGCAGCCAGGAAAGAGACGGCTTCGTAACGCATGCTGGGTGTTCTTTATCTCGTGCCCGCTTTATCTTCGTATCCTGCAAATGCAAAAGGAAAATAGGGATGAGTAAAAAAAGGTGAAGTGTACGACTACGGTCTTTTTGTAGACAGAATGAAAAGGGATGGAGAGGAGGAGAAGCTACGGCAGTGGAAACCGTCAATGCAACGTTGGTGTTTGTTTGCATATACTGTACCGGCACCAGTCCCCGAGGCATGACGTGGATAGCAGTGCTCCATTTTGCCCCTGGGCCAACGGGGCCAAAAGACAAAGGCAACGGAGGAAAATAGCAAAGATGAGTGTCGATCCGGCCGCCGTCGGAGGCAGTTACGAGCGCAAGGGGCGCGGCAGGGCAAAAACATGAGCACTGAGTTCCAGTCAACTGATCAATACAAGAGAGGAGCGCGCTGTGGCTCGAGCTCTGGGCCATCGTCATAGACACTGTGACGCAACTGTAGGGGCTCAGCCTCACTGAAAGCGACAACGATTGTTTGCCGCCTTTTGCGTTCTTTGTCCTTTGAGCCGTGAGATGCGATGGGTAGTAGCACTACGTAAGACAAAGAGGCGATCTGATTGGACAAGAAGACACGTCCCTGGCGTTTCAAGTCACTTGGAGACGACTTGTTTGCATTGACTTTATAATAAGTTGAAACGGGAAAAGAGGAGCGACAGGATAGCCGACATCTTTGTCCTCCCTATCACGGCTAGTACTGTACGGAGTATGGACGTTATTATAAGAGCTGAAGCTGAGCATTTTCGCATGTGAGGCTGCGTATCAAGGCGTACGAGCTGATATCCTTAACGCAGTTAAGCTTACGGAGGTCGCTACTAAAAGTCCTATCTCACCGCCCATTTTTTTTTCTACCGGCAGAATTTCTCCCTTCCCAGCGATCCTGCATTCTAACCTAGCCTTAATACAATAATAAAATAACGCCATTAATGCAATCAGGCTTTTTATTATAATATAAACTTAATAAAAATAATTCTTTATAATACAGTAATGCAAGCACAAGCCCTAACCCTAAAATTAATTAATTTTTTTAATAATTAAATGCAGTAGGTTACTAAAATTTATTTAAAAATAATTTTATTAATCTTAAATTAAGCTGTTAAATATAGCCTTAACTTAATAAAGCCAATAATCTTAAATATCTATATATAGAATATACTTAAGTTAAGCCAGCTATTTAAATAAGCTAATATTAAAGAAGATATTCTTTAAAAAGTATACTGCAATTAATACAGCAGGGAAAAAAGCTATACTTTAATTTTAAATAAATTAAAAAGCTAAGTTTTTTTAATAATAATATAGCAAATCCTTTAGACCGCTAGCTTTTATAAAATAAAGCTAATAAAAAAGCCAGGCTTAATAGCTATAATAAAAAAAGCATGCCTAAAGTAATATTTTATATATATATACTAAAGCTTAAAAAATTAAAAAAAGGTTATTTAGTTAAATAAAACAGCTGTTATTCTCCTTTATTAATAAAAAGGCTATTATATATAGTATTTGCTAAAAGAATATATAGTCTGCTTATATATTTATAAGCAATAAAAAGAATATATTAAATTTATATTCTAAGGCTCTTTCTTTTATAATAAAAAAGGGCCCTACTATATCTAAAAGCCAAAGACTGCTAGAGAATGCATAAAAAGTAAAAGAGCAATTAAAAAATTAAATAAAGAAATTAAGCCATTAATAAAAGAAATATAGGAGATTGAAAATAGCATATGCTGCTGTTACAATCTAGGTCTTGCAAGAAGAGTAATAGAGGATTAAGTAGGGCTAGGTGCATCTTTATTGCTAGATAGCTGCTAGATATTATTAAAAGACTATATTTATCTCTACCCTTTTTTTATTTTTATAAAAAAAAATCCTTTTCTTTTATACTTTTTTTTTTTATAATAATTAACTTTTAGTTAATTATATTAAGCTTTTTATTTTATATCTTTAGCTAAAGACTTAAGGTTTATTAATATAGTATAAAATATTTATTTAAGCTTAAAGAATAATAACTAGTTTTTAACTAATTATATTTTAGCTTTTTTATTATTTAATATACTGCCCTTTTTTTATAGCACTAACTTAATACTGCTTAAATATAACTTATATAGCTTTTTAAATTTATAAATAAATAATACTTTATTAAGTAGTATTTTATAAGTAAATAAATTAAATTTAAATATAATTTAATAATAACTTTTTTTATAATCTTACCTTTTTTTATTTTTAAAAATATAAAATAAAATAAATTTTTTTTATTTTTTTTTTATTATCTTTATTTTTATATTTTTTATTAAGCTTTTTATTAAATAATATCTTTATTATAATTAAAATATAAAATATTATTATTAAAGATAAAGGTAAATAAATAGCTTATATAAGACCTTTAAATACTAGATTTATAATTAATATAATAATATATATTTATTTAATGCTTTTATAATTTAATATTAACTAATTTTTAAAAAAAACCTTTATTATTATTATATATATTATTATTAATATTAAAAACCAGGCATAATAAAGCTAGCTTATATTTATATTATAAATTTATTTAAAGTTACTTTTAAAAAGGTTATTTTTAATTAATTATAACTTAAGTAATAGTAATAAATATATTATTTATATTTATATTAAAAATAATAATAATAGTAAAAGTAAAAAAAGCTATAAAGCTATAGATAAAGGTTATTAAATAATATATTGCTATTTAATATAAAAGATTATAAAAATAACCTTAAATATAGTAATATTCTTTATATTCTTTTATTTCTTTATTATTAATTTTTAGCTAGTTTATTATAGTTTTTTTATAAATAAAAATTAAAAAATTCTTTTAAAAATATAAAGACTATATTATAAAAGCTAAGTAAAAAGCAATAATAAACTTTTAAACTTTTAGTAACTTTTTTATAGTTAAATTATTAATTCTTTATATTAAAGCTTATTTAATCTTTATTAATTAAATTTATTTAAATATTATTAATTTTTTAAATATATTAATATTTTTTATTACTTTAATAGCTATAAATTATTTTTTAAATTAACTAAGCTTTATTTTTAACTTATTATTAAATTTATATATAGGCTATTAATAAAATTAACCTTTTAAGTTACTGCTGCTTAAATTTTTTAAAGAAGCTAGAATATATTAAAAGTATTTTAATAAATAAAGAAAATATTATAAAAAAAAATAAAGCCTTTAAAAAAGGATTTAATAAAAGTAATAATATAAATATTAATTAACTATACTATTTCTTTTATATACCCCCTTTCTTTTAATAATATTCTAGTGCCTTTAATATTTATATTATTTTAAAATAGATTTTATTATTTTTATTTATTTAATAATTAACAGTCTCTCTTTAGTATTTAATTTATAATTATTTAATTATAATTTATTTTTTTAGCAGTTATAACTTTACTTTTAGCTAATAGCTATATTTTTTCTATAGCTAAAATTTAAAAATAAAAAAGCAGCTTTTTTTTTTTTTTTTTTTTTTTTTTTTTTTTTTTTATATTATTTTAAATAAAATTTATATACCCCCCTTCTTTAAATAGCTTTATTTTAATAGCTAATTTACTATAAGATTGCTATTATATCTCTTAAGTTATTATTTATTAAAAAAAATATAGTTATTAGTAATATAATTAAATATATTTTTATCTTTAATATACTAAAGGCTAGCTTTTAACTTACTGCTTAATTACTATACTCTTTATATTTATTATTTTTGCTATTTTTTAAATTATTTAATTATTTATAAATAAAAAATAAAATAAAAGCTTTACCCCTGCTGTAATAATAAAAGTAAATAAAAGTTAAATTATTATTAATTTATAGTTAATTAATAGCTAAATATATTTAAAAAAAATATTTATTATAAGCTTTTTAATAAATAATATATATTTATTAATATATCTACTTTTTTTATTATTTAAAAGCTTTAAAGTTTAATTATTAAATATAGCTATTTAATAAATATTTAAAAGTATAATAGTTATTAATTAATTATTAACTTTTAATAATTTAAATTCTAAAAGTATTAATAATTTAAATATAAACAGGCTTAAATAATAAAGCTTAAGTATAGTTATATTATAAAGTATATTATAAATAAAAAAGCTATTAAAAAGCAATAACTTTAAGATATTTATATAAATACTTTTTATAAAATTAATATTAATATTATTAATTTATTATTTATTTTAATAAAAAATATAGCTATTTATATTAATATAAATAACTTTTAAATAGTTTATAGTTAATTTTTAATTTACTGCTTAAAACTATAAATTTAATAAATTAACTATTATTATTATTTATAAATATAAAGTTTAAAATAAATTTTTTAAGGTTATTATAAATAAATATAAAAATATTAATACTTTAAAGGAAATTTTAAATAATAAGCAGTAGATTAATTAATATATAGCTTATAATTAATATTTAATTTATAGTTAATTAAATCTTAAATTTAAATAAAAAAAAAATAGTTTTAATTTAAATTAATATTTAGTATTTTAATAAAATACTATAATATAAAATATATATTACTTTATTACTATTTTACTATTACTTTATTAAAAGTTAATATTTAATTTAACATTAGCTTTTAATTTTTTTTTTTAAAAAATTTAAATTTTTTTTTTTTAGTAAATTATAAATAAATTACTTTTAATTAACTAATAGCTAGTTATAGTCTAGCTAATATATTTTTATAAATTTAAATTAAAAATTAAAATATAAATAAATTTTAAAATTTAATATTATATTATTAAATATTAATAATAAATTCTTTTTAATTAACTAAAGGCTAGTTAATTATTATATTTTTATTAAATTTTATACTTAATAAAGTTTAATTTTTTAATTTAAGTATTTTTATTATTTAAATAGCCTTTTTATTTAATATAATAAAAGTATTTTTTATTATTATA